GAAAGAAAGAAAGAAAGAAAGAAAGAAAGAAAGAAAGAAAGAAAGAAAGAAAGAAAGAAAGAAAGAAAGGGAAAGAGTGAGGAGGACAGTGAGTGTGTGTGAGCATGCCTGTGTGCGTTGTGAATAAAGGACAGCAAAGGCAGGGAGTGGATCCAATTTATGAAGTACATTAGTCAAGAATGTAACTTGGAAAGCTGTGTTATAATCACAGAGGAATGCACAAGTTGCTTTGAGTGTGAGAACCCTCTCTGTTCTTCACACACACCCTCTCACACACACGTATATAAGTAAATCAACACATTTTCTAACACCTCATTGGCTTTTACAGCTCTTATAGCTGTTGCTCGCTTTTAGGATATGAGGGAGGACCAAATGTGAAGCAACTGAATCTCCCATCTCCTAATCTAAAGCGATTTCTTCACATCCACCTTTTTTCCCCCTGTTTTTATCCTATTAACCAACCGATTCCATGTCAGTTTGTGTCTGTGGGTGTGTCTTTCGTTGTCTGAACTCCTTCCTGGGCCCTCTGTGTTTTTATGAGGTGTCTTCTGGTTGGGTAGTTTGAATATTTGAGCTCGGACAGCCATTTGACAAGTTGCCATTTTAAAATGTTTACCCTGCTGTGGCCTGAGGGGGAAGAATCAGTCTGTTAAAACGGTTGGTCATAGAAACTGGTTTCCTCATTAGAAAGATCAGAGAAATGTAGCATTTCACATGGAAAGCCTTGGCAAACATTGTGTTAGGAGCTGATAGGAAAAGAGAGTCAAAGCCATCTAAAAACACTTTAATGTTTAAGGCAGGGTGAAAAGATTTTTTCTCATGTCCAGTTTAATTTTTAAACCGCATGTGTTTCAGTTTTATATTTATATACCTATATGTAAGTCTTGACACCATATGTTCCAAATGTCAAAAACAATCAATCTGTAAAGCATCTGGAACACATATGACAGACTTACCATCTGTTAAAAAATGTGGTCAAATACTTTCTTAAAGTAAAAAAAAAAGAAAAGAAAAAAGAATAAATCAGAATAACTGTCACCCCCAAGTTGTGTTAGGAGAAACCCAGAATTCTTCCAGTGATGTGATATGAACCCTGTAATGCCATGTGTATCACGTTTGATACACCAGGTTTCTGAAATGCTTTGCATCATTTACTGTTAAAATCTTTTCTCAAAACGCTGTTGAACACATTCAGATTTACAAGGCATTTCTATAAAGGGCCAAATGAAGAATTCAAACAAAAAAACAAACATTTCCTCTCTATTTTTTCTTGGATCAGGCTATAAAAGGTTAATAGTGGTTGTGACATTTCTAATAAATTGAGAAGACATAAAGGGTTAAAAGGCATCAACACTGATACAAACATGCAGTCCTTTAAACATGTTGTTGAACCACATTCAAATGAATCACAGTCCTTGTCATGGAACACGTTTGGAACACGTTTAGGTAATCTAGTTATTTACTCTGGCGTGTCTAGTGCAGCACAGTGGGCAGTGTGAGTGGTGACTGTGCTGTCTTTATGGGCTTTAGTATCTGACGCATTGCCTCTCCCGGCCTCATTATCCGGGTCTGTCGGTCCAATATTTACATACAGGTAAACATGCCTTCTGTAGCAACATCTGTTCAACAGCTAACAGTGGTGCATGCATGTGTCTAAATGTGGGCTTTTTATCTAGAAAATTTAACAATACTCGTCCAATCAATCAATCAACCAATCAATCAATCATACATTCCATCAATTGAACTTTGCCTTTGTAGAACTTCTCCTAAAACTCTTCAGCCCAAAGTACCTCACTTAGTGTTATCAGAGAGAAAAATAAGAAACAAGGAAAAAGGTCCGAGCAACTCTTAATTTCTTTGCTGCCCTCAAGTCTTTTGAAAGGATAATTGTTTTGTTCTTTGCTGTCAAATTAAAAAACCCTGACCTGAAGACCTGAGGGTTCGAGCACTCGCAAAATATGAAAGCACCTTTGATCAACTAAAAGACGAAGAAGAAAGCTGAGACTTTAAAAGGCGGTTTTATTTGTGCTTTTTTTTTGGTCAGAACCAGTGCAGCTGATTTCTAGAGCTGTAAAGGGAGGTTAGAACGTGGAGCCTTAAAGTAGATTTGATCCTGGAGGGGAAAAGAGCTTGGAAAAGTGTTTCTGAACCAACGTTTCTGCACCAACAGCAACAAGACACTGTCGTTTTGTGTCAGTATTCTCAATGTGATGCAAACCACTTTTAGTTATGCTGCTGTTGCTCAAAGGTGAAATCACAATTTTTTTCTGTTAGAGGGATATTTGCCAATAGACATGCTACTCTTTCTAAGGGCTTCCGCATGAACCACTAAAACTTCTGTGAAAATGACAATAGATCACACAAGAAGCCACAAAAATAATGTGTTTTTCACAGATGAAACCAAAAAGGAACTTTTCTCTGAATGCAGCATTAGTTTATGACAAAACAGTAACTACCCATAAAGCAAAGTACACGATCATTCTGTGATTGTATGTCAAAGGTTCTACCTGTAGAAGTTTCAGACCACATTTGAGAAATATTTGTGTGGGAAAACCACGGAAAGGACAACCATGGACCCCATGAAAAAGAAGCCTGGTAGAAGAAGTAAAGGACAGACGGTTTTTATGCAGGCAAGCTTTGAGTCTTGACCTAAATACCTTTAAAACCCTGTGGAGACTTGAAATCAGACATTGCATAAAGCTTTTAGAAAGTTGCAAGTAACATTTACAGGCTGTCGTTGTTGCCAAGGGTTCCGCAACCAAATATCAGCGAACGCTGCCAGTAATTGCATCCTGGGCCCCTTTTGGGTTTGTGAGTTTGAAGTCACTCAGAGACTGTTTTATTTGCTATTTTGAAGATCTTTATGAAGAGTACTTATGTATTCTGGTTGTACTATTTTCTTGAAGAAGCAAAGTAGATCCTCCAAATGTTTCGGATCGGAACGGTGTGAAACGTCCAACATATTTATTCAATGTACAACTTTACAACTTACAACACAGAGGAAAAAGCACCCAGATCCGAGTTCTGGTGTATTGTATTTATTTATGAAATGGAAGTGCACGGTGTTGGTCCAGAGGAATGTTATCTTCTAAATGAGGTGCATCGGTTGCGAGTGGGGATGTCACAGACAGTCACGGGGCATTTTTAACCAAAAACAGCGGCTAAAGAGCATCACGCGAACTGGGTCTAAAAGCAGGCCTAACCTCAGTGGGTTGGGCCAAACTCAACGAGTCTCTGCTAATGGATCACACACATGGCAGGTGCCGGCTCCTTGAGGAAAAGAGATGAGCAGCGCACAGCCGGACCGTGTCACCGGCACGGAGCCCAGAGCGGCTGATAAGGGCGACGTGAACACTTGGGTTACCAGCGGGGGCAGGGCAAGCGACACCCAGATGTCAGGCCACCGCGTCCGGCGGAGCGGAGCGGGCCAGATCGTGTCAAGCTGTCATCCAGGCCAAAGAGCAAGGCACCGATGGCTAATAGTGAGAGCAAAGTGTAATAATGCATTCGAGTATAAAGTAGCATCCAGGTCTGCATCGTTTGATGATTAATCTCTCTCCAGGTGTAGCTTTCTTGCTCTAGGGAAGAATTCGAGAAGGCCGGCCTTTCTCACGTTCATGAAACCCAGCATAACAGTCTTCTCATGACTGCAGCACCATACAAGATAAGTTAAGAAACATGAGATGCACAGATATACACGTCAGTATATGTAGAAATGCAAATAAATATGTATTTATTTGTTTTATCTCAGAGCATGATGGTCCACAGAATCAAAGATCATCTGAACATAAGACAACAATTTACCCTCTGAGTCGTGATAAACAAAAGAAAAGGTTTTGAAGATACGTTGCACATTCATTTATGCAAAATTCAAGTGCACTTTTATTTAAATTGGTGTTTTTTTTTGTACTGATACTCCATTGCAGTTAAGATTAAAGTCCCTCTCTTGATCCCAACCTAAATTAATCTGTAATGCCATCGATCACATCTGATGGCCCAGGAATAAGCTTGGTTGTGACTCTACAGAGTTTGCTCACAGCGAGATGGTTCTAGGTTTGAGTGCCAGGGGAACCAGTACCTTTCTGAGCGGAGTTTGGATGTTTTCCTTCCACTGTCCAAAAACCTGCATGGTAGATTGATTGGGCATTCCAAATTGTCTTTAGGAGTGAATGTGAGTGGTTGTTTGTCTTTGTGTGGCCCTGCGATGGACTCAACTCATCTCATCTCATCTACCCAACCCACATCCTCACTGGCCAAAGATTCCTCGCAGCTAGTGATGTCTCTCTAAACCCTGGACTAGTTCCAGTTCAGCTCATCATAGTTCTTGCAAATGATCTGGAAAGCCCAAATCTGTAAATAACCAGGGCTATCTATGGGTTTACGGACCTCGTCTTTTTCTGACGATTTTCAGTTCAGTTCTGTGTCACCTGACACCATGTTCCAGGTTAAGAAGATTGCGGCTAACTATGAGGTAACATAACATTCGTGAGAAGACTGAAAGTTATCTGTGGTTTTAGAGTAATGAAGCCTAACCTGTAGGTCCCTTGCCTTCATGAATTAAAGCACAAACTCTTGGCATCAAACACAGGCGAGCAGGGAAGGTGTCCTCCCAGAGTCAAGGGGAAACAGGTGCCAGACAGTCATCAGCCTCAGATAACACCAAACGGGCGAGGAAGGTAAAGAAGATCCGTAAGAAAAGGAGGGAAGAAGAGAGGGATGGTGTCAAATGCTCTTTTTTTTTCCCTTCACATTAAGCATCCCTGACATGAAGGTAATGATACTACTCTTACTCTTTGTTTTTAGCGCTGCGTTTACCTTCAGCGTGCACAAGCTGGTGCACATTGCAGGTACGTAAGCTGTTTGTCCTTAACATGATCCCTGGATCAAACCTAATCCCTTCACCAGGCCTTCCCCCTAAACCTTTTCACCCTAACTCGGAGTGATATTCAACCCAGTTATAGCAAATCCAGATAAATTACCAAACAGCTCAAATCACAAACAGTCTCTCACAGCTTAAGAATCATTAAAGTCAATAATGTCCCAGTTCAGTCACCGTGAAGTGGCTGCTTCATGAGCGATGATGAGCTACTTTGATGTAACTTCTTTCAGAGCTCTCATCACTGACAAAAACAACTCACATTTAGCTGTTTATGTTGATGATTTATTGGTATTAAAGAGAATCTCTCAGAAAATTGCCAGCATTGAGATTCAGGCCTTTCATTATGATGTGCTTTTCAACATTTGATAAGTCATACATCAAAAGAAAACATTTATTTATTTGGGGCAGAAAAGTCAGACTGTCCCGAGAAAAACAGCCTTCCTTTAAAAACATAAAAAACCACATAAACATACATTTTGTCATCAAGCTCAGAGTCAGAATCAGGTTGTGTTGCAGGTAAATGCCAAAAGTCCCTCTCCACCATACGCCTAAGCTAAAGGTCAAACGGCATGCTTAAATATTGATGGATTATCTTTGGAACACATTAGGACGATTAGACTTTTAGTGGATATGAGGTCATCCACCTGAATTTCCTCCCTACCCTTCGCCTCTTAGAACCCGGAGCATCTCACCTCAGTGGGAAAAAAAACTTTTATTAACAAGGCCCTGAACTAACCAGTGCATTAAAATAAAAACAGGGCTGGTTTGCATCACAGTAAACTGCAGGATTTTTTTCTTTTTCTTTTACAGACGCTCACCACAATTCAACAATGCTTTCAACTATTCATCTCATCTCTTGGAAAATAAAACTACTGCAGAGCCATCAAGCGCATTGCATCAGGATGAATCATTCACTCTTCACAGTGCAGATAATACAGTCGAAACAACTCCCTCATTCACAGTAAATACGGAGGAAATCCTCAGGGGAATTTGAAACAGAATCCTGGTGAGTCTATAAGTAGTGATTACAATTTTCAGCAAGGATACACATAAAATTGCTGGTTTTCATATCTTCAAAAGTTAAATGATATGCTTGCGTGCATGGACTTATCAATTAGAAACTTTGGTGAAAGAAGTCTTTGTGTCGTTGGTACAGTGTACCATCATGTCCACCAGAGAGGGGTAGAGAGCTGCAAACCATTATGCATTTTACCTCAGAAAACTTCACTCAATAACAGCTAAAATAAGCAGCATCCACTTCTAGAATATGAATTATAGATGGCTAAAAAAAAAAAAAGCACATCATTGATTTCTACCTATATTCAGGTCACATTTCAGTCAGTAAAAAAAAAAGTGCCTCTTCGTATCTGCTGAGCTTGTTCACATGCAAAACAGAAGCCGGGATGTTTTGCATCAGCTGCACTCCAAAGTAGAACAAACGAAAAGGAAGCCAACGAGGGGCTCTGATCATATCTCAAATGTTAAATCATTTACAATAACACATAAAGCTAAATTCAGACACATGAGAAACGACCTGAGGCCGGCCTTGAAGAGGTTGGAACCACGGGTACGCGCATTAGACCGGACGTTGGGACAGATGTTTCACCTCTGGAGCTCTTTTGGCCGAGCCGGTCAGAGGCGGCTGCAGGGCAGGGTCAGGGGGTCAGTGGGTGCGAGGCACGGGGTGCAGCAGGGTCATGTGCTCGGCCCCGTTGAAGGGCAGCCGCTGGGTGCAGTAGTGGTGCACCACCTCTGGGATGCTGGGGAACACGCAGCTGCTCTGGTGCAGGGTGTAGCCGTTCTCTTTTGTCTGGGCGACAATTATGTGGACGCAGCCCTGACTCGTCCTGAGACACACACACACACACACACACACACACGCACACAAACACACACACAGGAGAGCAGAGAATTAACATCCGCTTTTGCATTCAAAGTTGAACACAGACATCTTCACCCACTTTAAATTTGTTAAAGCAAAGCAGGAAGAAACGGCTCAAAACAAAACATTCTCAAGTTACGTCCACATACTAATCAACTATAACTTTAATTTCAACCAGAATAATACTGAGTTCCCTGTCCTCTTAGACCTATGAGAGCTCTAGATAAATAACATCTTAGGGGGCATTAGAGACATTGGAAAAACTCTTTTGGGTGCAGTGGGTTGTGGGTTTTTTTACTGGACCCAAAAGGTCCTTGCCTTTGTAATTTGGGATCACACTCACTTGAGGGCGATGGAGTACTTGCTGTTGTCCGACTCGCTGTTCCTGACCAGGAAGCTGGCTTCTTTGCATGACTGCAGCTGAAACTCCGCCTCCTGGCGCGTCACACAGCCATGGTACCAGCTGAGACAAAAGGCGGGGGCGGGTTACGACATCTCATCTCTGACTGATCAAGTAAGTACTGAATCTCATATAAGATCAAATGAAAAATGAAAAAAAAAAACTCTTTCGAAATGAGGATTTCTCACACATAAAAATCATATTAGATTAAAGTAATTCAATCTGAGTGACTGTTCTGACTCCTAAAGGTCCTGGGGGTGTCCTCACCTCTGTTTCTCCAGGGGCAGTGAGGGGTCAACACAACAGGATTCTCCATCCAGGCTGCTGCCGGTCGAGGAAGACGAGTGCAAAGTCGGAGGCGAGGATCTGAGGATCTTTTGGGTCCAGCTTTTCTGCCTCAGATGTTGGTGCTGGGCGGGGGGGTGCTGCGGCTGCCTCGTGAGGGTGGGGTGAGACGCCTCGTCTTTTAGCGGGCTGTCAAAATGTGCTGGGGGGAAAAAAAACGAGAGGCGGCAAGGAAAAAAACAAACTTTATGTATTGTGAAGGAAAAACTGAGTTGAACTGGATGTTGGAGCCTCCAGTAAATATGTGATAAAAACACAGCACTTTGATGCTCCACACAAGAAAAAATCCAGAATGCCGTTGGTCTGTGGGCCTTATGAATTATAGATTTGAGGGTAAACATGACTGTTGAATGAAAGTTCATATCACTTTAAGGCACAGACGAGGCAGGGTAAACATCGCCAACCAGCTCAGCAAAAACTTTGACAGCTAAATTTCACGCTCAGGAATAAAAGAGCCAATATTTGATGTATGCAGATTCGGAAAATGTGGTAAAAAGAAAAAAACATTTTTTGAACTCTGTTGTACCTGACAGGGTTCTGACAATATGCTCCTTCCTCCACTCCCAGGGCAGCTCGTACTCAGTGGCGGGTCGAGCGTCCAGCTCTGGCCTTGTGACCGCCGTCTTCTCGTTGTCTCCGTTTCCCACATATGGGATGTCATAGATCTGCAAGGGAGGGGGGGGCTGACCATCGTCCGCCGGCCCCTCGCTCCCCTCCACCAGCACACACACCTTCAGCAGGTCCTTAGACCCCCGCCGTCTGATCTCTGGAAGGTTAAAAAAGATTTAATCAATCCCTAAAATGTCTTCTGAGGGATCAATACAGAGTGGGGTGATGTGTTTCTTCCCCAGCTGTAGGGGGCGCTACAGCATGACTAAAGCAAGAACACCAGACAAGTTAGGATGTATGCGTTTGCTGACCAGCTGCGGTCAAGCTGCTGAACACAGGCCAGAGCTAATGTCCGATACAGGTTGATACCTGATCAAATATATATTCATCCACTCCATTTCCTGTCCAAAACCAGTTTTATATGCTATTGTATTTAATGTGTTGAGACCAATTTCACTGTCTTAAAGTTAAACACATGATGTCCAAAATAAAATCCTCAGGGTGAATTACTTTTTCAACTACTTTTCTTTTCTTTCTTTTTTTGTCAATATGTTACATATTCACCTCAAAATTTACAGGATTCTCTCCTGAATCACTTTGTTATTCTTGCACTTCTTTTCAAATAGTTGTCAAATATGTGTAACGCCAAGCACTATACAGTTGCAGCTCTATTGAAATTCATGGAAAAAGTAAAAGTCGGGAGTATTTATCAGCCTCAGCTCTGTTGGTGGTGGTGGAAACACTATGAAACACAGAGGTGGGTGAGATAAACCAGGAGGTATGCGCCAGAAAAGAGTTCTGCAGCCCAAAAAATAGTTTAAGACATGAAAATGTATGGACTAAAATTATAGTAACGACACGATAGGGAAGAGGCATCAACCAATACAAATAAATGTGACAGTTTCTTGAGTTAATATTTGAACAAACATACAATTGAATTCAGTTAACAGCTGTCAGCAGCTCACTAAAGTCTTATTAATGACGCTGTCCCTGCTCACTGACATCAGACTCCTGTTTCCTTCCTTGGTATGATTTAAGTCTCTTAATCTGACTCAGTCACATCATCACATCCTCACATCCAGCTTCTCAGCACCGGCTCTCGCTGAAGTGCTCGACGGGCAGAGTAATAAAGCATTTTCACAATCCCAGCAGTCTATTGTGTAACACTTCTAGTGAAAACAATGCACTGATGGAATGAAAGGTTAGGGGCAGCGTGCGATTGGACGACTGGCCACATTTCCTTGACGGCTCGGAAGTTTTGATTAATGTCCCGACAGCTCCATATAGGGGGGTTTGCGCAGAGCTGTGTCCGAGATACTGGGAGGCACTGGGAGCAAGCTTCCTTTTTAGAAAAATAGCACCAGGAAGCAGAGGCAGGAAAGAGGAAGCGTGGGCAGGAAACTGCACCCATTGTCCAAACGCAACGCGGTTGTTGCGGCGAACCCGTGGGGAACGTGGGAGCTCTGTGGGAGCGGGCTGACGGGAGGGGAATGAAAACGGGAATGCTGTCATTCATGCCGCCACCGCGAGGTCAAACTGGGAGCCGTCTGCCACCAGTGAGGAGGGACTTACCGGTAATCATCTGCTGAGCATCGTAGGGCTCCATGTAGCCGTCGTTCTCCCCCACCCGCTCAGCATCCCTCTGCTCTCTGGTCTTCTGAGCGTCAAAGGGATCTGCATAGTCCTCAAGAATGATCAACTGGAGGAAAAAAGCAAACCAGCATTTTTTTAATTTTCTGATTTTAGAGAGGGGGTTCATTTCAAACTATTTTCATTTTTAAAAATTCATTTAAATGAATAATTCATGACCACCAACTATGTGAATTTGCATGAGAAGAGGCTACCACATTTTTTTTCCTTTTTCAACTGATCAGTTCATGGTTTATTTGACTGTTACGGTTTAAAACAAACCTACTTACATTTTTCAAAACTTTTTCAAGTCTTTTTCATTAAAAAATGTGTTGACAAGAGTTTTTCTTTATCAATTTTCAACTGAAAATGTAACAGCTCTTTTTTCTTTTGAAAAAACAACTGAGAACTATGGCAGAGTATTGTATTTTTGTTTTTAGTGGGAAAGCAGTCTATACCTCTTAAAGTTAGGATTAATTTCATATATCTTAAAGTGTAAAAAAGAGGTAAGTTGTCCTCCTGTCTGAAAAGCAGCAAATAGCTGCATTTATCCATTTACCTGATCAACAAAGCTGTTTTCGGCTAATCTGAATGTCACGGTTGAACTATTTCTAAACATTTTTCCCCCTTAAGTGTGAACCATTTATCACAAATTCCTGTCCTTTCAAATCCAGTAAACCTCCTTTCTTTATCATTGGTCATTCCTGACTGTCCTGTCTTCTTATCAGTATGAGACTATTTTCTTGTTAACTTTTCTCCATAAGAGACAATAGCTCAGTCGCCCTCACCAAAGAAATGTGGAGTTAGTGTTTGAATAAGTTTTATGGTCCGTTGGTCAGAACACTGATTGTGTCATTTAGGGGGAACGGAACGTATTTATTCACCCAAAAACAGATGTCCTCATCCTCACTTGCAAAGATAACAACACAGTCTTTTGGCTGGGGGACACAGGTTTACAAATACAATCAAACAACAGAACTTGGGTACTGGTTCATTTTTGGGATGTAAAGAGAGGTTTACGCTTAATCTGAAAAAAAAACTACATTTTAGTCACCATCTCTATTCTACGTGTCTTTATTTTACCTATCAGCTCCTTTACTTTTATATAGTTTTTTTTAAAGATGGGCTAGAGGGGACTTAGTTTAGTGTCAGTGTCAGATAACACAGTGCTTTTTATAACCTGATAGCCATCACCAGGGGGGCCGAATGTAGTGAAAAGGAGGAATGGGGCTGGGAGGGGTAAAAGGGAGGAGAACTGAGCTAGATTACATGCAAGAGAGGAAGGTGAAGGCCTCTTGTCTGACCACAGGTTTGGATTTGAGGTGGGTAAGCAGGAACATAAAGACCGACTGGGAAGAGTAGACTCAATGGGAACCAGAGACAAAAGGGATGAGATAATATCCATTTTCAGAGCTTGGACTGGATCCTAGTTTCTTCTCTGTGAGCAGATTTGACTCTTCTCAACATTAATTGTTCATTGCATGATGGCCTTGATCTAGGAAAGGTGCCATTTCCTTTATTTGAGCTGGCATCCAGTCAAACTTTAGAAGTTCACAATCCACTTCCTCTCACACCCTCTAAGATTTTATGTCTTCGAAAAGTTTAAACTGTCAATTTTGTGTTTAGCTAAGTTGAATTGCCATACAAATAAAAATCGCTTTCCCTAAAAAACATAGAGCTTAAACACGCCTGAAGTTTAATAGAGGACATCCAAATCTGAAAAGTTATGGCAGAATTATCCATGCATTTGAAAATGAATGCTTCTTAAAACTTCAAGCATTCTATAACACAATACATGATATTTTCAGCAAAGAAAAGGACTTTTCTCATTTCTTTTTCAAGGAGAGTTTAATTTGATAACTTTTTCAACTAAAATCATCACTTTAAAAGGGAGTAAGGGGAAGTGTTGTGGGGCTTGTACTGAGACAGAGAGTAACTCACAGTTTCTGTCCTGCACTGGGTTGGTTTCTCAGCTTCAGGTGCCGCTGGGCTGTTGAATTTGGGGCTTTTGTCCTGTTTGTCCACCCGGATGAGCCGGCTGATGTAGGCACTGGCGGAGGGAGAGCTCCTCAGGGCTCTGTGCTGATCCTCTCCAGCCTCTGCCTTGGAGTTTTTGCGACTTTTCCCGGACAAGAGGCCGTCCCAGACTTTGCCATCTTTCTGAGAGCTCCCACCGTTTCTACTCAAATCTGTGGAGTTTTTTCGGTTTCTTCCAGACAGGAGCGACCCAACGCCTCCTCCTCCACCTCCTCCACCTCCGCCCGTACCGTCTGCAGAGGAGTTTTTGCGATGGCTCGTTTTGGAGTTGGTTGTTTTGGTACCAATGCCGGCCACCAGCCCGGGTTTATTGGCTCTTGGCTGTGAGCCCGATTCGGAGGCTGAACGCATTCTGTCGGTACCGTTCCTCAGAGTCATGGGGAAGTCCTTGAACCACTTTGCCATGTTAACTCGGATGGAAACCAGAATATCTCTTTGCCTGCTCTGACACCCTTTAGCGCCATACACCAGGGCCCCGGGGACGCACCTTTACAAATCACAGCCGGACTAACAAAAGACTTCCGTTGCTTTATTCTAGGATGAAGCCCGTGAAGTAAACATTTCCACACCCCACGTCAAAGCTCACAAAAGTCGATGTCTTTGTTAATGAGCCTCAACAAAGTGACAGGTTACTGAATAAATTAAAACACTACCTTTATCCCATTTGTTATTTCATTTGGCTTTTCCCTATCGTGATATAAATATATTCCCTGTTCATGCAGAAATGCCTTCGGAGTAGGATCATCCGGAAAAAAGCAACTTTTTTCTTGATGCTGATTCGTGGTCCCATTCCCAGCGTGACTTTGTGATCTTTTCCAAATGTCCACGTTCCCGATGAGACTCCTGACTGTGTCTGAAGGACAGAGGGGAGGGGGTATCCATAGCTAAGAAGAGGAGGCAGGGCATGGTGGGCGGTGAAAATCCCTTAATTCTTGACACCATAGCAAAAATACCCATTTATGGAAATTAGGAAAATGACACAGATCATGCCATGCTGAATTAACCCATTAATTATAAGCTCAGGCTTGACGTTAACTTTGATCTCATTATTTCATAATAACAACGGTCCACATGCAATGACACATTTCTAAGAACAAAATCCAGTGCAAACGTCATGTTTAACTTTTAATTTGATGTCACAGATTCATTTGTACATATCTTTCACACATTTAATTATTCAAAACAAATTCTCAAAACTAAATTTAAGTGTAATGGGGGAGTTTTGTTTAGCATTCCACTTCAACACTGATAAAAAATCAGCTCATAATACGCTTAATTGGCCGACTAATTAGTGCCCACCACCGCTCGTCTGAGTACAGTGCATCCCTGGGAAATGGTCCGTTCAGAGCTGCTCCATTTGCGGTAGTTATGGGTGTGATGTGACACTCTTTAACAGAAATAGATAAAATATAAATGTCAGTTCCAAAATAAAACAAAAAATATTTATATGAAATATATCATTATCTAGAAAAACCTACATCTTTAACGGCCTTTTCCTGAATAATCTTTCGATTTCTCCGTGGTGCCAACGGACACCCCTATTTTGGTGGTAACATGTAACCTTCCTCTGTGCGAGATGCTCCTGCTTATTCCTCTTTGTCCGGTAGCAACAGAAGGCCATGATAATTATGGCAAAATTTGCGTTTTTGAATGAATTATAGTTGTATGATGGATCAACAAGCATACAGCGCGTGAGGACTGGTTTGCTGGCAATGACACACCAGAGATTTTCAATTTAAAGGACAGCAGAGCAAGCAACGGAGAAAGGGTACAGTTTGCTTCCACGACAGTCTGCAAGATGGCTAGCTAGCGTTAGCTGGCAAGCTAATGTTAGCATAGTAAACAACAGTTCTCAAAACGTAATCGTTTACTTTGTCTCACACAACTTCATACGTCAACTTAAGTGCACACCTTTCACATATGACTATAGAGACACATCACACAGTTGAGTAACTGACTCAGTGCTGCGACTGCTTGGTAAAATCTCAACGCTGCTATCTAGCCACATTTGAATAACGTGGCTAGCTAGTTAGCTCATGTAAAAACTAGCTAGCGATAGCTAGCGAGTTCTTAGCCACACATCTGTAAGTGATTACTTATGAGAAGGATGGGGTGCTCGGTAACTTGCTTGAACTGACAGTGACGCCAGGTAACAAGCAAGCGGTTTCCCCCAGATTCTAGAAACTGGCTTGCTTAAAGGCAAACTTGTGCTACATCAGGTTAGCCTGCTCATTTTCACCAGGCGTTTATTTGGTGACCAAATCCCGGCGTGACAGACACCGTGGCGAAATATTTGCAGCTGGAGAAGAGTTTGCAGACCTGGGCCGGCGTTATTTCACCAGCTAATATAGTTGCTATCAAGTTCTTTAACGAAAGTTTTAGGTTTTACTGACACGTATGGTGGCCCTGAGATGCAAATACAACCCTGGACACAACACACTTTACAAATAGCTCTACGTCAAAGTAAAAAACACGTCCAATATTAAATGATATTTAAAGGAAAAGACTTCAAAATATCAAATTATAGCAACAAAACAGAAAACAAGACATTTCACAAAACAGTAAATAGAAGTCCTCCCTGAAATGCTGTTTTCTGGTTTGTTAAGAGTATTTTCTTTCTGAAGTGTTGAGTTTTGATTTGTTCTGTTTTTTTCTGATATTTTTTCCTTTTTTTATGTTTGTTTGTTTTATAAAACCTCTGTTTATTTTTTGTTTTAGTTTTATACTTGAGTTTGTTTTGTTGTTGTGTCCAGTGTTGTTGTGTGTTGAACCTTAGGGCCACCGTAGACATGACCTGAAGGCAGATTCCACCGAGTCGGCGTAAAGCCTTCAAGACGTCGTCATTTTTAACTTTTTTTTTTTTCTTGCATATGAATGGTGATATGCCACTTCACCGACAGTCATATTAGCTAATGGCTGCCGAATCGGGGAGACTACTCGCGGGACAAGGAAAGCGAAAAGGTAGGAATTAATTTCACCCATCTCCCAATCAGATCGGAATCATCCATTACTGCGCTGCAATGGGCTGCACTGGTGCTGTTAGCAAATCCCTCCTCGCCTCCCCCATATGTAAACTTCACGACTGTCTCCGGTGGCAGCTGTTTCTCACAGAGTGGACCTGTGAGCGGGGTTCATGTCTATCTTGCTGTCAGTGTACCTTCAATTCCGTTTCCTCGTTCTCATGTCTTAGTCCTCTCCTGTCTCCCTCATTGACCTTACCTCTTTTGCCTCTCGTTTGCGGCCACTCTCCCTCTTGCCTGGGTCATTTGGTCTGCCTGGGTCATCAGCGATTCGAGGCTTCATGACTTTGGTGATGACGCCTGGATGTTCAGCATTTTGTCCCCATGCCAGTCTATGTCCCATCATTTAATTCATCTCAACAGCTGGACTTGATAAAGAGGCCCTAGGTCTGAAGCTGCTCCACTCTGTCACTAAGGGGTATTGGCCAGTCCAAATCTGATGTCGCGCCAAATTGGTAGTGGACCAATATGAAACTTGGAAGCAAGATTCCTGTCACTTATGTGTTCCCCTTTCCGCCCCTCCCTTATGTATTTTACCATTTCAGCCTCACAGATGAAGAGCCCGGAGAAGAAAAAGGCGAGGAAATCCACAAACCAGGTTAGGGTGGTTGTTGTTTTTTATAGCACATTTGGTTATATTGTAAAAGAAGTAAAGAAGAATGAATCAAATCTTTTTTTCTTTTTTACTAAATAAGGCGGCAGGGTTCTCCCACCTCACTGAGTTTGCGCCTCCTCCTACCCCCATGGTGGACCATCTGGTCGCTTCCAACCCCTTTGATGACGACTTTGGGCCTCCATCAAGACCGAGTGGGGCTGGTGGACCAGGCGGTGCCCCTTTTCTCTCCAGTCCAGGTGCTGGCGGAGGAGGTGGGTATGGAGGCGGAGGCCGAATGAGTGCAGGCATGAACTTCATGGGCGGACCAGGAGGACCCGGAGGTGGTCAGCCTGGGCGCAGACCCCCCTATGGCCCTGCGTCCAATGCCGGACCCCACCACCAGCTAGGCTTTGGAGGAATGCCTGGCTTTGGAGCTGGAGGCGGGGGTGGCAGTGCGGGCGGAGGAGGGGGTGGATTCCCTCCAGCTGGCCCCTCCCAGTTTAACATGCCGCCCAATTTTAGTCCCCCGATGCACCCTGGGCCAGGATTCAATCCAATGTTGTCTCCAGGCGGTATGGGAGGTCCGGGAGGAGGGGGGCCGCCCCACCCTCGGTTCAGCATGCCTCCACAGCAGCAGCACGGACAGGGGGGGCACCCATTCAACAGCCCGCCATTACCTGGTGGTGGAGGGCCACGCGGGCCCTTGCCGCCAATGGGAGGAGGCCTAGGTCCTGGGATGAACATGATGGGGGGCATGGGTGGCGGGCCTGGTGGCAACATGGTGGGTGGGGGGTTGCCAGGGATGCCCCCTCAAGGACAGTTTCCACCCTCACAGGATGGCCCTTACCCTGGCCCCAGTCCACCGGGGCCAGGCAATGAGGACGGAAAAAACTTTGGGGGAGGGGCACCACCGGGGCCCCCGCAGCAGCAGCAACAACTTAGCCTGAATCCTAATGGCCCCCCCACTAATAACAACACTCCTGGTCCTCCTCCTAACTCCGGCCCAGCGCAGCCTGGGCCCGGTTTCCCCGGCCACCCCGACCTCCAGCAGCCCAGTGCCAACACGCCAGGTCAGCCTCCCTCAGCACCGCCGCCGCCTAACCCCAACTCCTCCCCCACCGGGCCCCTGAATGGATCGGGCCAGCCCCAGCATCCACAATCCAGCCAGCTTCAGCCCCCCAGCAACACGAACACCCCTAACTCCAACAACTCCAGCCAGCAGCAGCAGTCCACCCCCCCTAACTCTGCCCCGGGCTCCACCTCCTACAACCAACAGAACAGCACTCCTGGTGCTGGCGGGCCCTTGTCCAACGCTGCGTCCAATTCAGGTCAGAACAACATAACCAACAACAATGGCGGCAACACTCCCGGCAGCAATCCCAACCCCCCCTCTAATTCAACATCGACTCCCAACACCCAGTCCCCCCTCCCTCCCGGGCCCCCCGCTCCCTCCACCGGGCCCGGCTCCGGCCCCGGAAAGCTGGGGGGCCCGGGGATGGTGTTCCCCTGCGGCCTGTGCATGGCCGAGGTACACGACGACCAGGACGCCATCCTGTGCGAGGCGTCGTGCCAGCGCTGGTTCCACCGGGACTGCACGGGCCTGACGGAGCCGGCCTACGGGCTGCTGACCCGGGAGAGCGCCGCCGTTTGGGCTTGTGACCTCTGCATCAAGACCAAGGACATTCAGGCGGTGTTTGTGCGGCAGGGCTTAGGCCAGCTGGTGGCAGCCAACGAGAGCTGAGGGCCAGCAGAGAAGCGGCAGCCCCGAGTGGCGGCGCGTACGGACAAACAGAGACCGATCTGACTGAGTGACCGCTGTGCCATGCCCGCTACCTGCCCGCCTGCCCCCGGCCAGTGCTCACCACACAAAGCGACACACTCATCGACCGTCATGCTTCTACATAGCACTTTGAGTGACTCTAGGTAAACGACACCCCCTCCCACCTCCATGTGAGTCCAAACAAGATGAATGTTACCCTTCTCAGTTCGTCAGACATCCACCTGCCAACCAGCAAAGCACTGACACCAACACACTACCTCAAACAGTTTGTGGCTGACCCCGTGCCGGCCGGCCGCCGACGGCTTCAGCCTGGCGTCTGGTGTGCACGGTAGCTTTTCCAACACACACAGTCAGACATTCTCCTCATTTAGGGACACGATGTTGAAATTGAAGCTTTATGTCCAAACGGTGATATTAAATAAATGGCGGATTTTTTTTAACAGGACAAAACGTTAGAAAAGGGTACAAGAAGATTTAAAAGGGTTATACACGGCTATTTGAATCTTAGCTTAAAATGCTACCGAAATGCTTCAGTCCAGCACTGCCCAATCACGTCGTTGGCCTTTTCCCCCACAAGCAAGTGAAAACGATGGCAAAATCCATCCACGAATAGCAAGTGTGAAAATGACGGTATCCAGTTTATCGTAAAAACCCAAATTCAGCAGTTCCTGCTCCTCCATTCATGCACATTCTTGTACTAAATACATCAATGGTATCACTTTGTATCCCGTGCTGATGATTCCAAAGGAGAACCAGGCTGAGATTTCATCCCCGCCTCTCAGAGGGGCCTCGCCTCTGAGACGTTGTACATATTAGGACAAAACCTGTCTAGAATTTCCATCCGTTGTGAACGGGCTGCAAAGTCAACCAACGAACTGACCGACGCGTTAAACTTCTGTCTTGGTTGTGTACATGGTGTTTTGGTTTTTATACAGTACATTTGAGTCGAGCATCTGTTTTATCTCCGCAGTACTCATGAATTGTGAAATCAGTGCTTTTGGATGGTGTTGGCATAGCAAGTAGTGACATCATGTCATATCAGATGTGCATAGTCCTTTTAAAAAAAAAAGAAATGAAAAAATAGGGGAGGGGGTTGCATGTGAACCAATGCAGTAACTGTCCGATCTGATGTTTATTTTCTGGTTTCTACACCTCTGGAGACCTTGAAGTAGACCAAATAACGAAAGAGTAAAAGAAAAAAAATACATTGAAAAAATACATTTTCACATTTTTCCCACAATGTAAGGTGTTTATAATGATTCTTCTTCCTCCTCTGCTCTTACTCTTCTTTTCCAAGTGTCCAAGTTGCCTTTCTTTTCTTGCTCTCTTTTGGTTTTGTACCAACCTTTGTGCTGTGCTCCTGCTCTGCTCTGGTGCCTCCTGGTGGAACCAGCGAGTCACCCGGCGGGAGTTAGAGGTACTGAAATATCAAGTAAAGACTGATTTCATTTTTTGGTTCTCTTGTCCGAATTTGTTTTTATTTCAGCTTTGGTTTCTTTTTCTTGTTGCCTTGTCTTGAGAGTTTCTTTTTTTTCTAAGTTCGTTGATAATTGAATTAAAACAAGGGTTTGGAAATCCAGCACATCTTTAAAGTTCTTTGTCATCATATCATATAATCTCATTTCTAAATTCCGAGCTAGTTTACTGGGAAATAAGCAATTAGGAATTGTGGGTAAAAGATCCATACGTAATATGTTTATGCAGGAATCTTTTTATTTAGACACATGAATGATGGCCCCAGTCATCCAGTCTATGTGTTTAAAATATATCTTCTTTAGTGCTGGGAAACGGAACAAGTTTAATTATGTTGAGTTTCCTGATAAGAAGCAAATGAACAAATCCTCTTCAAAAGTATCAACTGTGTCCTGAGGAGTCTTCCATCACTTTTATTTGCAGAACGACAGGAAACTGGACTCAGACCTGTGGCCGCTGATTTGTTGTGGCTTTCTTGTGTCGTTTGGCCTTTTTTTCCTTTTTTCCACGGTTGACTTCTTAATATTTCACCCTTGCATTAAGAGCCTTTCTGATGAGGCTTTGGCCAACGCTTGTTCTCTTTTTGTGAAAAACATCACTGTCAGGAACCCCCCCTTTGATAGGCCACTTACTTTTCTATACTTGTCCAAATCTTTAAGGCTCACACTGCACACTGTGATGAGATACACCAAGTTATCTGCAAACAGCTCTCACACAGTCACAGTTGGAATAAAACGAGATAAACCCCTTAATATCAAGATGTAAAGAAACGTGGACTGGATCGAGACTTTTAAAAACATTGTTCTTACAGCACCACACTTCAGACAACTGAGTAGAAATGTTCTCCTCTTTGTCAGAAGCTTATCAGCCTGTTCCACCATGCAAAACATGTCTGTGTTCCCGGTGCCGGTGGGGCGTTCGCAGCCTCCGGAGATGAGAGTGAGGCCCCGCCCCCAGGGGAGCCGCGCACCAATGGGCGCGTTGCTGAGGTGGGACGTCGGCTCGTCCTCTACGCTGGCAACAGGTCCCCCCCCCCTCTCCCCACACACGCCGGGACAGCCCCGGGAGAAGAGAGCCCCTCCGGTCCCGGGTCCCCCTTGCCAGGGCGGGTAAGATGTGTTTTTTTTTTTCCTGCTACTTGTCCATCAGCTATTTGGGTTGCTGGATGTTTGCTGTGGAGAAGCCTGGAAAGTAGGAGCCGCGCGAGGCGGAGCGGCCAGAGATGGACACCTGTGGCTCCGGGAGGGGACTTCCGCCCACCTGTGTACCTACAAAAACAAAGGTTGCCCGGTTCCACGCAACATTTCAGAGGTCTGGATGCAGCTCTCAGTCTGTGTGTGTGTGTGTGTGTGTGTGCGCGCGTATTCTGCCCAGTATAATCGGATCTGTCTGCGCTGCGTAAAGAGGATCTCGGGGGGGGGGGGGGTTTTTTGGGGCGCTTCTAATAGGATGCGGTGGCGTCTCGTTGGGAGGCAGGTGCTCCGGCTGATTATCTCGCTGCTTCCACTCGTGTCTTGGGGGTAAACAAAGTCTCGGTTTCGACGCGCACCGATACCGACTGACCGGACAGGCGGGTGTGACGCAACAGACGCAGAGGTGGAAAGGTGCCTCTAAGGACCACGCCAAACCCGAAACATCTCCATAAACACGTTCATCCTGAAGTTATTTCTCTTTGGTGTAGAATGGCCGGTGTGCCAGGGAGGCGCGCGCACAGAGTTGTGTGCCTGGTTACATTTACATGGCATTAAAGTAAGATAAAGAGAAGGTCCTTTGTAAACGTCTCGGGGCTCCAGAAACTAATCTGACCCACAATTTTTTGCTCGGGGCCGCACTTCAAGCTCACTTTGAGGTGTTTGGATAAACATGCACCTTTAATGAGGGACTATATTACCATGGTGTTGCTATTTTAGACAGGAGATCCCTCCTCTGCTTCACTCCCAGCCCACAGCAGCTCCTTAATGAGTGTTAAAGCGGTTATAGTTTCTTCTTATTTCTCTTGGCTTAAAAACACAGTCACATATAGACTGTGTTTTTGTTTGTTTGTCTGTTTTTAACCAGAATAACACATGTTTGTGTCAAACTTAGGGTGAAGATAACGCTTTATGCCGAGTAAAATGTCACAAAAATAGAGAAACATACAATTTAATTTGAAAACTGAAGCAGTGACCATTTACAGTTTAACTGCTTAAACGGATTTCCTTTTGCTCATGTTGTGTCATATAGCTCTTCACATAGCGTAGCTGTCGCAATACCATTATGTCCAGATACTTAAGGGAGTGAGGAACCCTGAGAAAGTCTAAGGTCGCTTCAGCTGGGGCGCAGCAGAGGGGGAGGCCAGACAGGATCGGGATGAAAATGAGAAGAGTCTTTCTGAGTAAGGAGAACGGAACAAGCATCGGCTGATTGGCCAGTTTGGTGACATTCCTGTGTCTGTTGACAGAGCCTTTCCTCCTGACGAGGAAGAGAGAAAGAGCATGAAAGGTGAACCAGTTATCACCAAACGGCGCACGGCTACTGGTCGCTCAACAACAACTGAGCCTTTGTTGAAGTCCGTATTTACCCAAGGAACATATTTACATCTCTGGGCTTTGGGTGGGATCAGCTGCTGAGCACTGATCACCTTGACAACAATAAGACAGACAATCTGCTTTTCTTTTCCAAACCAGCTCAAGCAGAGCTCAGTGATGAGCATTTCTAACCTCCACACCAACAATGTCTCCAAACCTGGTTTCTGACTTTGTCTCCCGTCATTATCCTGCTCACTTCAGTTTTCCGCCTATATGGAGGGTTTTCCACATGTTTAGCTTTACAGTTGGTGCATGCCCCAGTTTTCTCTAAATCTGTCCTTATTATACAAATGCAAACCACGCGCAATGCTGAAACACAGCTCTGGAATCCTAAGAATGTTTTTGGAGTCTGACTTTGATCCACTAATCTAACCCTATTACTGGTTGAGGTTTTTTCTGTGTTACACTATAACCAGCAGTTGTTATGTCCCGGTTACATTTTAATTCTCGACAGAGACACATCTGTGAAGGCTGTGGGCCCGGACAAATGAAAGACACTTTGAAGGACGCTGGTGCATGCTGGGAAGAAAAAACCTCAACATTAGCACAGCTTAAATGCCAATGTCAACGTATATAGGAGAAGGAGTGCCTTTTAAATGATAATGTGACTGTATTTCCCAGTCATTTCTATACTAAAAGGAGGGACTTTTTCCTGTGTATGATTGGAGGAATGCAGGTGTGCACGTACATACTTTCATATCTGCACACGCTTTAAATGATGCGCACTGGTGTCTGTCCAATCCAAAGTAAACAGTCTATGCCTGAGTGGCTCCACTCTGAAGTTTGGTGGCTGGGAAGACTGGCAGCAGCAGAGAGAAAGAGGAGGAGGGGCCCATTCCCGACACAGACCCCAGTGTTTAATGCTCCACAGAGCCTGCACAATGTGAGGAGAATTCACATTCTCATTTTTTTTTTCATCTCAGAACAGGGAAGGTGGACAGGGGAGGTTAAAGCTCTAACACAACCGTTGAGAGAGATGGTTGCATTCCCTCAATACGCCCCAAATTTCCAACATTGCATAAAAGAAAGTGAATTTCCAACGTTTCTTTTTCTTCTTTTTTTATCTCTTCTTATTTCCTTTTTACATTTCTTTATCTCCCAAGAAACTAAAAAAGAACAACATACAAAGATGTCTTTCTCTCCATATGTATTCTGATGTCAACCTCACAAAGCAGCTAACAGAGGGGAATCCCTCTGCTATCCTAATCTCTAATCTTTAATCCCATTACATTTTGATATGCAATGCTTCATCCTTCATATCCCACGGTGTCACAATTTGCAGGCTTTCATTCGTACTCACTTGACCCCATTTTGTTGTCTTTGTGTCGATTTTTAACGGTGGAGCCTAGAATGAGGTAATCCTGGTGACTATCTCTCTGACTTTAGAAAAACCTCTCTAGAGACATCACACACGTCTTATCACAGGATGAGTAGTACTCTTCATGACCTCAGATTTAAAACGGCATGAATACCCTTTTTACACCACATCCAAAGCTTTGTCCTTTTGTCTGTAAAGTGCCACACAAACTAAGCCTCAAGATTTCATTTTCTTCTTCAGCCACCTACTCTGCAAAGACATTAACCTTTTGCTTAACCTCCCACTAGAGAGCCGTGGAATAATTCTGCTTTCCAAAAAAAAAAGCATTTAGAAAAACAACTGTTGAATGCATAGAGTATATAAAAAGAACCTTTCTTTTCCATTGATTAGCGGAAATTGTGGATATAAAAATAATTAATAGAGTCCTCTTGAAGATGTCTTTGGTTGTTTGTCCACACCCTTGTGAATAAGTAGGCTTCCACCTGTACAAAGAGCTTTATAGTGTGCCAGTAGCATACCTGGCATGACGTGAATACAAAACATTCCGACAGGTGGAATTTAACCTGTAGAGCAGCAATGGAAGACGAGCCTTCATCATGACATTGTCAGCAATCTGATATTCCAGTTAGGGTAAGGTGGCTCCATCTGGGAGAGAACAAAGCAGTTGATGCAAAACAAGGAAGTAAAGCAGCGAGAGTTCAATCTAGTGAGTGTTGATCTTCTGAAAGGGGGTTAAAGACGTGGCTGTTGACCAGCGGGAGTGTATCTGTGTCCCTGCATCGCCTCATTTGCATCTCTGCTGTTTTCATTTGTCTTCCACAGAAACGGGAAGCAAACATGAGCACGCTCTCCACCGACCGGAAGCCGCATGTGGATTACGGCGTTCAGATTCGCTTCATCAAAGACCTGGACGACACGGGTGGGGGTTACCCCGATAAATCCAGAGGGGGCAACGGCGCGGCGACCCCTTCCAGCAAATATGGCGTGGCCGTGCGGGTTCAGGGAATCTCCGGGCAGCCTTATGTGGTTCTGAAAGACGGAGAGAAAGGTGACTCGTATGGAGTTCAGCTTAAATCTCCCACCCCCACTTCGGGCCCCCCTTCACCATACAGTAGTGTCCCCAGACCTAGTAAAGAACCAACAGAATTCAGTAACCCCTACAGACCGGCTGTGAATCCACCACGCTCCCCTGTTTCCCCAGCAGAGGACGAGGACGGAGAGATTTTTGGGAGTCCTCTTAGAAGGCCCCCAGGGGACGGTCAAGCAGGAACACAAGGGGAGGAGGAAGGTGGAGCTGGGAGGGAAAGGGAGGTAGAGAAACCAAAAGCTGAACCAAAACTCAAAGCAACAGTTGGTGAAACGGAGAAAAATGGAGATACTGAAGAGTACAATGAAGCCGGACTGAAACCCGTCAAGTTCAGCCCCGCGGGACCCCGAGGGGCCACGCAAACGGGCTCTTTGGGGAGACACGGGGGGAAGGGGCACTCCACAAACTCCTCTCCACAATCCTTCCCAGAACCTCCACCCTCGGTCAACAGTGAGCCCGTCCCAGCCATCGACACCAACTCCCTGGCTCCCATCAACAAGCTCATCAGCAAGTTCAACAGCGGGGCGCCGGGCAGCGCCCCCCAGACCCGGGGCCGGCCCGGGGCCCGCCAGCGGCTCCGCTTCGACGAGCGCAAGAGGTCCCGAAGCCTCGACGCCAGGAAGGAGGCGCAGCCGGAAGCGCCTCTCCCCTCCCCCTCGTCTCCCACTCTCAATCCCTACGCGGCGCCCCCCTCCGCCTCCTCCGGTTTACCCGCGTCACCTGCTCTGAGCAGCAGCCAGGGAAAGAACAACGCCTCTTTCGCCAAGGTGACGGCCCCCCAAACCCCCAAGGAAAGCTTCAAGCCACCAGAGAAGTTTGTTGCCAAGGATGCTCCTCGAGCGTTTGCAAAGAAGCCCGTAAGAACCAGAGATGGGAAGCTCACCAGGGTGTTGCAGGTAGTGGAATGTTTTCACAGTTTTTATTTATTTATTTTTTTTACTCTCCGTTTCTAGGAGATACTTCCAAAAAGTCAAAGCACAGAGGTCATCAGTGGGGACGGAGCTCAACCCAAGAGGGTTTTTCACAACGGTGTCAAAGACAGGTTGGTAAAATTCTGAGCGCAATGTAAAAAAAATGGTTGACAGTTAACCGGATTAACTCTTTCCTACGGTTCCTTCCAGCCCGGCTGAAAGCGAATCATCCCTGGGAAGAAAAGTCAACTTTGGCCTTGAGACGACTGACGTATCAAAGGTACAATCAAGGGATCGTTTTTGGGCAAGAAAGGAGCTAGATAGCTTGAGTTTAGGATTCCTGTTAGCTGACACTTATCTCTCTGATGAGCCCGACTGGCCTCTTCTCCCTGTTTACCATGAGTTGTGCTATCCAGCTGCGAGCTGTTTGCCATCACACAGACCCGAGAGCGCTGTTCCAACCACTTATTTAAGCCGACAGGAAAAGTAAATAAGCATATTTCCTAAAACTGTTGGCCTATTTCAAATTTAGAATCCCACCTAATCCCCCCCGGCTGCCTCGCTGCGTTGGGTCCGGCGCGTCGCCTGGTGTTGGAAAATAGGTCTGACTAGGATGGGACTTTCTTTCTCATTACAGCATATCTCCCGGTGAAGCTAACAGATGGTTGGCAGCCAGCCTATTTTCACTGAGCGTATGAAGTTTCTTTTTTCATTCACTTTGTCTCCAAGGATCCTCTTTTGGCAAGCCAGAAAATGTGACAATTACGGAGCATGCTGACTACTCTCTTTAGAATTCGTGCCACCAAACGTGGTCCTGTGGCACCTCGCTGGAAGAGACTGCGCCGCGTTTATTTGAAGACACGCACTCCTGCCTTTAATTTAGTGCTCTTGTGCATAAATCTGCATTTAAAAGTTATTCCTTTGTGTCTTTAACCCGTCGTAATGAAGGCTGTTCATTATGTATGATCCCTTATTATGTAGTTATTACTCTGTTTTCGTGGCCATGGCTGCTTGTGAATTATTTCCCCTGCCCGTCTCTTGGCAACGATGCACCTGCAGGGGGAAAGCTCAGTGTGATGAGGGTTCAGTCATTGAGAGCCATCAATAATTGAGTTGGAGTGGAACCGTGCACCAGCTGGAGATTGGCTTGCAGGATGGGATGGATCCTCTTCGGAGGGCCCGGTTGTACAAAAACCTCCTTGTTTGTCATGTCAGGATCAGCAGCGTCCACTTTAATGGATTCAGTGGCAGTCATCTTGGGCTTTTTGAGCAGCAACACATCAAAGGATTATTCCCTCTCCAGCACTGCCTCGATATCAAATATTCTAATTGTTTACCTGGAATGGATAGACAAGAAACAGCAGGGCCAGATGGATTTGTAGATAACAGTTTTTCTAATTGCAAGTCTCCAGATCAATGTACTGACAAGAGCTTCCACTTGTGTTGTACGTGCACTTTGAAACGCATTAACTCACCAGTGGATGCTGAGGCGGGCTGCAGCTCCCCTGGGGTTCACTAACCCCCCCGTGACTCCCCCTGGAGTGCTGGTAGTGCAATGACTGATTGACCACGCTGTTGCAGTCTAATTTATTTCAAAGGGTGAGTTAACTGCCAGCCTTTTTCTGCCCCAGCATCTCGGAAAATCAGATAGCGGGCTGTTGGCTCATCCCATACAATCTAAGAACGCTGATCAATAGAGACTGAACAAAGGAACAACTCGGTCAAGCAAGACTAATAATTATATCGAATTAAAGTTACAAAGTAAGCCCTGGAAACTAAAGTACAGATGCAGGTCGAAGTTTCAATCCAAAAGGTTAGCTTTAGGAAATTTTTTTGGTGTTTGTTAGGAACTGTTGAAATGAAGATGTGTGCTTCAACACCAGCTTAAATCAGAGGTCTGATGCATGTTTTACCCAAAAAACATCTAGACACAGAAGCAAAGAAAGTAAAAGTAACTCATCGTGGTCAGCAAAGCAGCATCTAGTTGTTACATTTCATCCAGGGATGAAGCTACATTGGTTCAGTATTTCACATGATAAAATGACCAGACAGCATTCAGGTTTTTAGCATTTAGATTTGGGAATCGGGGCTGATAAAAGAAACAAGGCGCCTTTAGTAAGGCGTCGCTTTAATGCACTTTTGAAGAATGAAGCAAAAACGCATCTTTTCTAAGACAAAGCACCTTTATGTCTGCTTAAAAGAACCCTCTGTCACTGTCAGAGGTCTGCACTCTTCTTAGGAATACCTTTAAAAATAGGGAAAGACTTTGTTCCAGGAAGCTGTGACAGTGAGGCATGATTTGCAAACTTATGAGTGATTGCATGAGAGAAGGGAAATTAAGCAAAAATGTAATGACAGAAAGGCAAATAACGCCCCTTCTATTCATTGTATTGTCAAAATATTATTTAATAGTTTTGAAAATATTTCTTCATCTAATAACATAATCAGTCAATGAACAGAGCCCCACTGGATACATCTACGCTTTGACAAATGTCTACCAGAAAACCACAGGAAGAACTGCCTTCCAAGTCATATCAACTTGTATTACTGATGTCGAAGCTTTACAAAAGTGTCTTTTTAGCATTATTGTTAACACACATTCTGATAAAGCTGATGCAATTCAGACTAAGTCCTCAAAAGAGCTTATACGTATTCCCACTTATCTTATCTTGTGTTAATTATCCCTCTCCAGAGGGAAACCGATTGGGATTATCTACAAACTGCCCTTCAGGGGGTATGGAAGAAAGTTAAATCGCTCCATATAAAATATATCTTTGTAATCCTTCACTGAAGTGTAACAGAAAGGTCCTCTAAGGAACCGAAACATCTGTGGGCTTCGCTTTGTCTCACTTTTCGGTACGAGTGTGTGCGTCCCTGTACAGGGTGTGTAGGAGGATAAGAGATGTTTCATGGGCAGGCTGTGCTTAGGCTCCCCTTTTCAGGAAGAGGCAGTCTTTTTCTGAGCAGCGCAGAGATGTGGGCGACAATGGAGCAGCTGCTCCGGCTTCGTTCCCCTGCAGCCTGTCAGAAAAGTGGCACTGGTGGGGAGATCGCACTTTTCTTCAAGGTTATCCGAACGCAACTGGCAACTGCTTGTTCTTTTTTTTTTTGACAGTCAGAAAGTAGGTCACAGAAACCAAGCCAGGAACTTATTTTTTCAAACGTTTCAAGTAACACAGTGCACAATACATGTGCAAGGTCAGCAGTGGAAACCCGTTTCAACTCCACTCCTCCCTCCCTGTCCTTCAGCTTCTCTTTCACTGCGTCTGCTTCTAACCCTCCTTTTGTGCTCGGTTTGTGTATATTTCATACAGAAGGAAGGTTCTGATGGAAACATCAAAAAAGGAAGTCTTGAGGAGCTTCAAGAGCAGCTCAAACGCAGCAGGAAGGCACTGCAGGAGGCGCAGGACGAGTAAGGATATTTGTGGGGGGGGTTTTAATTCACTATTCCGTTTTAAAGTGTAAACACAGTGTTTCATATTTATAAAACATTATTTTGATTTATTTTCTAGCAGTCACACATGGTTCCAATAGCTTTTGTAAGCACATGTAGAAAAGTAGGAGGCCCCAATCCTGACAGCGCCAGCATCAGATCATATTAACAGAGGAAAAGTTGAACTAGATTAAAATGGACTTGCTCCAAGGATGTTTTGCCCAGGCGTCAATGTCTGTATTGAAGATGTAAACTTTGTGTAAGCTTAAGATTCCGCAAACAGTCTCTGGTTGTTACCCTTGCGACTTTCCTGGATCGTTTTGCTAATGCTTGATTGACGGCTTCTTGTTCTGAGAGGGATGCAGCAATATTGATGACACGTGTGTGTGTGTATGTGTGTGTGTGTGTGTGTGCAGGCTGGTTTCAGAGCGAATGGCCAGAGAACTGTCCGAATCCCGTCTGCACCTTCAGGAAGATCAGCTGGCTCAACTCCAGGAAGAGCTGAGGCGCGTTTCAGAAAACTCTCCCGAGGCAGACTCTCTGCAAACGGTACGCACGTGTGTGTGTGTTTGTTCACCACAACACACACCATCACGCCTCTGTCCAGCTGCGCTTCAACCTGAAGCCCCGTTCTGTGCAGGATGTGGTGACCCTACAGGCCCAGCTGGCTGAGGCCGCCCTGTTTCGCCAGAGGCAAGACGAGGTGCTGCACCAGCGGGAGCGCGAGCTGACCGCCCTGAAGGGGGTCCTGAAGGAGGAGGTGGAGGGTCACGACAGGGAGATAGAGGCCCTGAGGGAGCAGTACAGCCACGACATGGAGAACCTGAGAAAAACCATGGAGCAGGTCACGCAGGTAGGTGACCTGCACCTTTTTAAGTCAGTCATATTTTAATTTCTGTAACTGAAAAGCAGCAGTGAAAAGAAAAAAGAAATCAAACCGAACTGACGAAGCCTGAAGCTGCACGTCTGGTGATACATTTTACAACAAAGTGCTCGAGTTTTGCCCTTAAATTCAGTCACTGCAATTGAGAGAGATCGTAAGGGATTATTTTTAACTACCTCATTTATTAAGAAACAATTGGAGCTCGACCAGAATACTGATGAGTAAAAGATAAAGATTTTATCCTGTTAAATAGGGTCTGTGTGATCTTTGAATGCATATCAGATTAGTGACAAATGGTTCAGACTTCCGACTCTTTTCATACACTAAAATATGTTTTCCTGGCTTACCTGAAACAGCTATTCATTTCACTGTTTCTGCCCAAAACGTGTCTATATTAGGCTCAGAAGAACTAAAGATGTTGGCATAGCAACTCTTTTGTGGCTTAACAAAAATGGAGGGCAAAGCAGGAGATTTGTTGACTGAAAATTGTTTCATTTGATCTGTTCTTTGTGTAGTTTGTTTCAGAATTGCTTTGCTTTGCTGCGAAGTTTTCAGACCATAAAATTTAACCGGGAAAAGCAACAAAAGGGCCAGGCGTTGCATGTCAGTAGCGATAATAATGAATATTGTCAGAAAAGCTGCAGTCCACACTGAACGCTTTGTTTTGTTGTGCCTGTGAAGTCAGCATTAACGCAGCGAGCTGAGCAATAACAAGGTCAGGCCGAGCCCAGTTTGCAGAGTTGGAAAAGAAAATCTTGCCTCTTCTGATTTCAGTGGAAAACTTTTCCATCTGAATTTCTGTTTTAAGGCTTCGGCTCCTACCGGCGAGATATTTTTGGAAAACTGCAGGATATGGTGTTGAGGAAACTTGAAGGGATTATGCTGGAATAGATCAACAGAAGAGGTGGTGGCTGTGTCTGAAAAAAGTAACATGCAGCCTGAAAGCAGAGAGTAAGCAGACAGACTCACAGCTGCTTTACGGGTTTATTTTGATCGCTGAACTTTACAGCACCCACATTTCTGTTTTTCATCACAGCATCATGCTTAAGTTCGTACAATTTATATCGAATCATTACATGTTTTATCTAATTATTTTTGGATTCATTTAAAAAAGACTGAAAACTTGGCAGACAACTTTATTCCTTGAAATATATTTTTTTTAAAACGACCGGGGCAGTTTCACATGTGGTTTGAACAAATTTACGTTGTAAGTCAAATTTGTGTGCAATCAGTCCCAGGAGCAGATAGAGGAGGAGCGGGAGAAGGTGAACGCCTCGGTGTTGACTCTGGAGGAGGAGCTGGAGAGCTACAGAGATCAAGGAGAGCAGTGGAGGACGGAGCTGGAGGCCACTGCACAGCAGCTGAGCGACACCAGAGAGGAGTCAGTAACTATAAATCCTTTTGAGTCTTTATCATTACCGTCTGACATGACTGTAACAGTAAAGCTGTTCTCTGTGCATGAATTAAAACAGGATTGAATTCATGAGCACTAGCTGGAAATGCTCACAGAGCCCAAAGACATCACCTACCAATAAACTATCCCAAGTGTTGTTGGAACAATTCACGTCCATGAGCTTCATCTCACTACTGTTCGTCATCAGTTTTGCCCTGTTTCTGTCCTCGTCAAACTGTCAGAAAAGTGTCTTCAATGTATTCTCTCTGCCCGCTGGAAGATTTCGAAATGCACTTTGAAATGATCCTTTGGCTCAGATGTGTTTCTTATATTTTTGGGAGTTCTTTTTAATGCATGCTCTTTCTCGCCTGAATCTCCTTTGGCAGGAATGGGAAGCACTCCAGCTGCCGAATGTGAGAGAGAAAATAAGTCTCATACTGTTTGGTTTGAGTAGAATTAGCCTGGTTTTGATCTGAATCTAAACTTTTTCCCCCCCTAAATTCACCTGCTAGTTTCCTTTCAGAATGGATTTTGTATCTGATTTGATCTGTTTCAATCATTTGACCAGTGAATTTATACTAACCATGATCTGATGATGACAAAACCTGATAACCTGATTTTTGTGAGTGTACATTCAAATTAGAATGTCCGTGTGCATTATCACAACCAATCATTTTGCTTATGATCTAAAGCATCGTTTTTCAAAATGAAATTTTTACATCTTTTAAACAAATGAAACCTCTCACTATAAGATGCAATCAAACCATTAGTTGTTACCCTGGAAAAGCAGACTAGCTGTGGTTGTGCTGCCATTGGCACGAATTTGGAGCTTTAGTTTTACTTCCTTGTCCTTTTGTTTGTCATTTTGTTTGGTGTGAAATTGACTTGACTTACACCAAGCAGCCACAAGATTAAAACCATGCCTTAAAATGTTTTTTTTTATTACCACCTGTGTTATCCTGTTGAGGGTCACATAGGTCTGCGGCCTTTCTCATAGGACATCAGGACCCATTTTCTGTTGTCACCAACGTTGGGGTTTGACTGTATCCTCACCTTACCTTTCAAACCCTCATCAAATATCTGTTACGTCCACCTAAAAAAACACTGTACGTGATGCTGAGAAGTTCTGACACTGACAGGCTTTATGCAGGCGCTTCTGTCCTGGTGTTATCCGAACACCATGCTATCATAGCCAGAACTAAAGATTTGCCCAATGTGTGCTGTGAGGGGGCCGGACCACATGGGACGGCTATCGCTCCTCATGTGCATCAGTGAGCCTGGGCTTCCGAAAGGTCAGGGCCGGACAGCACACTGCAGGACCTCTGTCTGGAGAGACTGGGACCACATCATTTTAACCTAATGATGCAGTCTCAGTCAAAGAGGCCAGGATCCCAAAAACATTCCGCTCCTTGACACATGCTGTTTTACCTTCAATCTGACTGGCTTCGTGTGCCTGTGGTTTTAATGTTGTGGCTCAGCGGTGCTATAGATCCTGTATGCTTGTACTTTTGTATTTCCTGTGGCCTTAGAGTTTGCTTGCATATAGAAAAGCCCACTGCTAAGTCTTGTTTAAGATCTGCCTTTTTGCACAGGCTGAAAAGGTCTCACTTGGAGAAAGAAAAAGTCGAGGGCACCCTGAAGCATCTTCAGGATTCGTTGCTTTCCACGAAGGAGGAAAAGCCCACGTCTGACGATAACTGTTCTCTAAAGGAGGTAATTCATTTTCAGTGTGTGGGTGAAAGGCAGAAACTGATCTCCTTTGTTTTACAGTGTACTGTGTTTTTGCTTTTTAAGATATGCAAGTATGTAATCTCTCAGAGCAGCTCTGTGATTCTAGGTTTTCCCCCCGTTTGAATATTTTCTCTCTCTTTCACTCAGTTTTCCTACAGAAAATAACCCTCATGTTAGCACATCCTCATGCACACAGACGCATTCCTCTTATTCACGCGCATTATTCAACTCTGATTACTTATCCTAAGGAGCTTCAGCGTTGCCATGACGACTTGAAGCGGACCCGTGCCGATTTGGACAAACAAAAGGGTGAGCTTTACGAGAAAAACAAGGCACTCGAAGCTCTGAAGAAGGCGAGCGGAGAGAAAGAGGCCGAACTTCAGTCTGAGAAGGAGCAATTACAGAAAGATAAGGCCGAGCTGGAAAAGGCACTCGAGCAGGCGAAGGAGGTGAGGCATTATCTGAGTTCAGTAAAAGAAGAAACAACTTTGAGGATTATAGCAATTTAAAAGATAAAAGTAACACTGCTTGCATCATATAATGCAATGAGAGAAAACCGAGAAGATTAAAGTGTCTGTACGCCAATAACTGCAGAAAATCTGCACGTGTGTGTAAAATCAGCAGCTCATAATTCTCCCCCCTTCACTGCAGTCATCAGCCGGGTCAACAGGAAAGACTGTGGTGGACGGCAGCAGCAACCTGGAGCTACAGGAAGCAAACGTCCGCCTCAGAGAGAGGCTCGCCCGCATGGTACAGCACAGAAAAAAGCCCACAGCACATCCACACATGCATGCAAAATTATGTTAATGTAAATACTGTACAGGAACAAAAGAACTGTCCACCCACACGCTTTATTTTCAACCAAGCAAAGGGGGAACTAAATCCCATGAAAAACCTGCGTAAAATAAAGAAATAATCCTTAAGAGATTATTTTTGCAAATGGATTTTCGTCTTTTTACAGGATCATCGGTGCATTACAGATTTTTAAGGTGCTGTAATCTTGTTAGTTTTTTCTTTTGTGACAAAGAAGTTGTGTCGAAATTGCAAAACAAACCGTAACGGGAGAGACTTAGTTTTCAAATGAGAAAAGTTTCAGGTTTAAACCTTGTGGTCAAACTGGATTTTAGGGCATTGTATTATTTGCCATTCTCCTAAATTTCCATGCCAAGAAGAGATAACAAAGAGAACAGAACAAATGCTAAAAGCACACATGGGCGCATAGAGATAGATTAGCGGTTCTCTGAATATATTGCTCTGATCTGATGTGTTTCAATACAAAGAAATACTGTATTGTACAGCATAAGTTGGTCCATGTGCTTTAATCTTGTGTTGGTGATCAAAATGTCCCTTCCTCCAGACGCGACTTCACTCCAGCATGCCACGGACCTCGGAGGACGAGGAGGCGCTGGAAGCCCTGGAGGATGAGAACCGCTCCCTGAAGTCTCAGCTCGAGGAGGCCAGGAGAGGAACGACACGCCTGAGCAAAGAGAGGGATGAGCTGAGCCGGCGGCTGGAGGAGAGAGACCTGGAGAGGGATTTGTTGAAAAGGGGCAAAAGCGACCTGGAGGAGCAGAAGCGGCTGCTGGACCGAGCTCTGGAGAAGATTAACAAGGAGGTGTGAGAGCGTTTGGGGTCATGGGGAGGTCTCTGCTGCCACATGAAGAGCCTGTCATCACCTTCATCCCTCCCTCCTTCTCTCCCTCTCTCCCTCTCTCTGACTCTCCTGCTCTCAGATGGAGGTGATGATGGGAGATTCTCGTCAGTCTGTGGCCACCCTGCAGATGCAGCTGGACGACTTCAGGGAGCGCTCCAGGAAGGACCTGCTGGAGGCCCAGCGCAGCAGCAAGGACCGGCTGGCCGAGCTGCAGAGGGCTCAGAGCAACCTGAAGGCCCAGCAGGACGAGGTGGGCAGAAACATGCTCCGCACGCTCACATACAACTCTCGGGCATGACTTGTTTATCGTCTGATCATCTGCAAATCTTTTAGAATAGTACAAAGTCTAAATATGTGACAGCTTTAAACAGAACAAACTTAGTTTTTGAGAGCACATTCACTTCTGTGCTCTGTTATGTGTGTTTTTATTAACAACTTACTGTAAAAAAAAAAACTAACTATAAAGACAATATGGTACATGTTTAGTAAAATACACAAAATGATATGTCAACAAAAAAAAAAAAAACTCTCCACAATTTTTCAAAGCTATTAAAGTCTCAAAGATATCCTTAAAACAGACTGAAGATGTACAAAGAATTTTAGAATGATTTGATATGAATCAAGCATTTAATGCAAGGGAATATTTGTTACCTAATTTAAGAAAGTGGACATTCAGAAAAACAACTGTTTGTGAAAGAAAATGCTAAAATTCCATCCATTCATCCTTTAGAGAGACATAAATAGCATCTTCCCTCCAGGTTTCCCGTCTGAAAAAGGAGCTGCTGGCGTGCAGCGAGGAGAGAGACAGCGCTCAGCTGGAGAGAGACCTCTTCAACAATCGCCTCAAACACTTGGAGAGCGAGCTGGAGTCGGAGAGGAGCACGCAAACTGACCGCAATCGAGAGATCAGGGGCCTGGAGGTGAGGCCTCTACGGTCAAAGTTCAGACTAAAAATAAGAGGGGGTGAATCAAGGCTGCATTGTTGGCTCCATAAATAGTTTACAGCTTTAAAAAAAAAAAAAAAGGGAATGAAAGGTCTCCCAAGCAAAGTCAAGACCAAGCAATTTAGTGAGAAAAGCTCCCAAAAATAAATATGTGACACTTTGTGTGTGTGTGATGACAGGACAGGATCAAAACGCTGGAGATCGAGCTGGATGAGGAAAGGAGTAGTCTGGAGCTTCTGACCGATCGCATGACCCGCAGCAGGGAGCAGGTGCCCCGCAGTATTTGAATGCACATGCAAATAGGGCAGGAGAGGGTAGGATCTGAACGCTTCTCTGACTCTGACCTGCTGGTCCCGCCCTTCTTTCCGCCCCCCCCCAGGTTGACCAGCTGCGCTCGGAGCTGATGCAGGAGCGTTCGGCCAGACACGACCTGGAGATGGACAAGAGCGCCCTGGAAAGACAGGTACCCGCCATGCTCCACAGACACGTTTACGTTGCTTTTTTTTTTTTCTGAAAGCTGCGGTTTGATGTCCCCTTACAGCTGAAAGAGTGGAAGTCCCGCGTGGCGGACATGGAGGGCCAGACCCGCCCCTCAGCCGGGGTCACCCTGCTGGAGAGTAAGATTCAGGAGCTGGAGGAGAGACTCCACAGCGAGGAGAGGTACGCTCAGACCAAACAGGAGGAATCGGTCATCCTAATGTTTGGGGGCTCATCAGAGGGCTTATGTAACTGAACACCATCCACACCTCCCGTTTTTTTCCCCAAGCGACACTTGTCAACAGTGTCGGAAAGCTTAAAAAGACATTTATAGGTCACAGATTTCTAATTTCCCCTCTTGAAATGTCAGCGTGTCGTAAGTTAAAGAGTGTTCACTTTTTCTGTCTGCTCATAAGTTGGTTTTTCTGGGCGATTCAGATCAGTGTTAATGAACTGTGAAAAGAATTTAAAAGGTGTTCTTTCAGATAGGTATTTAGCTAATATTAAGCTGGAGATGACACTTTCTGAGCCGGTAAACAAGCTCTGCACCGATTGGTAATACCTCTTACTGCCACATGATCAGAGTCTTTTTTTAACATTATTTTTTACTTGGGAGATCCTTAATATTTTTCGTTACAGCGGAATTAGAAAAAATAAAAAAAACGGTTAAATAAATATCACCTCAACCTCTGTTTTTTAAAACAGGACAAGCCATAAAAAAGTAGGATGGTACAATTATATGTCTATTCACCCCAAAATAGATGTGTGACATGTGCAAATGTGTTGCATTGTTGTGTTAGCTGATGAATAAATGACAGCAAACCTGCAACTACAGTACAAATACACCCTGAAAGCAAAACCAAGCCATGTAGATACCCACATTTAACAAGTAACTGTGTGGTAACTGCCTCAAAGTGCTTTAAAGTTTCTACATTGCTTTTCTGCAGAGAGAAGGGCAGTATTCAGGCATCTCAGCGACGAATGGAGAGAAAACTGAAAGAGTTAAATGCCACACTGGACCAGGAGAGAAGCCAGCATGTGGAGCAGAGGGACCAGGTAAATACTTTCTGCACGTCATTCGTAGTGTTTGCTTATTAAATACAATATGCTGATTCTCAAATCCAATCTTACCCTTTGACGGAAGAGCTAAGCTAAGCATAACATGAGATGTTGGCGTGTGTTTACATTAAACATGAGGGTAGAGCACAGTGACTGTACCAGTCTAAATTCTTGCATAGTTTGGTGCTTTAAGTTGATGTTTTTTGCCCTGATTTGACTCTAAATATAAAATATCAAATGTAATGTCATCTTTGGAGTAAAAATGAGATCAAATTTGACCCACACATGCTGTTCAATCATTAACTTAGTTAGGAAACACTGTTTGTTTGCTGCTTTGCACAATACTAATCCCATCTATTCCCTTCCTGACCAAAACCCAACCTCACTCGGTCACCAGAAGGCTCCCTGACCTCCCCATCTCCCGTCATCTTTATGCTGTGACAGCATTTACAGCCCTAGCCACCTCTTTCCAAACCCCACCAAAGCCCCACCTGTCCGCCCCCCCCCTTCTGCCCCTCGTGCTCCCGTGACCCCCTCCGTTCCCTCTAACCCCCTTCCTCTTCCTCTCCCTCCCCAGCTGTCCCTGCGTGTTAAGGCCCTGAAACGGAAGGTGGACGAGAGCGAGGGGGAGGTGGAGCGGCTGGAGGGGGTCCGGCGTAAGGTCCTGCGGGACCTGGAGGAGCAGCAGGAGCTCCAGGAGGCGCTGCAGGCCAAAGTCACAGCGCTGGAGAACGAGCTAAAGTAGGCGGTCAGCCTCTGTCTCCAGACCCCCTCGTGTGAAGTTTGCCCTCTTCACACCAGATGGCGCTCTGCGGTAAGACTCTGATGGGTTTTTCTGCTTGCCTCCTCTCAGGCGGAAGTCCCAGCAGACGCATCGCGTTGCTCTGGGCTCCTCCACGCTGAGCTCCGAGGACGAGGACACTTTCTACGACGGCGCCATCACCTCCAAGCTCTCTGACCCCCACCTGCACACGGCCAACTCCTAGAGGGAGGCGGCAGCTAGCTGCTTTTCTGTTTGGGGCAACAAAGCTCCACAGGGGGGAGTTTGTGTATCCTGTGAAGTTGCCTCAAAGTGGTTTCGTTTTCAGAACCATAGTTTTTAACCTAATAAAAGGGTTGCTTTATTTTAACCTTTAACTGTGATCAAGATTCCTTCGTTTTTCTCTGGTGATGTTGAGGCCATTACAGCCGCCATCCGGTGAGACCACGTTGTGTTTTTAAAAGCAAACTTTGCTATCATTTTGATGTGTAATTGTGTTCAGTTTATTGCGAACGGTCACTGCTGAGGCCTCATGTGACAGTGGCATGGTTTTCTGTTCAGGTTGTTCAATAGATTTCCCGTCTCGACCAAAAAATAAAACCGGACTTGCATCCTGTGTGTGGGCTTATGCATGATAAGCTTTATGTCAGTGTTGTTTGTACCTTTCAAGTGGATCTTTGAGTTGAAACATGTTTTTTTTTTACTTTTTGAATGTGACTGTTTATGGCCTCTTAAACTGAGCCAATCTTTTTACACTATATTAGAGATCAATTCCTGAAGACAATCAAGTACGCCTGCAGTAGCACTGTGTCTATTTGAGGATAAAAGCTCTTTCTAACAGTTGTGTTGTCCTTTGCCCGCCGTTTTGTATGTGGATTTTTATAATGGTAAAAGTTAAGCTTTATTCATGTGCACATCCATGTTCGAATGCCTTTAAGATGAGTTTCATATCTGAATGTTCACTTCCAGCCTCATGTTTACTGTCTCTGAGCCGCTGCTGTTGGAATAATTACAGTAGTGTTTCTCCTGCTTGTCGGAGCCTGCTTCTTCCTCTGTGCTTTCCCGTTGAAGGACTCATATTGTCAGATTTGTAGCCACATTCCTTCTTTTTGCACCTGGCTGTTCTGAATGTTGATTAAAGACTTCTGATGAAGTTCTGATGGTGCTGTTGTTGTGTTTTGGAGGATGTGAGTGAGGAGTGTGGGGAACCTTTTACACAGAACCATCTAACACTTTCCAAATGTAACGTGAATTTAAAGCCAATTTTGGATCTTTTGTACAATTTAAAAAAAAATTTAATATTATGTTGTCCTTGTTGTGTTCCATTCTCTTACTCTTGACCATATTAATTTGACTTTTGTTGGATTTTATCGTGTTTATGGGCAGCATAGTGATGAAAGTGACGTGCAGTCAAGATTATGGCAGCGTAGAAAACTGTCAGCACCAATCGCTTTTCTGTATCTTTCAAATGGACTTTCAGCAAAATGGAGGAGCACTAACTTTGTTTGAAAGATGATCTGAAACCCTTGTGTTGCAATTTTATGCTGCAAACCTGCCTGGCAGTAAAAAAAACGTGTTGTGTCAGTTGCATAGAAATGCGCGTAAGCAAATAAGTGCTTCACAAATGTGTGAATATGATATGGTCAACAAAGCTTAAAAAATGAAGTCAATAGACTGGAGGAACCTGTTGTGTTGGCTTTACTGCAGCAGCTGATCTGCCAGCATACTTTTTCCTCTGAACACAGCCATAAAAACAAGCACGCATCACTGGAATGAGCCTTTTTCGGCTTGATGTTTCCATCAACAAGCCGGGCTGCTGGTGTTTTGCAGCTCTGCTCTGACTTGACCTGCAAATGTTAGCATTTAACACATCAGCGCGTCCTTATTTTATCCTTCTGTGATATTCTCAACAACCAGGTGGATGTGGACAACTTTAATCACGATAATGTGATCCCAGTTCAATTTGACATTTTTGGTAAATTTGATTACATTTTGTCAAGGTTTACTTGAGCTACTGTGTTCAAGTAGCTGATAAAAAAGCTATCATGGTTTTGAGAGGTTTGTTGATCTCATCTTTAAACAGCATAATTTGTGTAATAGCCATATCCCATTAGATATTAAGTGTTTGTTTTTTTAATTAAATTGTAGGCCTACAGCATTTTATTTTGCATAGAGTAGTGGGCAACTTAAGAGCTAGTGTTAGACTTGGGTTTAAAAGGTCTATAGACTGACTGCATACCCAACATTTACTGTGACCAGTTTAAAAAATGTAACCATACGCCAGGTCTACAGATGCTGTTCTGACCATCGAGCAGCTTTAACATCGCAAGAATGCCCACTGGTTTACGTCAAAGGAAGTTTTAAATGGTGTCATCAACCATGACGTGACGAGCACTCTGATAAGCTGATAAACTGCATATTTTAGGCTTTTCACTTCATCAGAAACAAAGGAAAACAAGTGACCCAAGGCCAGACAGTTTAGACTTTTGCCTTTAATCCTTATCTTATGTTATTCCAGGGTTTTTGGTGCTTTATCAAGCGACTAATGGGAAACCAAGCAAGAGTGCAGGGGGGCGTCCAGATCACTTTGAGCTCTCTGTGTGAGACATGAACCTAAATGTCACAGTCAAGCATGGGATGCCTCTGACCTCGCAAATGAATAACAAAACAGTTTGAATGTATTCCAATAAAACGCCGCTCCTCTGCGTATTCATGCTTTTGATTGAGCATATCCTCACTTGGAGCTTCCCAGAAAAAGCCAACCGTGGGTTCTTTATAGCTGTGGCTGCGTTTTCTGCCTCGAGACACGCAATCTGTAATCCTTATATGGTTTACTGTAATTACTGAAGACATCAAGCTGTTGTAATGACTCCAGCTCTTCCAGCCTCGCTGTCTTCCTCCTCAGATCCCCGGGCTTCCCAGGGTTTCCCTTCAGAGTTTCTCTAGTTTGCCTCTTCCTGCATTACATGTCAGCATGATTTGTTTGTAATGAGCTGTCAACAAATTAGAGCAAGTACAGCTGGGTTCTTTCACAGAACAGTGGTGTTTTAGTCTGTAGTAGAAACTGCTGTGTGCTAAGAGTATAACATGCAATTAGTGGGACAATTATACATCTATGGAGTGTGAGAAAGTCAGCGGTAGCTTTTTTAACCCAGGGATGGGAGTTATGGATATAGCACTGCCTAACATCTCAGGGACCTGATAAGCATCACTTAAACTACATTAAACATAAAGATACAGATATATAGACATCCATTTAAAACCTGGATATCCCTTTCACAGAAAAGGGTTGTGCAAAATAATATTTTACAGTCTAAAATTAGAGATGATCTCATAACAGCAAAACACTCTGAAAAATCGTTGTGCGTTTGCTTTGTGTTGGTCTTTTGAAAACAAGCTACCCTTTGAATTCGTGACACTCCTATAAGAGGTTCATTCATCCAAAGCGGTCCCTCAAACAAAGCACATCTGCTGTATTTACAACAGGTTATTGTTTCCATTTGTTTCCAAAGTTAAAGCAAAGAAAAATGGCCCAATGACAGACGAACACTTAATAATATAGGGGTGATTCTGGATTTGGGGATTAGACGGCCCTTTTGTATTTGAAGCATTACTTTAGTTACATCATGGATTGTAACAGGACCATGTTTTGTATTTGCTTAAGATGCCACGTGATAGGGTGTTTTTTAACTGAATTTTGGACTCAAAACAAATTCATTGACAGTCACCACATCAAGACTTTCACAAACTGACTAAAGTGACCTTTCTATGTGGCGATCTCTCATTCATCGATGTTCTCACATTTTGTCCGAGCTGTTCTCTGCTAAGAGCGCACATCTCTGGGCTGATGTGCCAGCCTGGATGTCACACAGTTTTAAGCCACATGCCAGCTAAGGTTAATAGGTTCAGGCATGGGTCAAACGGGATGTGGCGATGGAGCCACCTGACGTGGGGCCTGACTGTTATCAAACAGGACTACATCCTATTTGCAGGTCTGGCACGGAATTAGCCGCAGAGCGGAGGAGACGAGGAGCAGGATTTCCCACCGGTGCTCCGGCAGCGCCGCGAAATGGTCGCACCGGATTTGTTAACGCAGCGCAGATGAAGTGAGCCGGCGCATGGGATCCCTGTGGAGGAAGATCAGGCAGGCCACAGAGTGCAAAATGCTGTGGGTCAGCAGCACTCGCTCCAGAGGCCAGCTGGATGTGGACGCCATCAGGGACTCAGAGGTTAGAGCCAGTTTAGCTGGGGGGGTTCTTTACCAAATGATCAATTTACCTTTCATAGTATGTGCTACAACACACAAATACACAAACATATACCGGTATATATGTATATATACTTGCACATGTACATTATGTAATAGTAAGCTGTTCTGATGGAAATAAATTCATTCACCATTCATTTAAAATTCATTCAATAGCTGAAAGTTATGTCTCTTTTTAAGCCTTTTAACAAAACACTGTTTTGAGACGGCCTAAAAAGATTGATCGTGGACTAAAAAGTCAAAGATGCTGTTTATCTCAGGAGGAAGCTTACAGCTGTGAGCAGTGGCTGCCCACAACACACAACGACACGTGTTCTCCCAGTCAGCCGCAGCTCGGATATCATTTGGAAATCAGACACCACAATCTCCACCCTTTTAGCTTATGCTGTCATTATTATGCTGTCCAATCTCACATATTCTTAACTAGGAAGGCATGATAAGTAATGATTGAGTAAATATGTCATTTAATGCCCTAAGGTATACCAGGCTGACTAGAAACTAGATACAATTCCCTTAGAACTGATTCGATACTGTTTTTTTTAGCCTCACCACAAACATTTTACCTATTTGATAACTATTTCTAGTCTCTAAGCCTCCAACAAGGACTAATTGTGCAAATAACAAGACTCATTGTTGTTTCATTTAAGGCCATAATCATTTGCTGTTTCTGAATAATGGGAGGTGATCTAGAGCACATGCATGGGGAAAACTAGAAGCCTTTACAGGCCTGTGGAGGGCCCTCGTGGTGATGTATGGTTTAGTTTTAGTGCATTCCGTGGGAGTGAGGAGCGCACCTGAGGCGGACCTGCAGCTCATTTTTATTCAGCAGCTCAGAGAGAGGCAGGCAGAGGAGCAGGCTCCAGCTGGCCGCTCACCGCTCCTCTGCCTTTTTATGATAGAATCATTCCAACCAGCCACCCCAAAAAACATTTAAAAAAGCTACTTTTTTTACGCCATCTCTCTTTTCGTAGGCTCCCATTCCCGACAAAGAGATAAACGACGTCATGAGGCGTTCGCTGGAAAAGCGAGAAGAGGACAAACCTACTAACGTGAGTGATGCCTTACACCTATCTTTTAATGTTTTTACCACCATTCTCTGAAAAAAGCAGCGCAGCTGTTATTTTCAGGGTGCTTGATTAGTCCGACTTTTTAAAGTTGATTTAACTTTGACGGACGCGGACGGTGCTATTTGACTCACCCCTTTTCACGAAACAACAAACGTTAAACGTTGAGTTATGAACAACATATTCTAGAAGACTTTCAAAAATAGATAGCTTTTTGTCGTCAAAAATGACAAAGATCCACATGCATATTAAGATTTGAACCATGCTATGTGTGATTATTATAGGAAATAGAAATCATCTTTTTTTTATTATTCATGAACCACAGAAGACTGTACAGATGTTTGGTGTTTGTTCACCTGTCACAAGACCTGTCATACCCTTTAATTTCTGTTTTTACAGTTTTACAATCCCGTGGCTTTTATTCTTTAACGTTAAGGTTCATAATGAAGATCAGATCTGAACAGGGATCTCTACAGTGTTCGTATGTAAATTCAGTCTTTCTCATGGGAACAAAGTCAATCTTAACTTTGGTTGTGCTTGAAATATTTACTATATGCTTTGGCACGAGTTAATAAGAAGTTGTTCTGCAGAAATTTTGCAAAGTTGTGCAGAATTTGTCATGCGCTTTGTTAAATATTTACCATTGCCACTCAGTCACATCTGACACCGCAGTGCTCCAACTACAGCCTCTCTGGCACATCATCTATCTCTCTTTGACAACTTAGGCAAGGATAGTTTATTTGTATAGCACATTTCGTGTACAAGACAATTCAAAGTGAAAAAGTGAAGGGTGCAAATAAAATAAACTCAATTTCCATCTGCACAGTTAAACAGAACCGTGTTCAGCCTGGATTTAAACATTGTCAGAGTTTTGGCCTGACTCACATCTTCAGGAAGACTTCAAGATTTTTGGAGCATTCACCTTGTTTAGTTCTGACTCTGGGCACCACCATTAGACCAGAACCTGAATTTTTCAGAGTCCCAGCTGCTTAATCTGGCTCTAACATGTCAGAAAGGTATTTCGGTGCTTGCCCATGAAGAGACTTGTACACAAGCAGAGCTGTTTTAAAGTCTATTCTCTGAGGGACAGGAAGCCAGAACAGAGAACTTAAAACCTACAAAACTAAGACAGTTTTAGGTGCTGCAGGTAGAGTTAAGTATGGACTGTGTACGGACTGTGTCCGCTTACCAAACTCTAAAGTATACCTACGGACTACCAACCTAGAAGTTGTCTTTCATCATATCCAGATTAAATCTATAATCTTATTCATTACTTTGACTTAATTGTTTTTTTTTCTGATGCTCTGAATTCTTTTATCTGTTTTATTAGTTTTATTTGCTGTTTTATTGATGTATTAGCCGGGCTTCCATAAAGTCTGACCTTTAGAAAGACAAATCGGACACATTAGAAATTATATTTCAGGAACTACTATAATATATGGGATTATAAGAAATGTCAACCAACACAGCATAAGGAGCCCCGAGGATTTTTTTTTATCTTTGCCAAGGTTTCTAAAGGTATTTCCATTTATATTAGTGTGTCTGATTTTTGTCGGAACAGGTGCATTGTTGGAAGGTGTTTACCTTATTGCCTTTTTAATCCATGTTTTCTCATCCATATCTTCTAAATGCAAAACAAAATTACAATTCAAACGATAGTCAAGACAACAGAGCAGCCGTAGAACAATATAGATCAACTTTATCGATCCCACAGTGGGGAGATTTATTTGTTAAGGCAGCTCACTGGAAAGAAAGTACAAAGTGCAGAGGGAGTAGTTAAAGTATAAGAGCAAAAAAAAAAAAAAACAGTGAAGTGGAAACAAAGTTAAGCAAAAGAAATACACAAAACAAAAAAATATTGAATACCCTGCAAATAACATTCAGGGAAATGACCAGAGTGCAATTATACTTTTGAGAATGAAACTGTTTCGACAGTGAGAATAAAAGATCTGGAGTACCAAGCTGGTACAAGAAACCATTGTTTCTGGAGCTCTTGGTCATCTGCCACATTTTGCATTAGCATTAACATAATTGTATTTTTAGGGGAGACTGGCACTTCACATTGCTTTTCCTTGTAGAATTAAATAGGTCATGAATTGCCACAATCTGCCAGAAGTTTAAGGACTTTGCTTTAAAGAGGCCTACAGGTGGAGCAAGCTGAAAATGAAACAGACTGGGGGGGTGCTCATAACCTACGTGTAAATAGAAATGTGATAGAGTTGATGTTTTACTGTTATTAAAACTGTGTGGAAACAGGTTAGAAGTTATTGATAATAACATGCTCTTGATTTGATGATTTTATCTCAGATTTTATCTCAGAATTTTATCACCGTTCATGGTGATAAAACTAGTTCCAAATATCCTTTTAATTCAGCAGTTATATGTTTCAGTGAACAGAAAGAAATATTTCTTGCATGTCAGCTTTATCTTGACATCATGAACTGAAGTGCTAAATTGAGGTATATCGTTTATTGCATTAAAAACAACCACAGCATTTTAAACTTCTGCAGTGAGATTCATCCGGAGTTACAAACTCGCCAAGAATGTGCTGCAACTTGTTGGCTTGGTAGTTAAAGAGAAGTATGTTCTTTACACTGGCAATCAAACTATTTTTTTTTCACCGCCCAGGTCTTCCACAGTATTTTTTAGAATAAATATCCTCCAGTGTTTTCGAAGGCTGATGGCACTTCACATTTGACAAACATCAAGCAGACTTGGCTTGATAGAAACTTTAAATGACTTAATTTAATGGTTTTGAAAGAAAGTCCTTGTTCCAGATTGCTGAACAGGTATAACTGCATGCAGGCTCAGAGGCATGAATGAACACATAAGCAGTTTATGTAGATTTGTGGCTGGAATTGCATGAATTGTCTCAGACATGCATGAAGCAGACGTCTGATAATGCAAAAGAATACAGATACTCACCACCTATTTCTTAATGCTCGCTGGTTTCATTAGGAACATCTTTTAAATTAAACTGCTGATATTTTTCACCTCATTTTGATGTATAAATAATCTGTTTATGAACGCTCTCATGCCGTGAGAGCGAGCTGAGAAGAGTTTGAAGGACTCTGGTAAGCGTGTTATTAAAGTAGCTTAGTTGGATTTTATTGTTTTCAGTCAATTCAGCCACGTATTTACATGAGCTCATAATACAGGCCTGCTTTTAAGTAAGGCAAACATCCTTCGATGGCGTGTTTCCAGTGTTCGCACGTCAGCATAATTATAGGATGCCTCAAACGCTACAAAGTGTTGATAGCATATTTACACTGAGACCTGTAATGATGAATCAACGTTAGAGTTGCAACACGTTTTCATCATAATTTTCATGACGATTTCCTCGATTAATCAACGATACAAAATGACTGCATGGCGCTATATGTTTTGTTCTTTTTTTGTTTTGTTGTTTTGAATAAATTAAACTGATTACTGGTAAATATCATAATAATCTTAAATAAGTTATTAATATCTAAATTGGGTATTGAATGAGCTCTTGATAATCAAAAAACACTTTACTGACACGTCAGGAAAGGGAAGAAAAACAATCGGCAAAACATTGCTTTAGATTTTTGTTGATCTGTACTATTCTGTTACTATCTAACTGCCTTTGCCAATTCCTGGAGCTATCCTATCTATTGGATATAAATATCTACTTGTTGTATGATGGCCTTCAGGAAGACATGAACACACACACATATCCAAATACACACACCTGCTGGGCCAAGCGCTCATGAAACTTTGACTTTATGTTGTAGTTTGAAACAAACATTATAACTGGCTCTTATAATTCATTCCACAATCATATTGTACAAAAAAAAAACATGGAAAAAGCACAGAGTAACAGGGTTATATATACAGACTGTTAGCTGGAAACAGGTGAACACAAACCCGCACAAAACATGAACTTATTTGGTGCGAGCAGCATTGACTTTTGTTTGCACAGTTTTGTTTGCCTTGCTCACTCTCACTGAGCCTGCAACAGTTATATAAAGAGGCTTCATTAATCTGCCTTATGTAAGGCGCACCACATTCCTCAGAGCGCTGCTACCTGTCACTGTCACTGTGCTTAACCAGAAACTGTCCGTCCACAGTCCCCCTACTGCCCCTCACCAGTAGTTTAGTTTTCATTTAGTCCACAAGTATTCTCTGACATCCACATCTTAACAGTAAATAGATTTGAAATACTTTTCTCTTATGATTTCTTAAAAATAAAACAGATGACAAAGATGGGTTTGATCATGTAGCTGTGGCTAAGTTTAGTCATAACTATTAAAATGTTTCGCGGTTTAGATTCATCATCAACAAACCAGTCCGTCTTGAACTGTGTGTGATCTTTTCAGTGGAAATTGTTCACTCCGGCTCTTTCCTCTGTGTATGTGGCACCAAAGTCCTGCAGGGGGAGGCTAACGATAACAGTGTGTGCCTGCTTGGACTGGCATTGTAGCTCTCCGAGTGGAGAACAATCTGGATGGAAAAGGGATGGGCGGCTGGTGGAGCCTCACCCAGCCTTGTAAGGCAGCGCGACTTCCCACACACTTAGTCACACGCTGACAGTCTGGATCGCAGCTGGCTGCTCAAAACCGGGACCAGTCCCAGAGAACCTTCTCTGCCCAGGTAGATATCTGAGGGAATCTTTGTGAGAGAAACTGAAGCCTGATTATGATTATTTTAAGTATGACGAGTGTGACTTGCATGATGGTGCCGGTTTAGCTTTGTGAAGTGTTTGGTTAAATTGTTTTTGTGTGGGAGTGTGTGAACACAAGCCGCTTCAAAAAGACGTTCTTGAAAAGAGAGATTTTGATCTTTTAGATAATTCCCTTATTTGTCATTTACAAGCTATTCCATTTTCCCTCTCATTGAAATCTTTTGAAAAAGAGCGAAATCAAGTGGAACTTAAAGGCCACGGGACCATTTTCATCAAGCTGAGGAAGCTTTTCAGCAAATGAAGCCCGTCATAAACTAAATGTTTCAGAGTCTGTGCTGCAGTGATGCTTTTGATGTTTTATGGATAAAACTAGAGATCAGATGATGAATATAAACTCTGCCAGATCGGTTACAGTCATTGTTTCTGACTCTAATGCTTTAGAATCTGTGCCAGATTCAGAGATCCAGCCGTACCTTTCAGCCTTTGAGCGGCAGCTACAGCAGAAATGCCTGAAGCAGTTGTAACACAGCTCCATCCTCCCGCTACATTGTCTGCTACCCTGAGAGCAGGACACCAGAGACTGAAAACAGACTCCCACTCAGGCCTCATTATCATCTGTCTGCTAAAAAAGCTGACCCGCGACAGAGGTGCCTCCAGTGGAGGATTAGCCACTTAACTCGCACCTTTTCCTTTTTCCTGCAGTTTAAGTTTCAGTCATGTGATCTTAGCATGCATTTTGAAACTGTAGGAATTGCTGTGAATAAGGCAGACTCACAGCTATTAGATGGAGTCATTGGAGGCATTCAATGACTTATGCGAAAATACATAATCGGCCTCTATTAAGGTGGAACGTCTGGAAATTCCTTTATGTAAACAAGCAGCATTCAGCTCTGCAGATGAAGAAGGCACTCCGCAGCTATTTATTTGTTTGTTTTGCAGCATTTGAGCTCATATAGTTGCGCAACTTTGAGGGAGACTCATCTGTTACTGAATAACATTTCAGATAGTGGTCCTGATATGATCAGTTAGCATGTTTTTCTTGAGTTTAAATAGCCTTAAGGTTCCTGTCCTGAAAACTATTATGAGCACACATGAACTGTCATGCAGCAGAAGCCTTAAGTGAATTTTGAGTGAGCCTGGTGTGTTTGTCAACCTGTTTGAGCAGGATTGTCAGGAATAACAGATCCGATGCTCTGCGCAGACGCAGAGAATGCTGGATCCTCTTATGCCCAGGAAAAAGGTTTGAGGTTACATGCGAGGAGCAGTTGGGACACATCAAAGAAAGTTATAATTGGCCTGAGGCTCGTGTAATTATCGTCCTCAGCATGGTAAGCCTGTCATTTTTTTTGCCAACAAACGCACACAACAGCTGTTACATCATGTAAAGAATAACTAAAATGCAAATTAAGGCAGGCAAAAAAAAGAAAAGAACGATCACTCGTGTTCTATTTTGGCTTCCAACGTGATCACAAGAACAAGTTCTGATGGCCATAATGACACATAATAAGCACCCTGTGGGGAAAGTGGATGCTTATAAATCCTCTTGTCATACACAGTGGAGCTGTTTTCATGGTGCTGTGAAACTGACCTTTCGAGGACTTGACCGTTCGTCAGCAAACAGTGATGGACTCTCTGGTATCTGCCTGAATTTATTGGAATGCTTGATGATAAACAAGGATGATTTGTGTCATTTTTCTTGTCCAACGTGAAGTCCTGTACATTTCTTTACTTTGACCACAAGACGGTTAAGATGGGACATGGCCATTCTCTGTTTGGGCCTCTGAAACAGCATCGGAGAAAGGTTTAAGAGGCCATCAGTTTTAGGAAAAGTATATGAGAACGAACCGGTGATTCACTTTTTTAAATAGAAAATTTCAGACATGCGAATAACTCTTCTCAGATTGTGTCTTTCTCACGAACCTCTTCGTGTCAGTTGGAGAGAGAGGCCCTCCAGCCATCTTGGTTCACCTGTCAGCGTCTCAGAATTAAGACGACAAGCAACAAAGTGACACATAAAAGACCTGCCATTCAAACCAAACCATTTGGCCCTCGTTTGAATTGCAAAGCAGAGAAATGCTTGCTTACGTAAGTCGCCAAATCAGGTCCCCCATTTCCTGCAGGGTTGCCCTGCTCTGTCCTTTATGGCCGTGCATCAGCATTTGTGCCTGCATGACTTATGGCAGGCGTGGTCACACACTTCAAACCCTAATCTGTTTCCACCCATTAACACGCAGTTTTGTTGTCCGGCACGCAACGTACAAAAGCTAAAAGCACACAGTGTCTGGTCGGAGCGGTCTGACATCTGTGGCCGGACGCATTAATAGTTCATAGTCAACAAGAAAAAAAAACACTCCCAGACCTTTTGTCCCCACTTAAATTGATATATATTAAGAATGCGGTAGAGAAAATTGTGGGTGGCACAAGGTGACATTGTCAGTCAACACTGTCAGGTTTTTTTTTCTCGTGTCTCCCTCTTATTGTCAATTTAATTATATGATTCTATTAATATTGGAAATAAATACTTTGTGCATTGTTGCCATTGTGTGCACACACGTTTTAGTCATGACGCTACACACAGCGGCGTGCGTGCCTTTGAGCTTATTGTGGCAGCATTGTCTTAAAGTTGAGAACCGATGAGGTATGAGACAAATGTGTCTGTGCCTGTTAAGCGCCATTTTCATGGAAGCTAACGATGGGTGTGTTCTGTAAGTGGCTTAGTGTAGCGTCCGCTTAGGACACAGTGTACACAGCCTCTCACCATTGAAGGGCTATGTCTTAACAGGCAACGTCTGATAGTAAATTCCGAAGAACTGACACCAGCGATATATTTTGAGTCACAGTAGTCTGTTGGCAACATCTGCTTTGTGTCATCACGTTTTTTCAAAATAGTGAAATCAGAATTGTAAAATATTCAAACTCAAGCTAGTTTGCGCAAATAAGATTTCCACCACATCAGTTAACTGTGTTCCACAAATAACCCCCAGCTTTATCTTATCGGTTGACTTCTCAGTAAATGAGTTTATTGGTACGTTGTTGACATATTTCTTTTTGCCTCAGGCTTTTAAATTCTGCGGTAACAGTAATGATAATATCTTCTCTGCACTATCATCTCTGTCGCTGGCCTCCAAGTAAGATTTAATTAAGGTGACTGAAAGGTAAGCAGATCTAGAGAGAACAAAAGAGGCATCCATCGGGACTATTAATTCAGTCCTGTTTACCGTTGGTTCTGGAACACTGCACACAAGTTTTCTGCAAACAAACAGCTCTGCGGGAATGACGCGTGAAGATATATATATATGTTTGTGTGTGTACATACACACAAAGAGCATGGAATAAATTATGTGGCAGCTTATGGGGGAGACAGTGTTGTGTAACTCGCCTGCTGTTAGACTTTTTTTTCTGCACCAGAAGTGCATTCAGTTGTCAAAAGGCCACATGTCTTTTTTTTCTTTTATCGTTGAAAATAATGGGAAAAACTTCATGCAGTCAATACTTTCCTTAGTTCAGGTGGCGTTCCGGTGCAGAATTATGTGAAATCAAAGGAAGGATGTGTTTGCTTTTGGGGGAGAGTAAAGGGTGGTGTGTTTAGGGATTTTAACCGACATAGTCCTTTTCTCCAAACTTGGATATATGTGTTTTTTTTAACTATCGCTTTTGTCCACAGACAAGTTTAATTTACTCTTTGATCATTTCATCTTATCATCTCTTGTCTTCGTCACTGTCAACATAGATGCTGAGCTTTGTCCTAAATAGCTCATCTCAACACAAAAATATGTCTACACTCCCAGAGGAAGTTTATTCTAAGCTTTTCATGTCAGGACAAATCCCTCTAACAATTAGTTTTTATCAGGAATTTGACTCAATAAACTGATGGAACAGTAAAACCGACTTTCCATTTATCTTTAAACCTATGTTTGGCCTGCTTGATTATACCCTATATCATATATTAAAGTTATCCTTAAAAGTTGGCGTTCAATTCAGGATGACTGTGCAGTTTCCATTTGTAAAGGATGCAGAGAGCCGTAGGTGATCATTATTTATATAAATCTAATGTCATGTGTTGTTTAACTGAAGTTATATCTTCCTCATTTTGAGACCTGGTAAGGATCTACTTTTATCCTGTTCCTACATGAACACCACAAACGCCTCAGGATGAAAACAGGATCACAGTTTAGATAAACAGTGCTAAAGGAAATCCAAACAATTGCATTTCGATTGTGGTCCACATGGAAAATAACTGGAAAAGAATGTTTACACCGACACAGCACAATCATAAAGCGTACTAAGCTGAGGAGAACTAGCAGAAAGCACCAGGCTTAAAATAACTGTCCACATATCTGCAGAATAAAGTTTTATTGTCAGTTTTATGGTCACTGAGAGGTCAAATGAAAAATAATGATCTTATTATGGTGCCACTTGGCAATCAGAGGTATTTTTCCTAGCCAGTCTGTCATTGAAGCTGATCAGTTTTTTTCGGAAAAAGTGTCTGAATTGTGATGTTTGGACTGTCGGATCGTTGCATTTTCAGAACTGTTTATGGCTGGTCTGCAGTGGTCAGGACCACCTACGTGGTTGCAGGGCAACTACACCTTCTCATGGACAGTGTTCCCCCTTGGCAGAGGCCACTGTTGGCATATTATCTGTTAGTGTTGCCAAGGTAACATAGACATGTTGAGGGTGACTAAGCTGTCATGGATAAGTATTTGTATTTTTGGCCCAGGCTCCTTTGGACTGGTTTCATTTTCTCCACTGGGCAGAGTCACGTGTTTGGTTTGAATCAGCAGCGTTGACCACGAAAGGCCCACTGGAACTGTCTCCTCATTGTGGGTTGCTAGGCTTCGCAGTCTAAATGTGTAAATGTGGGGCACCCGCGGAGGAACTTCACCGAGGGGGGAGCTTTTGGGAGTAAAACTCCAGCCTTTCTCCTCGCTCAGCTCCACCCTCCCAGGCACGCTTGACTTTCAGCTTGAGCTCCTCCTCTGTCTCTTTGCTGATTGTTTTTTTTTTCTTTCTTGGAGTTCCCCAACGCGACGCTTAGTCATTTAGTTCCCCTTGTCCTCCTGTCTTCCCTCTCAGGAATCCTCCCGGCAGCTCAGACTCCAGGACGACACCTCGGAAGAGCCCAGCAGCCAGGTACAAATATCAAAAAGGAATTCTCATTTACAGTGTTGTCGGATGAGATTATTGCAAAAAATATATATATATTTTTTCTTCTTTTACTGAATATAGGAGAGCAGCATAGCAGTTGTGCTGCCTCAGGAACCGAAAGAGCAAAAACAACAGCTTGAACTCATCGCTCCCACTGAGGAGCAAGTCGAAATCATCAAGGTACAGTATGTGAGCATTTTTTGGGCTCTTAGTTATGTTTGTAGGCAAACCGCCGCTCACCTCGTGTGTACCTGTGCGACCGCGTCCTCGCCCTGTTGTGTAGCACACCTGTGCGCTTTGTCGCTTAGGTTTACCTCGAAGCTCGCCCGGAGACGTCAGAGAGCGTCAAGATGCTGACGGACGAGGTGTCGCAGATTCAGGAGGTCAGTGTGCGGCAGAGACATGCAGACACACAAACCTTTTCATGCCAGTCTACATCCACATGCTTCATCATGTGTGTCAAAGTCCATGAGTCTGCAAAGGGGATGGCATCCAGATCTCAGACTGGTGTCTCTTTAACCCACACTGCTGTCATCACTCAGCTCACAACACATCAACCTTTCCGTGATGATAAATGTTTTTTTGTTGTTATATAAACATTTTGTTGATGCACAAATGATGTTTCTTTCCAGGTGAGATATTGTCTGAAGACCCTAAGAGAGCAGATAGCTGCCAGACAAAGCAGCAACAACAACAAGGTTAGCGCTCACAGTCGGAAAATCACGTTTTTATAATTAGACAGATCAGTGCTGATCTTTTAAATTAGATTTATTTTCATGTAAGAAAAGCTCTGCTATATTATTCTCCCCGGATGACTCACAGTCAGTTGACAAGGCCAAATCATGTGAAGGGAAGGATTTCACTTCTTTGATAAGACTTGCATAGCATTTTTTTTAAAGCTGCAAATGCATTAAATAGCATCTACAAAGAGACTATCAAACATTTAATTAAATATTTAAATCAATCTAAACGGACAAAAAATAAGAATTGGCAAGGGGAAGAAATTAAATGTAAACTGCTTGGAAGAACAGAAATATCAGAACAAAGACAGGACAAAAAAAACTTGATCGCCAAAAGCTTGATGATTCCTTTCATCTGTAACTTGGAAGAGTCCATGAATTACCTAAAATGAATTGATCGAACGTATTGAAAGAGTATTTTAATTTACTTTCGTTCCATTTGAACTGAGCTTAGAGAATGAAGCAGCAACACTTCTGGACTTGTTCATAAATGTGTTTTCATGGTGGGGTTTTAACATGTCCATAATTGATCAAATCTTTATGGATAATGTTTTTATAAGTTTTCCATTTCCATTCCATCTCAGCTTTATAAACGCTGTGCTGCCTGAGGACCTCAATCTCATGACAGCTCTATTGATTTTAAACTTTCTCCTCCATTTACTAAAATACCCCCAATTCTCAGAAATCTTTTAGTGCCGTTGCGTAATGTAATACATGTCATTCTCTTCTCATTTACAGTTTTTCCCCGAGTAGTGAATAGCTTCTATTTACTTCTGAAAAAATCCCTGCTTTTCTGGTTTTTACATCCAGAAGTAATGTGTAATTATCAAAACAAATTTTGAATTGGTTTAAACTGTTTGATAGCAGCATGATAGCTAGTTGAGATATGTTGTGTAATGATTTTAAGAGTTAAAGGAGTAAAAAAAAAGTTCTAATCACCTCTTTACTATTCAGTATCCGGCCAATGGCATCACAGTCAACATACCCAGGAGCCAAAAACGTGTCACCAATGGCAACGCCGTCCTACCTGATGCCCAGGTAAACTCATCTTTCCTGAGTCTTTCCTCAGAATGTTGTATGTTGCATTCAGAAAATAAATCACAGGCATATCATTTGTCACAAAAGTGTGAGTCAGCTCCTTCCCGTTAGCATCCACCTACTTCTACTGCTGAGAAAGTGCTGCCACTCACACACCACAGGGGATCGCCTCTAGTGCACTCTGACTCAACACATCAACACGCACACACATCATATTGTCTTTCCCATCCATTATTCCAGACTCAGCACATCGTAACATCTACTGTAATGCTAAGCCATTATCCACCATAGCGGTGGATCAGGAGCTGAGACAAGTTGTTTGTGTGTATTTTTACCCGTTGATGTGTGTGTGTACGTGGAATACAAGCAAACCTGAGTCAGGTTGCACTGTTCTCAGTATAAGTTAATATTATAAAGCGATATAAAAGTCCAGAGGCCAGAGTTTGTCTGGGAGCGAAACGACTTTGTCCCCTGGAGAAACAGCCCAGCAATAAAAGATTAGTAGATTGGACAGAGTTTAAAATGCTTCAATTACACTCAACAGAGCCTTTGCATGTCCCATTCACACTGTCTTTTATCTGCTTGTTAAATCCACTCCAGGTTCAGGTAGTAGTTCAGGTTTAAGCCTAATTGAGAGTATAATTTTCTCTCTGCCTGCTCTCTCAGGTCCGGGACGATCAGGAGGAGAGCGGGAAGCTCAGGGAGGCGACCAAGCGCCTTTATGCGCAGCTGAAGGAGATGGAGAGGCAGCATCAGGAGGAGAAGGACAGGCTGCAGGTTGGTCTCCCGAGACGCGTAACATGACGCCGTTTCCTGCCCGCAGCCGTGACTCACCCTTCCGCCGCTCTCAGGCTGCTGATCGCTTCCCTTATCTGTCAACATTATCTTTGGAATTCATCCCTCAGCCTGTGATCACCCAGCGTTTGGGTGTCGATGATGGATGTGTCAGGGCATGTGAGGGCACTGCCCTTCCACTAACGCTTTATTATGAGCTGCTCTGCCCGCCCGCGTCTCCTACTTCATCTTTCTTAAGCTTGTGCAACAGGCAGACATTGAAATGCTTTCCTTTTATACCATCTGCCTCATTTACATCACCTTTTTTGGCTTTTTTGTACCTCGTCCAAAGTAACTAATTTGAATGGAAAAAAAAACTTAGACAGCCAAATTCAACATGTTATTGAGCTCAGGCTTGCAGGACAAGTTTACACATATTGTTTGAACTAAAAATCCTCAATTATCACAGGGTGGATCCTGATTCAAGCGCCAGTAGAAGCTGGTTACTGTGAGGCAAAACCGTCCACACTGAACTTCTGTTCTCTTTTTATTAGCTGTTTTTTAAATGAACATGTTCTTTGTCTCACCTGATCGTAACTGAGTTTATTATCTTACATAAACATGTCTTGAGCTTTCTGACTTTAACTCTGCAGTCCCCCCACATTCTCTATTGTAGAGCTTAGCTAAGACTAAAAAAAGTTAATCAAACCATCGACTTCTGGGTACTTGCTGAACCCCTGGTGCCATAGCGAGCATATATGCCAGAGTTCTCTGTAGAAACAGGTTCCATTTTGACTCCATCTTTGTTTGGGACTACTTGCTGCTGGTCCATAGCAACACACAGAGGTTTCCAAAGTTATATGTTACTCCTTTAGGGTTTCTGTATGCCTTTTACAAAAGAAGCTTAATATAGAAAAAAAAAACTTTGCCCAAAAGATGTTTTAAAAATCCCTGTTTAGAACGTATGACGCTTTGATCTAGAACCTAAACTGATGGCAACATCTGTCTGACTTTGATTTTTATGGCAATCATAAATACGATGAAATGGGGACAGGAAATGGAAGTGGCACCACGCAGCCTTCTTTAGGGATAGTCGTCACCCCAAATCATAACTACTCTCAACTTGGCTCCCTGCTTTAGACAATCTTAAAATAACAGGGGAAGAGTTATGATTCATCTCTGCAGAAGCAAATTTATCACAACACACAGGGACTGAGTTTTTCAGTCTTGGAAAAAGAACAAATGACCCACAATGAAATGCACACTTAAAAAAAAAAAAAGGTGCTGTATGAAAAATACAAATTACATGTTGTGACTTTATTGGTCAATGAGTTCCTTTAGGGGGTTTTATCCATTTTCAAACTATTTAGTTGTAAATTTCTGTCAATGATCTCCAAGATTTCAGGATCTCGATCTCTAACCTTTAAAATTGCACCTTGAATGATCTGCCTAAGCCTTTTGCATGTCCAGTCAGTGGAAAACTGGCCCCAAACGTTCTGTTGCGTGATTCTGATAAGATTCCTCTTTCGTTTTGCTGATCACAAGGTTCAAGCAAACTATCTTCTAACGGCATATCTATCAAAACTAAAGAGCTGCGGTTCCTCTTACAGGCTGAGTCCAGGGAGTCTCGCGCCCGCCTCGCTGAGCAGTCGGAGCGGCTGGAGAGGGCCGAGCGGCTGTCGGAGGAGAGGGGTCAGCGGGTGGAGGAACTGCAGAGGCTGTTGGGGGGCATGGAGACGGAGACCGGCGTTCTGAAGGAGAAGTTGGCTGCTGGGGAGGAGGAACTGCTGCATCTCCAGGCAGACAGAGAAGAAGGGATGGAGGAGCAGCAAAGGTAAGACCGAGTGCCATCCCAAAAGACGAATGCTCGTTTTTATATAACACGTAAGCCTTTATACATCAACATGACTTGTCCAGAACTTCACGTGAGGAGGTGTTTAAGTTGTCCTGTGTGTTTCTCTGCAGGTGTGCAGAGCTTGAAAAGGAGGTGGCTGTCCTGAAGGAAAAGATTCATCACCTTGACGACATGTTAAAGAGTCAGCAGAGGAAAGTCCGCCACATGATCGAACAGGTACAGATAAACAAAAAGGTTTCCTAGAAGTGCACACATACGGACACTAGAACCCAAAACAATGCAAATGAGCTGTCTGATGCCCACAAACGCACAGCGAGCCATTAATGAGGAAATCAGATTGTAAAGAGGAGCCGAGCAGAAAAATGCCACGAAACAAAACAGCCTTTTATTGAATATGTGAGGCTGCAAACTGCATAAAAGACAAAGTGAGTAGTTTTTCTCATGAGCGGCCTCCTTATTTTTGTTTGTTTGTTTTGTCCGGAACAGCTGCAGAACTCCCGTACGGTCCTCCAAGAGAGGGATCGATTCATCAGAGATCTGGAGGAAAAAGTGGCTTTCCTGGAAGCTGAGGTCAGCATCCTTTCACTCAATCGTTTAAAAAGGATGAACACATCCCTGAAAGACCTTTTTGTACTTTGCATTTATATTTTTTACATTTCCTCTCACATCATTCGCAATTTCTTGACAATATATCTAACTTCTAAAACAAAATGTATCAAGCAAACCTGCAGGAATCTATCCAATTATCCCAGCCCCCAGAGTTTGATGAGCTTATCAAATGATAGTCATGCATATGTCCGCCAAAATGAATAAGGATGATCAATAATATCTAGTTTTCCTGATGGTGCTCCCATCACTACACGAAATCCAGCATGACACACCTTCAAATTTTCTCTTGCAACAAAAAAAAAAGCAAAACATTGTTTATCAGCTATAAATGGAGATAACTCTTTATCTTCGAGCTTAGCTCTAATCGCGTCTGTGCTTGAACAGCTAACAAAGAAGCCAAGTAAAGCACATTTTAACCGTTTGAATTTCTTTCTGTCTGCAGAACAGGGAAATGCACGACCATATGGAGTACTTCCTGGCAGGTCAGGACCCTCCACCTCCATCAAATGAGAATAAGCCAGAGATTGTTTACAGGTGAGTCATCTCCACCTCATTTCCCACTGTTCCTATCATCAATCTCCGCTGAAATGTCACTGAGAGACTGTCAGCGTTGGTCACGCTGTTCAAATAACACATCGGACTTTCCACTTTTCTTCAGCAAACCCCTCACACCAACGACACAGACCAACAAAGCCCTCCCGTTCATCAAAGTCATTGAGATCAAGTCTTGAATGGAGCAGCAACCAAAGAAATGACTAGAAGAAAAATACTGTGTAAATTCATATTTAACCCCTCCCCCCCACTCCAGTGAATGAATGCATCTGTAGTGACAAGAAATTAATATTTTGGACCTCACACACATTGGACTTGTGTTATTACCTCCAGGCCACAACTGGGAATGTTTAACATGCTGTATAATTTTCTGAGTCTCTAAATCAGACATGAGCAGGCTTTAGAGGGAATGAAATTCAAAAAAAAAAAAAGAGGGAGAAAAGTTTTGAGCGATTTGTGCCATGCAAAGAAAGTGAATAAGTCATTTCAGCAGGTTAATGTTGTGTCAATTGAAATTTTTTTCCCCTTATGGAGGTCAAATGTACAAATGGTGTGCTGAGTGTTTAGTGTTTTTCACTCCTCCAGTTCCTGCAGCCTATTGAAGCGAGTTCCCTCAGGGGTCACGGTCAAATTCCTCTGGGCTTTGCAGCACGTTATTAATGACAGGCATGCAGTTGTCAAAGCGTGCGCTGAGACATGATTTACTCTAAGGTGAAATATATTGCTCCATTATTGTAGGTCAGATTTAGAGCGGTAATCCTATTTAATGTCTTAAGGTTTTGACTTAAGTTGGAGCTTTGAGGGAAAAATGTTTTTCCCCATTTTCTGCCAAGTGTTGCTTCAACATGATTGCAGGCCAGGCCTTTTATGTGCTAACATGTTACATATTTAATAATGCCGATGTAACTAAAATTGTTTATAAAATACTTGTATAACCGTCGCTTTTTTTCCTTGTAAATTACTGTTTTGATCTGTTAAGTTTTTCTAATGTAAATTTACTGTGAACATTGTAGATAGGTACACTGAAGTTTAGTCTGTGACCTTTTATTTTAGCCTTTGTTTTCTTTTATTTAATCTTTATTAATAAATAAACTGAGGGTGTAATGTTGCTGTCACTGACTTATCAGGATAACGTGCTCTCACACTGCCACCTAGTGGTTATACAAAGGAAACCAAAATGTCAAAAGGTTCTTTATGCCAACATGAATCCGTACAACTTCAACATAAATACAAATTAAACAGCATCATTTCAATAAGTTACCATTTATATAAATATTTCCCATCTGTACAACGTAATCAAAACCTAGGGTGTGTATTTACATGTCGAATAAAACAGACTTGCTATTCATTTAGTTTTTACAAAGGTGTCAAATAACATCTTTGCCAGGTTAACAATCATATTCGTCTTCTGAGCCCAGTTCCTTAAGTGCAAACTAAGACCAAAGGGCCTCTGTAAGCATGTGCACATAAGGGCCCCATTGCAGTTTTTAAAAAAAAGAGGAATTCTACATTATTTGTCTAATTTGCATTTTAAAGCTCAACATGAAATAATAGCTACAGCCAGCTGCCCCATTCTCAAACCGCTGTGTGCTCATGTTCACACTCCTCACACACACACACACACACACACACACACACTCACACACACACTCACACACATCACAGCGTACTCTCCAATGTGTTGTAGTTGTCTTTGAAACTTTTGAGCTCCAGAAAGTGTTTGGGCCTCTTGCTCCGCTGGCCTGTGGAGGGCAGGTAGGTGACCTGGATGGTGGAGGGGGTGCTGCGCACAGGAGAGCCCGTCAGGTCTTTGGCTGCAGACTGATGATGCTGATCCAGGCTGGTGCTGCTGGAGTACGCCTTCACGCTGGGAGGGGGGCCGGGAGAGATTGATATCAAGGCAGGGTTACAGGACTCGCATTAACCTAACGTCCCTGCAGCCTCCCGTCAGAAATTCTGATTAGCTCTATTTCTAACACAGGACGATTTTTCATTCAACAACCCACCGCCTGTTCAGTTGATAACAAGGTGTAAATTCAGTGAAAACGGTACAAAACTGGGACCAGAAGAGCAGCACTTACACGTCAACCAGTTCATTCAGAGCGTGTTGGTATTCGAGAAACTCTGCCTCTCCAAAAACCTAAAAAGCACAAAGACGCAGCAGTTGTGTTACATCAATATTTAAATAATGTTATCTTCAACCCTGTACTCGTAGGCAGCCGTGGTGTGGTTACCCACCCCGGTGCCGTGGCGAGCACTGTCGTAGCCTTCCAGCAGGCGGTCTATGAGCGCGCTGCGGCTGCTCTTGATCAGAGAGTGGGAGTTACGGAGCTCCAGCAGCCAGTTCCTGAAGCTGCGCCCCGTGAACGCACTGGGACTGCAACTTATCTCCTGCAGAGGAATTCCTGGAGGAACAGCGGATTTGGAAAATGGGAGCTCAGTACTTAAAAACTGTAGGTTTGGTCACACGGACCGTAAAAAAAAACAAACACGTGTATATAAATGACGTGAAATCACATTAAATAAGCAGTGTGACAAAGAGAATAAGGATTCATCTACTTTTAAAAGCTAGAAACATCATGTTTAAATCCTCACCAGAGTCCCGAATGGCATCCAGAGCTTTCATTCTGTACAGATAGTTGTAGCAGCCTTTTGAGACACAGAGGGATATCTTTAATTAAAGATGCACCCAAATAGCAGCATGCCTTTTTTATAAAGCTTGATGTGATGCAGAGCTGAGCTAAAAAGTGACTGACTTAGCTGGGATCCCCGCCTTAGCCTCACATCCCCCTCTGACAGGAGACGAGGTTCGAAGCGGATCTCTTGGACTTTGGACAGTCTGCCATCGATGTCCTCCCTCAAACCCTGGATATGAAGCCACGCAGAAAAGTTAAACTTAACTCCCCTCCGTTGGCCGAATAAGTTCAGTCTTGGGCAGACAGGTGACCCCCTACCTTCGGTGCATTGTGTCCAATCGGCGCGTGGGGTCCACGGCGGGATCTCATTGCAAAGCGCATGATCTGCCTCTTGACGAAGATGAACAGAAGCACGAACACCTGAACACAAAGCAAACGAGTCTGGCTGTAATACACCAAACTGTGTTCAAATACAAATGCAGCCACAGTCGAAGCAACTTACCAAGCTCCCATAGGCCATGACCAACACAACATTGACCCCCGATAAAGGCGACGAGTCTGCCATGCTGTTAGTCGGTGGCTGTTGACAGCTAGCAATGAAAACCACATTTAGCAGCTACATTAGCTTGTCTGCTAGCATGTTACTCTTTTTTTTAGAAATGAAGCATAATCACAACAACGCGTGACTTTAAAAATATCTAACATGTTTGTAGGGTATAATTTAAATGCAAAAAAACTACAAGATTACCAAGCCTCATCCTCTCTACATACTGAAGCGAATGATGAGCGAGATTAGCAGTTTAGTTTAAGGTAGCTCACTGAGGAGCAGATGACGCGCGAGCTCCATATTACCGTAATAACCGTCTAAGGAAGGCAAGTCAAATTTTAACAACGCTCCTGGTGTTTGCTTTAAAACCCCACGATGTTTACAGATTCAACCCCTTCAGATAGACTTTTCTTAGGATTCACATAGCTTAATTGTAAATGGTCAATTCTCGAAGTTGATGTTTTTTATTCCGGACAGTTGCTTTAGCTGCACAACATCAAACGTAAGTGTAATGTTATCCCTGAGGTCCAATTCACAGACAAAACTAAAAAAAGTTCAGCAATCCACGATATATTTCAGAAAAAAAGTGAAGGAAAAATGCAACTTAACAATATTTGAAAAATCCCCCAAAAATTAATAAATGCATGTTTGAAAAGGGCATTTAAAAAACAACCCTTTTCTCTTTTTAAAACTGTCCCCCTCTGTTTGTGGTCTCTTTTGTGCTCTTTTATAAATATATTATTACACACTGCAATATTTATTTTACACATCTTCTCACCATATACAGTGACGTGATACACAATTGCCATGACGTATCCATATAGATAAGTCTTACTGCTCGATAAAAAACAAAGAAAGTGTTTTGCATGCTTTTTATTGTTAACCCTTGACCAATTTCCCAACGTCTACTAAACCAATATCCCTATATTAATATCATAGTGATAATTTCCCATTCAGTCTTGATTGAGTATATTTCTAAATTGAATTTTGTTTTAATATTTCAGTGACGGTGGTTGTATTATTTGAAAATAATCTTATATTACACGTTCCTTCGACGTGCGTTTTTTTAGTTTGTTACAAAACTGGTCTTTTGTGTTGTGTATCCGTTCTGTCTTGTCACCACTTTTGTGAACGTATCAAACTATATTAGTGAGTGGTCACGTGGTGTGAGTCTGGTTTCCTCGAAGCGTTCTGTAAACCACGTGACTCGACTATCCGTGGTGTCAGAGTGGAAAAGAAACAGGTAAATTCACAGGCTCTCCCTTATTGTGTTAGCGAGTCGGCCCTTTTTATTTTTCTCAATTTAGTCACATGAACTTTGTGGTTTGGAGTTGTATCCTCAACTAAATCTGAATAGAAGATCGGCAACGAGCCCCCGTCTGCCGGTTGTTTAGCAGTGTATGATATTGAGCCGGGTTTCTGGTCAGTATCGTTTTATTTATTTTCATTGCAGCGGCCTGTAGGCCTACCTGCAGCCTCGGCATCTTCTATGTCGAGCGTCCGAGCATCGGGTCTTACCAGGGCTCAAATTGGCTGTCATTTTTACATAGAGGTTGTTCATTTACACGAAATGGCTAATTTGCTAATGTAGCACAGCCCTGTGATACGACGCAAGTTAGCATGGCTACCATTAGTTAGCAGGCACTTTGTGGTAACTGAGTAGCGTGTACGTTTTGCTTATCTTGTCGAAGGGGAAAGCTTCCTGGCCCATTAGTTTGCGGCAAGCTAACTGCCTTATTGGTTCTCAAGCTAAGCTAGCATACCCTAGGAGTGATGCTTTGTGTAGCTAGGTATCGATACTGAGTTAGCTCGTGTGCTAGTGGCTGTTAAAGTTAGCCTCGCTGTCGCCATGAGGTGAAGCCGTGAGAGGCGGAAGCCCTCCGAGACTTCTGAGCTGGATGCTCTCCCTCAAGTATTAGCAAATGGGCTAGCATTTTGGCCATGTGGCTGGCTAGTGGAAGTGGAATATGTTCGACGGGCCCTGGGTTTGTTTGTGTGCTCGTCAAAACACGGTTTTACGTAACGTGTGGAAGATTAAGCCCTCACTGATTAACGCAAGACTAACAAAATATAACTGATGCACTTGACAGTAATTGTGTGTATTTTTTTCTCATTTGTGATGTTAATCACAATCTGCACCTACCTATTGGGGACTTTGTGATATCTGTTTGCTTTATAATTCAGGTGGATACCTTTGGGTTTTTCGGATGTAGAAAGTGTTGCACCATCTTATGGGAGGAAAATAAGTTGTGCATTTGCAGGGTGCAGTACTTTGTGCGTCGAGACACTTCTGTTTTCCGGGTCAACCCCGCGGCTAGTTAAAGATGTCTGAGAAAATGGTAGAAAATGCTCTTGTCGCCGTTTTCCAGGCGTGTCTTAACACAAAGCTAATACCTCTCTCTGTTTCCCTAACCCTGTAGATATGCTACCGTCCACTTTGAGGAAGTGCAGTGAAATTGTTCATGACATGTGCAGGCATTAAATGAATATGGTCACTTGTCTGACGCCCCTCTTATCTTTTTTTCCTCAGGTGTTATTCCTTTGTAAATACTGTTATTTGTATATACTGTAAATGATGACGTCCATGGGCGGGAACCGAGCCCGGGGCAGCTGGGAGCAGACACAGGGCCAGACACAGAGCCAGACACAGCACAAGCAGAGGCCTCAGGTACCCTCACTCTCACCATACAGGGATCACCATCGGGGTTTATCAAAGCCAAATAAAGATGCCCTTTACCAGACAGTGACGAATGTACATTTTTATTTACACCAACAATGGACAAGCAACCTAAATACCATGCAATTTATCTCAGCGTGTCTTTTGACAGAAGATACCCGCTCTATTACAAACCTGTTTTGTTAGCTTTAAAGTTGATTAAAAGTTAGAAAGATGCCCCAAAATCATCAAAACTGTATGACACTATATTATGACTCCCAAATTTTTCTCCTAAAGTAAATTTGAATCCCAGATAGAAACAGAATTAGCTCTGTTGCCTAAGTTATAGCTTTTTCAGCACCTCCCCAGTAATCTAAGAATGTGTCTCACTAAGAATCTAAATATACCTAAAGATTGTAATTATATAGATCTTGCCACAGCTCTTCAGTTATCCGGCTATGGCTTCCATATGGCACTAACAGTGTGGCAGAGCCTTCATCCCAAATACTGTCTGGTCCCTAACAGCAGCATTATATACACCCTGTGACTGTCCTTACTGAGACTGTCCTTACTCTGCATTACCTGGTCAGTTTCAGCACGTGATCCGTTTCAGAATTTAAAGGAAATGGACATAATTCTTATACTATCTGTGAAAACAAAACCGTTTAAGGGCTGCTTTTGTATATGAATAAATGGATTGAAATGGGAAACACATGCATAGGATAAGCCACTGTAAACTGTATATTATTCAAGTGGACAGTAGGGCTGCAACGATTCGTCGACGTTGTCGACAAAAACCGATAATAGAAAAAGTCGACAATGAATTCCATTGTCGACTATTGTCGCCAGACGTGTTTTTCCAACAGAGTGAGACATCTCACTTAATTACAATCTGCCCAGAGTCACCTGCACAACAGCGTCGCGGTTACAGAAATGGCGGCGTCCAACACGCGTACAAAAACTTCCAAAGTTTGGGAGCATTTTATCCTTGATAAGAGTAAAAAAATTGCGTGCAAGGTTTGCAAAACAGACCTTGCGTATCACGGCAGCACCTCGGTGATGCATGAGCATTTAAAAAGAAAGCATGTTGGGCACTTAAATGAAACGGAGTCTGACTCGCCTCGGTAAGATTTAAGCAACAATAATGCTAATATGTTTTGTCTTTTATGTGCGTTATATTATTTTCTAAGCGTTTTTTCACTTTAAAAGAGAGCTTTAACGTTATGCCTGACTGTGCCTGACAAACGCATTCTTATTTACGTTTTGTATCAGCTGCAAAGTTGAATAAAATATGCATTTTTCATTGAAGTACCCATTTTTCTTGCATTTATCATTTTCCACTTAACTAAAGCAACTTTATGCTATTTTTAAGAAAAAGTGAATAACTATTCGATTAGTCGACTAATCGTTTCAATAGTCGGTGACTAGTCGACTATTAAAATAGTTGTTATTTGCAGCCCTAGTGGACAGTGTATCTGCAGCAAAGCTCTTTTTGATACTTGGACATTTTGGAATTCCCTTTCATTTTCCATGCTTTTAGAAGACTGCTCGCGTTTGTTGATGCAAATTCTGAATGTTTCATTCCTCTTAAAACAGGCCACCGCAGAGCAGATTCGACTCGCTCAGATGATTTCAGACCACAACGATGCAGACTTTGAAGAGAAAGTTAAACAGGTGAGCAGGTGTACATCCTTTTTTCTGTCTTTTTCTGTTTTCGGTGTGGAGTTGCATTTGTCATGTTTTCTTGTTCAATGTTTTTGGGTGTGTTGCCTTGCGTTTCAAACTTGAGAAACTAATGAACTGCTCTGCCCCTGCTCTTATCTTGTCTTTAGTAAGATAAGAACTTAAATACTGCTGCAAAAAAAAGTTTTAGCTAAGATGTCCCTACAATTAATACGAAAAGAACTGATACGTGTAAAACACAGAGGATTAATAGATGACATGATCATGTAAGCTATTACACATTACAAATAACAGATTAGACTTGTGCTTAGCAGAAGGGACCTGGGCTATTGGTTTGCTCTAACTGCTTCATGTCTGTTTAATGAAAATAGTTCCATCAAGATAATTGGATTTTAACTGTTAAATTCAACAACATGAGTTTTAATAGTGACGGTAAAAAAAAAAAAAAAAAACAGTAATAGGACGTTATGCTTCCTCTGTTGGGAAAATATCTTTTGCAGACAACATACTGGTTTGCAATAATTTAAAATAAAGTGAAAGCCTGCATGGTGTCAAATTAATAGAAATCAACCATGTGCCCATTAATCTGCATAAAAGGTTTCTCCTCCATTTAGTTGGACCACTTTTAGTTTAGACTACACACATATTCACTTTGGTATTCTGCATGGTGCTTCTGTAATGTAAAGATTATCGCTTCTATTCATTTTCTTAATTTTCTTCACGATCTTGTATCGATGGACAGAGATTAAGACCGCTGTGTATTATTCTCCGGGCCGGTTGAGATTCATTGAGGTCTGAAATGTTTTGGTTAACTCCTGATTAAGAGTGAAACCTATGTTTCATCCTCCTTAAACCACTCAGTTTTAGCCTGATCTATCCTGGCTTTTTATCATTCTTTTTACATGCACATTCCTTTAGGCAAGGACAACTACAGAAATGTTAAAGTACTGAAAACATGAGCTGCCAAAACGAAAGGGTTTCAATAATTTGCTGAGCTGATTAATGATTTTTTTTGTCCAGTAAATGTATAGAAATAAATTACATGAAATACATGCAACGCGCAGCCTTTTTGGTTTCATCTTAATAATACCTTCTTTTGCAGCTGATTGACATCACAGGCAAGGACCAGGATGAGTCTATGATTGCACTGCATGATTGCAATGGGGATGTCAACAGAGCCATTAATGTGTTGCTGGAGGGAAGCCCAGACACTGTGAGTATTTGCTTTGTTTCAGGGTCATATTGTGGGAAAGTTGTTGTTACTGAGGCTGTGATATCACCTTTTGGACAAACTATACTGGCCTGTACATGACAGTTATACCATGGAATGAACATGTTTTTTTTTTTCTTCCTTTTTTTGCCCAGAGCTTGTTATTGCTGACCTTTGTCGTGTGTATCAGTATAGACAAAATTTGAAATGGATGACTAAGATGCAAATGCAGCAAGAATGAACTAATGATTTCGTTTTGAAAAATATTTAACCAAATAATTACAAAAAAATTAACCAAATGGGGAAGGGTGCATCAATCATAACTCTCCTTTTATTGTCTCGATAAACGGTCAAAAGAGGAAAAAACTTCAGTTAGTTCCACTGGAAAATCCAACATGGAACTAAACGTTTTTGGCTCTTACTTTAAAGCAGCTGCAAACTAGTGCTGCACCACAACTTCATGCTGTACCACCTGAGGCAAACAAATGACTCTGAAGTTGTAAGAATTTGATCTACCCATACTTGGAATGTGTACATCCACCTGAAGTGTTTTTTAGATAAGCATTTTGAACACTGGCTCTACTGTTCTGCCACAATAAACTCATAGACCTCATATCATCAAAAGTGCCCCAGTTCAGTTCCCCTTATCAACCAAGGCACTGAGTTCAGAGGCATGCAGACTTGAAATGTGACACTCTTATTTCCTAAGGACTCCTGGGAAATGGTCGGGAAGAAGAAAGGTGTGTCGGGTCAGAAGGAGAACAACCAAGGAGAAGCTGGAGAGGAAGGGAAAGAAAACAGAGACAAAGGAGGAGAGAAAGACGCTGCACGTCGTCGTGGTGGGGCTCCACGTAGGGGCCGTGGAGCCAGCAGGGGACGGGAGTGTAAGTTCCTAGCATCTTTTATTGCTGGTATTCTTTTTGTTTGCTTTTGTTCTTTGAATGTTGTTTATCCCCCCCAAAGTGCTAAGTGTTTGTTTTAGAGCTGCATATTTAGTCCCAAGCGGCAGTTTTCCTTTGTAGTATGCGGGATGATTATTTAATATTTCAACACCAACCGTGGCTGCTGTTTGTTAGCCTGCAAACCAATGTACACATTTCACAAATCAAAACAAATTATATTTTTGAGTTCTTCTACAGTAGCACTCTTGTTTTGTTGTTGTTTAAACACTTTAAAGTTGAATGTTTTTATCTTTTTATTTCTTCTTTTGTTTTTTTCTTTATTGCCTTCTGAGCAAGTAACGTTTAAATGTAATGAAATATTCTCCTCATCACTCAAGTTCGTGGCCAGGAGAATGGCTTGGATGGGGGTAAAGCTGGAGTGGTGGGGAGAGGAGCAGAGCGAGGCCGAAGGGGTAAAGGCAGAGGGAGGGGAGCTATTGGTAAGTAATCCTCTTTATTCAAACCCCTCTGTGAAGGAAATGTAACTGATGCCATTTTGCTCAAATTCAAACTCAGAATGTGATGTAAACTCTTGTGGTCCCCACAGGAATATCCGGACGGCGAGGTGGCAGATTTTCCGCGCAGGGCATGGGGTAAGGGAATACCTGTGTTGCCTAAATCCATATGGTCTCTTGTTCCACTTTTACTTGTTGCCATGGTCACCAGAGAGCAGGACCTCAGTCTATTGTTAAAGCTTAATCCAAAGGAGGGAGGACATGCATCAGCCAATAGGATGGACCAGCGTGGGCTGAGGATCTCTGTAGAGAGTACTGTCTAAGCATTTTATTTTGGACTGAAATTTTCATAAATTCACAAAAGAGGATATCAGAAACCCAATTTGTTAACCTTATGGTCTGTGCTCTCTGGCCCTGGGCTGTAGAACTAATCAATCTGTGTTTTGTGTGTCCTCAGTTTCAGTGTGTGTGTGCACGCCTCTGTGCATGCACACATGAGCGAGGCAATGATGGTTTAGCTTTTTAAACTTGCTGTAAGGCTTCACAACAGGACGTTTTTGTGTTGCCATTCGTAACTCACTTGAAACATCTCTGATGACAAGTTTGACTCTTTGTAATGAGTTCAACTGTTCTCTGGCTTCCAGCTCAAAGAAGCTTGAATGAAATTCTCTGTCACTAAAGTGTGTAACAATGGTCTGAACGCCTAATTGTGTGCAGTTCAGCGGCTACCAGAATGTAACTGAAAGCTTCAGTACGATTTTGGGGAGAGAAAAAAAGGAAAGGAAGGAAATCGTAAAATATCCACCAATTTTAGAAATTGTTCTGCTCTGACCTAGATAATTACTTAAATATAACAATATCCTCAGTTTCAGTCAGTTCTTCACTGAGCCTGGTCCCATTGTGAGTGCAGAGGTTTCTGGTTTTCTGTCAGTGTGGTGCTAGCTGACATATTTTCATGTTACCTCAAAGCCCACAACAGTGGTAAACTGCCTTAGCTACTTGTTGCTAGCGCACAGTTTGCCACCGTGTCAGCTTAGTGTTGTGACTAAAGGGAGCTTTACCTCCTATGAACGGCTAGTCTTGATCACTTCATTGCTGTATGATAAGAGGATGGTGATGACGCTCATATGTGCATGTGTTTCTGGTATTTTTCACTTTTGAGATGCTTATCTGCTAATGAGTGCTTAAAATGTTTGTACTGCCAACAAGATACTGATTGGAAGTTAGTCATTAGTTGAGGGTTTTCTACTTTTTATGACCCTAGAAAGTGGGTTAAATTATCTCTAGACAATTAAGAAAAAGAGAAAAGGGGAAAACAAGCTTTTAGCAGCCATTTGTTGTGATTCTATACATTGTATGAATAGCACAAGAGAACACATGTTTGCTTTGAAGAATTGAGCACAGGTCATTGAGTCAGATAAGATGATTGAGCCCCCCCAGCCCCCTTCATTTGATGTATTTGGACATAATAAAACCTTTTTTTAATTTCAGGTATCCTGTTAGCGTATGAAAATATAACGTTACAGTTACAATACCAGACTACGTTGGTTAATACACTATTCGTCCATCATGGCTTTAACATGGTGAATCAAATGGAAACTCCTTGACGGGTTCCGGCAGTGCAGGCAGAGCGTTGCTTCCAGAAAAGACGAGCGACAGATGGTCACAGACAGCAGACTGTCAGCCTTGAGTATAACAGATCCTGATGGGTCTCGCTCGCTGCCGTGCACGGCCGCTGCACAATATATGCCTTAGACAGCACAGCCTGTCGGGTCAAGCTTGAGAAGACGGTTTCCGGGTTACCGTGGGCAAACTGGGTATCATTTTGTGAGCTGCATTGACGAGCCTCGTACATGGGCCAGTCGGTTCATACTAGCGTGGCTAAATGTGGTTCTCCAAAGCTCCTGAAAACGTGTCTGTAAGTGCACGCTAAAGCCATATTAGCATGAGCAATATAAATGTAGGTTTTGGCATCTTCAAACTGGATTTATTTCTGATGTAACCCTTTTTAAAGGATGTTCAATGCTGCAGCTTTTACTAGGAAGGGCTCCCGTTTGTATGCAGCTGCATTGGTTTAATGTTTCATTGTGCTTACAGTACAGCCTCTGTGGGGTATCTATGAGCTGTCCTTGTTTTGAATTCAATCAGAGGTTTTCAGAGAAGAAAGTGAGGGAGTAGATGGTAGTCTTTTTTATTTATTTATTTATTTATTTTTAAATAGTCTTCTTCATGTTGGCACATTTAGAAAGCCTCTGAATTATCTCAGTATTGTCAGTTGCTACAATGAATGTTTGGTGGTTTAGCTCTAATAGAAATTGTGGTGGAATTAGGTCTGTACATTTTGAACATGGGTAAGTTTATCATGCATGTATAAGATTAGCAGACTTTGGATGGAGATTTCTTTTCTTTTTTCAAAGGAATGCTGACTTATTGAATGAAGACTTATGTAATGACCGAAGTATTATGTGTGGTGTTGTGTAAAGCTTTGAGCTTATCTGAATTTTGTTTTGTTTTGTCCCTCCTCTTTTGTTTAGGAGAATCTTCATTTATGAACAGCACAACTCTGCTTATTTTTTCTTGCATAACAGCTATGTTTGTGTAGCCTGTCCTCCTGGTGATTTAGGTTTTCCTGGACTGCGCATTGACCCACTGTGACTTAAAGCACATTGCTTTACTTTGCGCTGCTCACTCACTCAATCCTGCAGATGCGGAGTGGTTTTTAGCCTTCAGCGTTGGCACCAGCAGCTTCAAGACATTTTGCTTATGCTGCTGCTTTGGGATGTGGTGTGAAAAAGAAAAGATTGATCTTCTACTTTTACTTTGTTGAACTCCTTGTAATTATTGCCATTATTTTTCTTCTAAAGCCAGATTGATAAGGGCTCCAGATATGATATTGCAGGAGGTGAGAGGTGAGTGCATCGCCTCTGGTGTGTCTGTTGTTCTTGCTTTTTGAAGGGGGACTTTTGTGTACCATGTAACAAGATGCTTTTAATGTCATTATCAAAGCAAAGCTGTGGACTCCTTCTACAAATAGACAGACCATGTTAAAGTGTGATGTTGAATCCCTTTATAAAAGCCACAAATGCGTCTCAATTTGCACAGGATGGGAAAAGAAAGCTTCCTGGCTCATCTTGACTTGTTGCACTCAGTAATGGTGCCAGGTTGCATCAGGTGCAGTTTCCTTTGCATATATGTGTCAAACCAGCGAGAGACGATGGGTTTTGCTTGTCTTTACAGATGCAAAGTCACAAATATGTTTATTTTATTTTTTTTCTGCTTCATTGTTTACTTTTCCTGCTAAAAGAAAAGTCCAATAATTATTCTAGAGCAGGGCAAATATTAACGGTATCTAAAGCAGAAAGTCAACTTTACTGATGCTGGTGTGATCCTCATAAAAAACTTTAACCTGTTGTGGGGAAGACATGAATTTTCTTTCCCCAGTCATGCAGCTGTGGCACAAGTCATTGCTTTAACTTACACCCCTTCAGCTGTGGGGATGTGCACGCGGTGCTCAACTCCTGCCGCTGTCTTTCCCAGAACATTCAACCCTGCGGACTATGCAGAGCCAGCCCAGACAGAGGAAAACTATGGAGGGGGCAGTACCTGGAACAACACAGGAAGCATGGAGTTGGAGGAAGGAGCGCGTAAGTTGATTTGTGTAAAAAGGTTTCCAAATATTAAGGAAGTTAATCTTATAAAATCAGCATCTGTTTATCATCAAAATGGTCGCCTTGTTCCCAAAGACAGTCCTACTGTACAAATGAAAAGGAGGTTTTCTTTGTTCAAACAAATGCATGAATTGAGATTGATTCTATTCCTCAAATCTTTAATGAGTAGATGTCTGTTTAACCAGGTGACAAAAGACATGCTGCCCCTGTCTGCCATAGTTTCAACCTGCTTTACTTTGTTTTAATCTGATTATTTTCCTGCTTTCAGGGATGGAATACTCTGCAGGAGAGGGGACAAACTACCCACCTAAGTTTGACTCTGCTCTGGGTAAGCTTGCCTTAACTCCCCTCCTGCTTTTATGCATTCCCTATTCTGTGTGAAGCTCCTTGCCTAATGGGGTGTTATTGAACTGTTTCCCTTTGATTTGCAGGTGCCTGGAGGTCTGCTCCAGAGGAGTGGGGTACTGAGGACTGGAACGAGGATGTGAGTGTTTCAGGGCTTAACGTCATTCCAGTTATATGCTTTTGTTTTGCACTTTTTTAAGATCAGACAGAATTTAGTGCACTATTACTGAGAGCCATCATTCTCTGTTTGGTTCTGGGTGTTGACTTTTTTTACCTAATATCCTTTTCACCCCATGTTGTCCTAACCTTTGCAGCTGTCAGAGACCAAGATATTCACCGCCTCCAGTGTGGCATCAATGCCTCTGCCTCAGGAGAACGTCACAATCACCAAAGGACAGAGGTGGGTTTGTTGGCTTTCGCTCTTGGGTAAACACCTTTTTTTTTTTTCTTTTTTTTTTTCTGGGAAGAGAGATAAAAATTTAGATCATGTTGTCCTTACTGTGTACATAGTCTGACATTTTTTTAAACTAAGTTGACTGTAATGGCTGCATTTTGGTTTTTACATTATAATTTTGGCCTTGAAATGAAGCATGTGTCATTGATGGTAAAAACAATCTTCATATTTTTTACCAAAGAATTTGTAGTGACATTTATGGAGAAAATGTATACAGAACTGCGAATTGAGATGATTGGTGACTTAAGTTTTTTTGTTTTACCATATAAAGTTGTAAATGGCCTATTTTCATAATTAACCTTGTCTTTTTTTTCCTTTTTTATTATTTCTTTATAGGATTGATCTTGCAGTCCTGTTAGGAAAGACTCCCCAATCTTCCTCCTCTGAGACAGAAAACGCCCCCATTGAGGCTAACCAGCCCCCCTCTTTGCCCCAGTCACTGGTTTTTAGCAACTCCAAGCAGGGGGTACCACTTTCCCAAACATCTTCCAACACCCCTTATGCTCCGCACAGCATGGTGAGAACCTGTTGCAGCTTTAAAGTCTTGAAACTGTGTTCAGCCAACCGCTTTAAACGGCTAACTGATGCAAATCATCTCATAAACTTTTATATCCAAAACGCTTCCTTATCACATAACAGGATGGGACCCGCTTACATAAAGTTTTAGCTGTGTCTGTACAGCAGCATTGTGATAACAGTGTTTTTATGTTCTGTCACCACTGCAGGTCAGCATGCTGAATAAGGGATTTGGGGAAGTTGGGGACCCTAAGGGAGCTAGCACAGGGACCACTGGCTCCCAGTTTCTGGAGTATAAAACAGCCCAGGCACTGGCCCAGCTGGCAGCCCAGCACCCTCAGACTGGACCTCCCAACACAGCGCCCTCATCCTGGGACACCAGTGCAGCCTCACTGGGACAGTATGGTGAGCTGGCTTTTTTTTTTCTGCTATCGCGCTAAGCTCTATAATGTAGAGATAAATCCTCTTAGTTTGTGAACCCGTGTTTTAAGTTGTTAGTGTAATGTTTCTACTGTTTCAATTGTCCAGATATGAAGACACAGCCAGAGTCTGGGATCCACACACCCTTTACAAAGCGGCAGCCTTACCAGGCCGCCACCTCAACCTCGTCCATGTTGGATGTTTTCCTGCAGGACAAAGGGCTGCCTCCTTCCTCTGTCTCCTCATCTTCTTTACCACAACAAACAACTTCCTCGGCCCATGTGGTGCCACCCCCTGCTTCCTCCCTTCCCAAAATGGCAGCAGTCTCTTCTCTAGGTCAACAAGTGTCCCCAAATTCCTCAGATGCCCATGGTTCAAGTCCACTGCCTTTGCAGCAACACAAACTCAAACAGCAGAAGAAGAGGACGTCCATTACTACTAAGGTAGTTTTCAGATATTATACATTTTCCAGCTCATTCAGAGTTGTCCTTTTCATACTTGTACCTCAGTTTTTAAACATGGTTCAGGATAAAGAAAGCCTAAAATGCCCCTGATTGTTCTCAGATTCCAGCTATGGCGGTAGAAATGCCCGGATCCACGGACATTTCCGGCCTCAATCTTCAGTTTGGAGCGCTGCAGTTCGGGTCAGAACCAGTCCTGCAAGATTATGAGCCCACCCCAGCCACATCAACACCAGGCAACCAGGTTCAGAACAGTCTCTACTCGAGCCCCAACAGGTTGGTAAAATCCTGAACACAGCTACATAAATGTTTTCCACGCATGAATGTTCTTCCAGTCAAATTGATGCTGGTTTTCTTAAGATTATACAAAAAGTTATTTTTCTTGAAGCACCGCCAGAAACTGGGTCATTATTAAAAAGCAAATGGTCTATTCTGTAAAAACTATCACGAGGACCACTGTCTGTAGTCAAATTAGCTCTTGTCAATCAATATTCTGGGAACTTTCAGTGAGTCGACCCCAGCTCTGTCCAACTCCGGCCAGATGGACATGTACGACCAGAGAGCATCTCAGGCGCGGCGTTACCCCACATCAGTGTCCTCCTCTCCTCAGAAGGATATGCAGCCAAAGGTTAGACCAAACCCTCTTTCATTTTGAATTTTTCCAAGTTTCAAAAGGTGTTGTTAGTGTGATACTTTGTGGCCACTCTGGGCAAGATGCTCAACTCCTCTTTGTTCCTGTGATGTCTTTTAAAGAGAATGACAAAAACAACAGGCCCCTGTCCTTTTGATTTGTATGTTAACCTGAAGTGCTCCTTAGTCATATACTATGCTGGGGTGGAGGCACGTGCTAGAGGCACGTTTTAACCAAATGGTCCCAGAATGAGGTTGGATACTTGGCAGAACTTGCCAGCGTACACACTAAATGGCATACAGCCAGCTTTGTTCAGAATGTAATACTCTCTTAATTCATTCTGATGTACTAAATACTACCCCCACAGCTGTGGAGTCAAATTGAATCAACTCATTATTTTCTTTCTGTCCTCGTAATTACTGGAGTGAATTGAGTTGGCGCTGACGCTCATAAACACTCACTCGAGATGCTTTATGTGTTGCAGATTGTGCATATGCTAAGTCACAAAGGTGTAACAGCCTCTGTTTGGGACACTCAAACAATAAGGGGACAGGTCAGCTGTTAGTAATTGTATTTGCCCAAAAGTCTTCCCCCTCGGTGTACCATTTGCAAAAGAAGTAGGTTTTGTTGGTAAACTATACGTTGTGTGGAGATGGTGTCGTTTTTACCTCCAGATGATTTGGTTGTGTTGATATTAATGCACAGCTTCTGTCAGGCCTGCTCTGAATGGAAAATTCTACAATTTTTGGTGACTTATTTATTTTTTCCCCTGATAGCCTGATTGTGTGGAAACCCAATAAGCTCACTTTTATTGCTGTTTTTTTACAGAATGGCTTCAGTTCAATACAAACAACGCAATCTGTGGAAGGTAAGCATCTCCTTTGTTGAGTCACATTAATCCTATTTTCCCCTCTCATGCATTGCAATTTATTCTGCAACGTCTCTGATTTCTCTCCATAGCTGCAGCGGGCTCTGCAGTATCAGTCAAGCAGACCTCTGACTCGGTCACGCCGGCATCGGTCTCCAGCATGGGCACTTTAGCAGACAGTGGCTCAGGCCCTGCCTCTTTGCTAACTTCATCCAATCAGACATCACTCAGTGCTCTCGGGCACAATGAAGACCTGCCACCAAGCACCATCCCCCCTCCACAGCACAACAAGTGAGATCCAGTTAAATTACCAGTTTGTTATGGCCTTTGTGTAACGTTGTGATGGAATATTCCCTCAACTTTCCCGCCCTTTTCTCAGCTCTCATCCATCACAACAGAACAGCCTTGTTCCATCTTCAGTTCGGACATCCAACTCAACCTTACTGGTGAGGCCTTTGTGTTAATCTTCGTTTCAGTTAAATTTATTTATTTATACATTTTCAAAAGCCGCATATCCTGTGGTGGTAGATGGACACCCTAGACGTCCATATACTCTAATGGAAGTGTAATCTCATCAGCTCTGTGCTCGTCTTCCTTCCTGCGTCTCCACAGCATCCCGGTGTAGACGGCGACTCGAGCCTGCATTCCCCTTTCACGTCTTCAGTCTCGGCTGTGCCATCATCGGCCCCCTCCTCCTCTTCTTCTGTGGGTGCGGTGCAGGCGTCGCTCGGAGCCCCTCAGGCCTCCTCGGTGGGCCCTGCCACCGTCTCGGCTCCCTCCGGCCTTGGCCCCGGCAGCAGTCTCGCGATGGGGCTTAACGTCGTCTCCATGGGTGCCCCGTCAGCAGTCCCCACCAACGTTTCAGTCTCCACAACGTCCTCAGCCATTCCATCTTCAGCCAACTCTTCAACCACACGCAGTTCTGCAGCATCCTCAGGTTAGTCACCTATCAGACCTCCTCCAACTCATACATGTGACAATATTGTATTTAAAGTTTTGGTTTTTTTTGCGTTTTGACATTATGAAGCAACAGCTAATGTATTGCTCTGTTTGGATTTGTGGTCTAGATAGCTTTTTTTAATTAAACATGATTATTTGGCCTTGGGTACACAGGGAAAGCGCCTCCGAACCTGCCACCTGGAGTGCCCCCTCTACTGCCCAATCCGTACATCATGGCTCCCGGTCTACTGCATGCCTACCCTGTAAGTTTTACCCAAATCCCAACCCCAACTGATGTTTATCAGATTGTTTTGTGTGTATAGTTCAGTAAGTGTCATTTTCCCCATTCAAGCCTCAGATGTACGGCTATGATGACCTCCAGATGCTGCAGACGAGAATACCGCTGGTGAGTTCAGTGTCCGGAAATGGCTTTTGATGCTGCGAGGAAAAACCACTCGTCCAAATATCAAACATTCCCTTCTTTTCCAGGATTACTACAGCATCCCATTTGCAACTCCCACGACGGCACTGACTGGCAGAGAAGGCAGTCTGACTACCAACCCATACTCCGGTAAACCAAGCTTCAACAACTCCCTCTTTACATTTTTTAGAAATCAATCATGTTGAGCTCAAGCCTCTGCGTAGATTTCACCTCAGACAAATCACCAAAGATTGGTTCTTATTTCTATGAGTCTGTGCTGCTCTCCACAGTCTGAAATGAGTTGCTACTCAGCCTGAAGTGGGTTATGTCCTTTAATGTATCTCTATGACGACAGTTTTTGAGATTGACAGGATCATTTGTTCAAAATGGATTCTGTTCAAAACCCTCGATTCACTACAGGAGAGTTCTGTCAGAATTTTCTCAGGTCCGGAATAGAAAACAGTGAAGTCTGACGGTTCAGTTATAGAGTATATACATTTATGGCATTTTGAGTTTGAAAGACTGTTGAATAAACATTTAAGAGCCTTACCTTCTGTCCAAGCAGCTTCAATAGTCTTCATAATTTGGATGATAAATGTGACGTGAAAAAAAAGTGGAGCAGCGACAGCTGAAAGAGGACGTGATGTTTTCGTTGAAAAGTTGTATCTCAATTTTACTATAAAACGTTAACTATAATGAACCTTAAAGAACTATGTTGCAGTGTAAAAAGACTCGTAATGTCCTAATGTATTAATTTACTCTGCATCTAAAATAGGAAGTAATTTCCCGCATGATTAATTCTTTATTTGTAGCCTTGTGAATAGAAATGTCATTTGTGGTTCAGCAGAACACTACTTCTGTACATCTGTTGTTCGCCGACATCATTTCTCGCTCCTCCCGTCCAATTTTTCAGGGGATCTGTCAAAGTTTGGTCGAGGCGACGCGTCGTCCCCAGCCCCGGCCACCACGCTGGCTCAGACCCAGCAGAACCAGACCCAGACGCACCACACCACGCAGCAGCCCTTCCTGAACCCGGCGCTGCCGCCCGGCTACAGCTACACCAGCCTCCCCTACTACACCGGCATGCCGGGCCTGCCCAACACCTTCCAGTACGGCCCTGCTGTGTTTCCGGTGAGACAAGTAGCGGCTGCACAGAAATACGTGGAGAAAAATGGATCAAATTTCTATTTTGAGATCTAAATGCGCCTCCCGAGCTTTTGACTGACTCGGACCGTTTGCCTTCTCCCTCCTTTTTCTGCACTTGACGCTCCGGCTTTTGTTTGTCCAGGTGGCTCCTACCTCGTCAAAGCAGCACGGAGTGAATGTCGGCGTCAATGCCTCGGCCACTCCCTTTCAGCAGGCTAGTGGCTACGGTTCCCATGGATACAGCACTGGTGAGCAGATCAAACTGTTGGGGAAAAGCAGCATGATGAAAGGGTCATGCCGGTCCTGTATTTCTACACCGGTGACTTGGCTTTTTGTCACGGTGAACCATTGACCTCCTTTGTGGTGTGGAGTGCATCTTTCATTCAGGCGCTGCAGCATCGGCAAGCATAAACAACCCGCCTGTGTAACGGCATCTGTTATGCTTGTGTTAAGACAGTTGTTCACGGCTGGAAGCTTTCTTGTCCGACTTTAAAGTTCAGTCTAGAGTCGAGCTAAATGTCCTGAAACTGGCCAGTGAGTCGGGACAGTAAAGGTTGTACCGCAGAGGAGCTGAATTATTCATATTTAATGAGACCAAAGCATCTTTTTAAATGACTTGTCAATGAGTAAAGGAGTGGGAAATAGCAACAGTAGTTTCTTCTGGCTCTGAGGAGTTGTTACTGGGTTCCTGCTGTCTTCCATGGCTTGCTTTGCTCATGTCAGAAAGGGGAGTTCTTCCGAGGGCTTTAAACCTCAACCGCGTCTTGTTCACTGGGCTTTATCTTAAAAGCATCTACAGATGAAGGCATCATCTTCCCAGGTGTTGTTTGGGGCCATTATTCCTGCAGTTTAATTTTCTTATTGGCTTTTTATTTTCTTCGCTGTTGATTTTTTTAGTTTTCGATGTCATTCGATGTTGTGTTTTTTGGTTCCTTTTTTCCCCTTTTTTTCTTTTTGTGTGCGACACCTATTTGTTCTAAGCTGCACCATCTGCTGCTTTCTGCCATTACCCAACTCAAGCTCACTCTCCACCCCTCCCACACACACCCTGCCTGCCCCCCCTCACTCCCCTCACCTCCTTCCCACAGACTTGGGTCAAAGAGTGTTTGCAAAATGATGTCAGCCACCATTTTGACCGCCTTGTTGGACTGGATAAACGGGTTTCTGCCACTCAGACATTGCAATTGGGGTCCAAATTGAATGATTACAGCCAGGTGGGGGGGGGGTCCTCACCACCACCACCATCATCTGTATCGTCACAATTGGATGAAACCTGTTCACAAGGCTCCACTTGAACCAAACAAACGCTGCAAATCATTTGCAAGTGCTACCTGGCGCACGTCTGCCCCCCTGCCTGGTGTGTCTAACGCTGTGGGCTGCGGCTGTGTGTCTGACTGTTGCAGGCTATGAGGATGTGGGCCAGGCTTCAGGGAGTGGGGATTTCTGTAAGGGCGGATACGGCACTGCCGTGGCCGCCGCTGCTTCTGCACAAAACAAGCCAGCCAGCTCTGTCAGCGGGCCTGGAGTCGGTGAGTGCCGCCAGATTTAAAAAAGAAAAAGAACAAACCAAAAAACAAAAAGAAACCTGTTCCTCCCGTCTTCCTCTCGTGTCACCAACCATCCCTCCCCCCCCCCCCCTTCTTTGCTCTGGTTCCTTTCGCCTCATTGCCGGTGAGCTGCGCCTGCAGGGCAAACCCTCACAGCCACGTGTGCTTGCAGATAGCCCGGGGCAGGCAGCCTGCCTCTCCCAAAGCCTTGTCCGCCACTCTGTCCACCCCCCCTGCCCCTCTGAGGGTAGCTCATCATCAGCCGGAACTTTAGTGGACCATGCGGCCGGCTTTGGCCACCTCCGGGCAGACTGATTATGAGTTACTCTGGTTGGTGCGGGGCCCTTTTCCTGTGTTGCTTGCTCCTCATCCATGCCATCATTGCTGATCTGTCCGTCTCCGTGGCGATGGGTTCACTTAATGATGAATAAACTAGGTTACAGTTCAGCAAATGCTGAACTACCCAAACTGAAGCTGGGCGTGCGAGTGTGATGTGGGATGTCTCTTAATCAGCTGCGACGGTGTGACCCCCAAAACTGTTCAACCCTTGTGGAGTGGTTGAAGCTCAAAAGGAAATATAACCCCTGCTCAGATATTCTCAACTTGATCAAGCATTTAGAGCAGGGAGGCCAGCAATTTTACTGCCGTCATGAAAAGGCCTCTGGCCTCAAGTCTTAAGGGGTGGGGGGAGGCTCTCATTACCCATTGGCCTTGTTTGGCTCCAGCTGACCCTGATCTGTGTCTCCATGGTGATACAGGGGGTCAGTGTCTACTGAAACAAGCAGGGCAGTAACCACCAGATACAGACTGATACGTCTCAGCACCATCTTTCTTTGCTCCCTCTGTGTCCCATCCCATCCCTCATTTCAGTTTTTGTTGTTTTTTCCCCCCCTCTAATCATTATCATGCCTAAACGGGGGGAGTGCTGACATGTCAGATACTGAGAACGTGTGAACGCAGACATCCACCAAGTCTGCTCCCAGTCGGGCACAGGTCCTCCTAACCGCCGTCTAGAGCCTCATCAGCTGGAATATTGACTATCTGACAGCATTGGCTGCCTCTGAGCTGTGAAGGTGCATGCTGGGAGTTTTCCTGTCCGCTCCTCGGTTTTCATCCACGCAGGCTGGCCACGGCAGCGTCCACTATCGACACGCCGGCGGCCATCAAGGAGCCCCGGCCACTGTTTATAAAGCAATCCTCCATTTTGACAGTTTACTGTTAGCATCCTCTGGTACTCCAGCCTTTCCTCACGCCCCCCCCCCCCCCCCCCCACATTTCCCCCCCTGAGACGGCGTCTCCAGCCGAACGCGTCTCTATGAAGAGCTGATGCGGAACAGCGTCTGCAGGCACAGACCGGATCGAGCAGCTCTCAAATGAATAGTTTTTGTTTGACCGAACGGGGGCTGAGCTGGTTGATCCGCATAAAGCCAACACAGCCGCTCCAGGTCGGACTGACGAGGCCGGTTTTTAGACTCAACCTGCGTTGTCTCCTCCCTGTCTCTGCAGGAGTTTCTGTGACGTCTAGCAACACGGGGGTACCAGATATTTCAGGGTCCGTTTACACGAAGACGCAGGTAATTTCGATGCCCAGAAACGGGTCCTGATTTATTTTATTTTTTTCTCTGCCCGTGTGATTGGGTCGAAATAACCGGTTCCGCCGTCTCCCCCGCAGTCGTTCGATAAGCAGGGTTTCCACGCCGGGACCCCGGCGGCGTCCTTCAGCCTGCCCTCGGCTCTGGGCAGCGGCGGCCCCATCAACGCCCCGGCCGCCGCCGGCTACGCCCCGGCCCCCTTCATGCACATCCTGGCCACTCACCAACAGCCCCACTCCCAGATCCTGCACCACCACCTGCAGCAGGACGGGCAGGTAGGGCACACACACGCCACAGCAGGCCGCTCACACACACCTCACACACACCTCACACACACCTCACAGCTGTCTGAGAAACGTTGGCTAGCTTTGCAGATGTGGGCTGACATGTGTGCACATACGATGTGACCGTAGTGCCGCACTCCTCCAGATTGTGTCCAGTCGGGACCATGAGTTCATTAGCAGCCCGGGTGGGAACTGGTCAGGACAAACCGGTGCTGGCTGATGACCTCCGGCCTCTGTTGTGTCTCCGCAGAGTGGCACCGGACAGCGTAGCCAGAACGCGTCCATCCAGCAGAAGTCTCAGATCAACAAGTCGGCCTACAACAGCTACAACTGGGGGGCCAACTAACACCCGCCCACCGGGCCTCCCCCCACCGGGCCCAAAGGGGGAGGCTCGCCCCTCTTTCAGCAAGCGGTCTCCCCCGTCTAAAGTCCCTCCTCCTCCCGCAGAGACCCCCCCCCCCCGGCCCCTTGGTCCCGCCGTCCCTGGCGGCGGTCAGAGGGGCTGCTGGGCCGAGGGGGCGCGGCACTGCTGGGGGGCCCCGAAGGGGGGGGGGGACAGGAGGGCCCTAGAAAGCAAAGGGGGGGGGGGGACAGGTGGAGCTAAATGGTTATAGAATCAAGAGGTGAATTACTGAAAGTTGGGAATTTGTGTTGTGAAACCCACCCCCCCACCCCCCCCCCCCACCCCTTTTCTTTGGCTCGTATGTAACATAGAACTGTTTTCTAAAAGAATGAACTTTTCCTGTCTGGTCTTTTTATGTTTTTTCTCCCCCCCACCCACTTATTTCTAGCAGAAGGGGAGGAATGTAGTAATATCTGAAGGTGGGGGGACAGGCTGGTTTTGTATTTCTCACCCTCAAATCGCCTCTTCTCAATATTGATGGAAATTTCTTCCCACAAAACAAAAATATCCCAAAACAATAATTTGCTGTTGAATGTTTTTTTTTTCTTTCTCTTTTTTTAATGTCATTTTAAGTTTGAAGAAACAATTCTCTAAATTGGTAGAGTTGTGAAGTTTATTTTTTACCAAATATAGATATATTATATATAAAGACATATAAGCGAGCTCACTGGCTTGGACTGTGAGGAAAGTGTGTTTGTCATGTGACTGCGTGCATGTTTGTACACACGGGGCCGTGGTTGTGTCCTGTGCTTTGTTTTTGGCCTAGCACAGGATTTTTTCATTATCCAGCGCTTGTACAGTTACTGTTTTCATTCATTCTAAATACGCTGCATCGGGTCCCACTTGTTCTGACAGACATTAAGAATTGTTTCTAAGGCCAACACGCACCCAATCTGCCTTCCAGTGTGTTTTATTTTTGTTCCTGAGGCCCCCCTGCTCCTCCCTGCCCCACCACCTGTCCCCTAGCATTGTAGGGAAATCTAAAGCATCCAATACTGATGGACAGAATTGTACAATGGGTTTCTTTTTTTTTTTCTTTTGTCAGTGATTTTCTTTTTCTTTTTTTGTACTGTGCGTTTTAAAAAAATTAAATGGATAAATTGTCTTGTACATATATAAAAAAAAACAAGTACTGTAGTCCCCGTTTGTTGATGGCTTTCTCTTTTTCCTTGTCAAATCCTTGCAGACTTGTTAGCTTTTTTTTTTTGTTTTTTTTATTTTGTAAAAAATATATAAATATTAAGTAAATAAACAAGAAAAAGACATTTTCATCATTTTGGATGTTAATGTCTTTTAATAAACTATTTCTTGTGGCTTGTGACTATAGCAGCATCTCTTCTTCCAACACTTTGATTGGTGGTTTTTGTGAGGCTGAGGGGTTTGAGTCTGGTTTGATCAGGAGTTCATGAGGACAAACGCTGCGACTGTGTGTTCGTATTCTGGAAACGTTTGACACTCGCAGACCACAGTTATTCAGACTCCACAACAGATGCAGGATCTAAATAGTTCATATCCTCTTCCATTATTTTCTTTTCTTTTAGCTGTAGTTATTAATACCAGGTCTGTTTTTCTTTTTTATTAGTTAAACAGGTGACCTTAATCATTTTGTATCTTTCTGTGAGTTTGATTTCTTCTGGTTTTACCTGATATGTGAAGTTTGTACTTTATACCTGCATTTAACTACAATCAGTGTTTTCCATTTGCGTTTCTAGCATTGGCAAACTAATACACGTCAGTGGCAGATGGATTTTACCTGTATATAGTGATGGCATGCAGCGGGAATACTCCAAAGTATTTTTAAAAGTATATCAAATGTAGCTGAATGTGGAAACGACTTGAGCAAGATGTCCGTTCATAGGGGACCATCATTTAGCATGATGGAATGCAATTTTATTTTGCATTCAGTTTATAAATGCATACATTTAAGACGTATGCCAATTGAATAAATCCTAAAACATTTAGAACTGATAACTGTGCAAGAAATGAACTATTTTCTCAACACAGACTCAGCGTTTTCAGTTTCTTGCTTTGATCTTCCCTGGGTGATGTATCACATAAATATATTAAAACTTCAGTCTATTGTTTTTTTTACACTTTTCATTTTATAATAAGTCAGTGTTTGTTAGGTGTTACATACCCGACCCAGCACGATGTAAGTTTATGATCATTAAACGTATCAACAGAAAAGCCACATAAAATGTCCACTCAAAAAGTGGATTTTTAAGATGAAGATCTTTGTTTATCAACTGTAGTCTATCAACTTCATTGGTTTTATTTACTTTGTCCCAATTATTATAAGAGTTTCATAAGTTAATTTATTGAAATTGGGATATTTCCATAATCTGAGCAACACCAATTGTCCATTTGTCCGTTTGAGTAGTGAGTTCCTGCCAAAAAGGAAGTCAGTAGTCGCAATATCTGGCTGCGTACCATTTCTCTTGTTTACGGTAAAGCCGCGCTACGACATGTTGCGTCACGCTGAATAATCCAGAACACTTTACGGCGCTGTTGACATCTGTAACTTTCATGAGCCGAGTCGCGTCTCTATATTTCTCAGGGCATGGTTTAGCTCTAAATGAGTGTTTTCGATCTGTTTCGCGGGTTCTTCGGGGTGCCTGGAGGCCACTACCGAGGCCGAAGGTGAGTGTTTGCATTTAAAGTCCAGCCATGGAAGTTACCCTCTGTTAGATAACGAAGAAACGAGATTAGGCTTTTATTTTAACCAGGGAAACCACAGGGGGCCATTAGCGTGAATGCTGCGTTCATTCCAGCGCAGTATGACACGACTAATTACCCTGAAGGCATCAGTGGCGTTCAGGAACCAACCGAGAGCAGCTTTTTAGCGTTAATCCCGTGGACGCTCATTTGTTGTTTCCGTTAGGGACCCCTTCTTTGACGCCATGACGCATGACGATGATGAGGATGATGATGACGACGACGACGAAGATGGATTCCGCTACGATGGCTTCAGAGGGGAGCACGAGGAGCCTTTCGACAGTGCCTGGAGGTTCGGCTTCAGCTTCGGTCCGGACGGGATGAGGATCCAGGAGCCTCCAGTGTTCGGCCACGTCCTGAGAGAGATGGAGGAGATATTCTCCCAGCTGGGCCAGTGGGAGGGTCAGCCGGAGGCCGGAGCCCCAGGTATGAAGACCACATCATCCAGATCTAGATCCCGATCCCCCTCTGTGTTTATCTCACTGTGTCCCTCCTGTGGGTCAGGTGTTCCCAGGATCATGCCTCCGCCTCAGGACAAAGCCGAGGGGGGTCAGGGCAGCGGGAACCCTCTGAGAGACTTCATGTTGAAGTCTCCGGAGGCTGGAACACGAGGGCCGTACGGGTCACCCGGGGGGGACGTCCAGCCTCCTTATGACTCACCGGATTTCCCTCGCACGCCTTTTCACGGCTGGACTCCGTTTTCCAAAGTAAATGAACCACCTTGATCCTTTTTTTTAAAAAACATTTTTCACTGGCTCTTTTCTTTTGCAACATATGTTCAGATTTTTTTATTGTCCCAATAGTTTAATGACACTTGGAGACAGGGACTACAGAGGAGTCCAGATGAGGAGCCCAAGGGAGACAGAGGTATGTGACCTTTTTTATTTCTTTATTTCTTTATTTTTAGCATCTTCTTTTCATGAACTTGTTTTCCATTCTGGATCCGTGAAGATCTGGACTCTGCGGTGTCGTCCGGTGGCCTGGATCAGATCCTGACGCCGCCCGCTGGCCAGACGTCCAGGCCGCCCGGCAGCCGCTCCTTCTTCCAGTCGGTCACCGTCACCAAAGTGGTGAAACCGGACGGGGTGCGCCTCCTTTTAGGACTTTTCCCCGTCAAATTCCCCATAATCTTCAAATACAACCTCGCCTAAACTCTGTCCTGCTTGCTGTCCTGCTTGCCTCAGACTGTGGAGGAGAGGCGGACGGTCAGGGACGGCCGCGGCCACGAGGAGACGACGGTCACCCGCTCCGGGGGCTGCGGGACGCTGGCGGGGGCAGAGGACCGGCCAGCGCCCGTGCTGCCAGGTCAGTCTGCGGGGCTTTACCCCCCCCACAGGAAGGTGAGAACGTTAGGACCAACGTGCTGATCTGGGGTCGGCCTTTAACCGCTGCTGTTCCTGTCTTTGTCCAGCCGGTCCACACCGATTCTCAGACCTGCGGGACGATGACTCTTTGTTCTCCAAGTTCTTCGGAAGCTCCAAGTGACCGGTGCATCACGGCCCACGCTCTGGACTTGTAGCCGTCGGCTTATTTATGGACACACACCTGCATGATCTCAATTTGCCAAAATTGGATATGTTATATTTAAAAAACAAACAAACAACCTGCTGGCTTTGTTGAGGATCAGGTAGGAGAGATCAAGGCTCCGAAACCCTGGTGAGTGAGGCATAGTGAGACCCATCAGACACTGAGGAGTTCAGTGGAATATTTTATTTTTGTATTGTCCTACAGAGAAGCCGGTATGAATGTGTGTGAGAGAGGACTCAAATAAAGGCTGGTCATATATTTCCTCTGTTGTTTTTTCCTTCATTTTGTTGGACCTAATTGGACACTGTTCAAATTTGCCCCATGCCGAACTCTACTCCATGTTGAACAGAAGACCCCCCCCCCTCCAGCCAATAAAAGGCCCACAAACTGCTGGGGAACTCTTTTTCCTGCGTACCATTTCTTAGACACAGATTTTTTTATTTTAAAGACCTAGATGAATGCATGAGAAAAACGTTTGATAGCACTTTATAATTAAAATTGAACCCCTTTAAAGGAAACCAGTGCACCGTTTCTTAGCCCCTTTAAAAAAAACAAAAAAACAGACTGATTTAGGCTCATTTTCCCTATAGATTAACATGACAGACAAGACTCCTGGCTTCCACTCCCAGGCACACACGTTTTAACACTTTTATTTGCCTTTTTAAGTGAGTTTTACTTGCTGATTTGATCCAAATTTCAAGGAAAATGCTAATTCCTTTTCCAATTTAGGTGATTATTTTACTTTCTCTGCAACGTTGGAATGCAAAGAGAAATCTTGCAGGAATCTGTGGATATTGTTTCCTTTAGGTCACAGCTCAGCTGCAGACTAATGCCAAAAAGCCAAGCAGGGTCCAGGTGGAAGAGAACAAAACCAGAGCCCCAATCAGAGATAATTCCAGCCAGCTGCGGTCAGCTCAGACCAGTGAGGCACACACAAACGCTGCGGCTCCCGGGATGTCCTACAAAGCCAGCTACTCTCCCCTCCTGAATGCGACTCCCCAGCCCGGCCGTAAACTGTGTGACGTAGAGCATGGCTCCGGCCAGAGAGGGCAAACTCTGCTCAGCGAGGCGGACAGCGCCGTGCAGTGTGGCTCCGACCCCCCCGACTACAGCTTCCCGTCCCCGAGAGGCCGCCCGAGACGGGACTCGCAGGAGGAGGAGACGTCAGACATGGAGAGGCTGCTGAGGAGGTGCAGGGTCAGAAACCGGCTGCTCCGGGAGTGCATGGCCGAGTGTCTGGGAGTCTACGTCCTGATTGTGAGTCTCTTTTCTTTTTTATTGTTCTCTGCACCGGGAATTTCAAGAAGAATTTCAGAGCTAGTCCAGGTGGATGGTGCATTAGTAATGAAGAAAAACCACAACAAAGTCCATAATCCTGTTTTGTGTTTAAAATTAAAATAAAAGCCAATTTATCTGTATCGTTAACCTGCCAAGCGGATCACTTTTGTGGGACTTTGTCCTGATCATCTGACACAACAAATGAGTTACAGTCACAGAGGGGGGAGAGTGGGGGGGAGAGGGAATATAGACTGTGCAACTTTGTTGTTGTTTTATCTCTCACGCCTGCAGATGCAATGAGCGTTTACAGCCCAGATAATGAAGCGGGTTCTTCAGGAATCAAGTTCATAAAAAGACAGTGTTGTGCCGTCGGTTTTGTAGGAAAGCGCACAAACACAAGCCCCCCCCCCCTTTTCCCCTCGTGTCTTTGCAGCTGTTTGGATGTGGCTCCGTCGCCCAGGTGACCACATCTCTGGAAAAAAACGGCCAGTACCTGTCCATCAATCTGGGTTTCGCCCTGGGAGTGACATTCGGAGTCTTCGTCTCCCGGGGGGTCTCAGGTAAGGGGCCACAGGCACTTTTCAGAAGGGAGAAAGTTTACCTCCATGAAGCAAGCTCCTCCGGGATCTCTGCTTCTTGTAATCCAGGAATGCAAAAAAACAAAAAGTGGCAAATGTCAGCCTGATGCAGCAACATGGAGCTGAGAAGAAGAACTTTTGTTTTTAGGGTCAAGTAGGTCACGTTAGAAACTGAAAAATTTCTTCTTTCAGTTTTTTGCACATGGTTGTATTTTCTTCTTTGTAATGAACCGAATGCCGCTCACGACTTCGGTCTCTGATATAAAACCCAGAGCTGAGAGCAGCAGTGAGTGAGACCGGGGGCTAAAAGTCAAACGCCTGGAGGCAGCTGAGAGCTGAGCAGCAGGTGTGTGTGACAGATTTAGACGGGGGCTCGGGCCGGGCGGGGACACACTGCGTGGCGACGGCTGCTGGTGCAGGTGGAGACTCCAGCTGCCACAAGTTCCACTGTCTTCTTCTCACAGTCGTCTTTGTCACTCCTCATTTTGGCCGTCCATTTGCTTTATTTTTTTCCCCCCCGGCCTGTGACTGTCCACACACGTGGAGCTGAGCGGGATCCGGTCAGTCATGTCCAGCATCTGCTGCACAGCTGTGCGCTCTCATGTTTAACGCAGTCCTGCAAAACCCTCTGCTAAAGTTCTGCTTTGTGGGCTGATAGGAAAAAGAAAAAAAAAAGACGTCCTTGACTCAGCCGAGGTGATGAAACATATTAACTCGTTGTATCGAGATAATGGATGTATCCGTTCCAGGGAAACTGTTCTTATCTCTGTGGGAGATAATCGGCTCATGATCACGATGTGAAGATAACAAAAACATTTCACCATGGCCTCTTTAAAGATTAACCTTTTTTATATATATGTTATGCTCATTTTGGATATCCAAGATCTCCAAAACCTTAATAAATATATCATTAGAATGTAGAATTTCTCTTTTTAAAGAAAATACTGCAGGGACAAAAATGGCTCAAAGTCTGACGATGGCTTTTGTGAAATCTACTTTCAAATGTGATGTTTTTTTGTGTTCATTGTGTATTCTTTTCCCATTATACCAAGTGGAGGGATGTTTAGTGTTCATTTTCCAAAGTCTCTTCCTCTTTCTGACACCAAGAGGAAGGACCGACTCAGTTAAAAGCTCCAGGCGTGCCGGCACACTTGGATAAACTCTGTCTCTCCTCCAGGCGCTCATCTCAATCCCGCTGTCTCCCTGAGCCTGTGCGTTTTGGGCAGACACCCGTGGCTCAAACTGCCCTTCTACGTCTTCTCCCAAGTGCTGGGCGCCTTCCTGGCCGCGGCCACAGTGGCCCTGCAGTACCACGGTGAGTGGCGGTGGGCCCGGGGGGGGCCCCCGGGGGGCCGGTTCCGTCTGTGCTCGGGGGTTTAAGAGGCTCGCCGCCATCTGCTGGTGGTTTTGCTTTTGCCTGTGCGGCCAGACGCCATCCGGACCTACGGCGGCGGTCAGCTGACGGTGACGGGCCCCACTGCCACGGCGGGAATATTCTCCACCTACCCAGCCGACTACCTCAGTCTGTGGGGCGGGGTCATCGACCAGGTTGGCCTTTTCTCTCTTTTTTTTTTTGATTTAAAAACAAAAAAATATCTCTCCAACCATGATCAGAGGTGAAAAGCAAACGCGTCTGGCCTCCAGGTGGTGGGCACCGCCGCCCTGCTGCTGGGGGTCCTGGCTCTGGGGGACCAGAGGAACACCGCGGTGCCGGACTCTCTCCAGCCCGTCCTGGTGGGAGCCCTGGTGCTGGTCATCGGGGTCTCCATGGGCTCCAACAGTGGCTACGCCCTCAACCCGGCCAGGGATTTCGGACCTCGCCTGTTCACCTACATCGCCGGCTGGGGAGTGGACGTTTTCAAGTAGGTTCAAAACCCTGTCTCACAGTATCACCTCCATGTTTTTCCCTTCCTCCTCACTGATGCTTTCTCCGGTGTGGCTGCCTGTGGACTCAGGGCTGGCGGGGGCTGGTGGTGGGTGCCCGTGGCGGCGCCGTGCGGCGGGGCGCTGCTGGGGACGCTGGTCTACCAGCTGCTGATCGAAGTCCACCATCCGCCCACACTGTCCGACAGCCAGCTCTCAGCTCAGGAGGCCACGGAGGGCAAGACCGGGCTGGAGCTGGAGGGAGTAGAACCAGACTGTGGAAAGGCGGCTTAGTGCTAGAGCTGAGGAGGACAAAAAAAAGAAAAAGAGCCCCTGCTGGAGTACTACAAAATCATCTTCAGCTCCTACTGAACTGAATGAGCTCTCCTCCAGGTATGACCAATACCTGACATTTTAAGGAGCGCCATCGTCAAGTGCTGAGAGGGGCTGTACTGAAGATTTACCGATGGTGGCGTCTCATCCCTGTGTTAAAACAAGCCTTTAAGAAATGCTAACGTGGCTGAAGACATGTTTTGTTAATATTGTGAGTTTAAAATAAATAAAAGTTTAAAATAAGTGGAAACGGAGAGCAAACTCGGCTCTGAATGAGACTCCGGTGACCCTGTGGCAGCTGTTGAGATATCTTTTACACATTTATTTCCAAACGGCACAAAAGTGTTTCAGCAAGCAGACCACAACCATGGAAAAGAAAATGACATGAAATTTCCACTACTGAGCTATATAAATATGATATGACATATAAAAGATACAAAAAAAAAAAAAAAGAAATCCACACAGAGGCCTCCGTCACGTGACCTAGGAGGCTGGAACGTACAAAAAAATGTGAGTACAGCAAGCACTGATCCTGTAGATACAAAAGAACCGTCTCAGGGGAGATAAACATTTGTTTTCATACACATTAAGACGACACGACTCCCACGCTCTGTTTAGAGGGGATGGGGGGGGTTTCTTTTAAACTTCAACCAGTTTCCGGGAGGGGAAAAAAAAAAGGAACGGTACAAGTACAAATACTATACGTATTCACATTATCATAGCAAGTTACTAAAACCAGAACGCCTTCTTTTAGTGTAACTATGTATTTACAAGGCGAGACTCGTACACGTACTCTACTGACGGGAGGCCCCACCTCCCCTCATCTTCTAGCTTAACGATTAACAACATCACACATTATTCACACTACGCAGGCTACGGGCCTCCTGTGACCCGCTCTCCTAATCAAATCGGGGTTTCTCATCTCATCTCTCTGTCGCCCTTTCGAGGCGACAGAGCGGCGCGAAATAACCAACAGCAGTGATGGGTTTTTTATATAAATAAATTAAAATCAACATTTAAAAAAGGACAAAAAACAAAACAAACAAAAATCAGTGTTCAGTCTTCCAACGCTCCCGTTCGGGTGCTTAAGGTGTCTCTCTGAGCCTTGTTCAGGCGTCAGAATAAAGGAGCAGCATGGATCAAATGTGGCGTCCGCGGTGGGAGGTGTGTGAGTGTGTGTGTGTGTGTGCGAGTTACATTTAGAAAACAGGCATGTGGCTACAGTCAGTGCAGTGAGAGTGGGAATGGAGGGACAGGATGCATGGGAGTATGGCTGATATAGAGCTGCGTTTTCTGGGAGAAGTGCTCCTCGCCCGTCTACCACCGGCGAGGTCGGTTACCACACATGCAGTTACGGTCGCACGGAGGGGGTGCCGGAGACGGGAAATGTTTGGAGTTGCTAAAAAAAATTCTGCTCGGGAGCAGCTGGGTTTTTATCAACATTCATATTCTACAGCCCTCCCCCCGCCGGCCCTCCCCCCCTACTGGGGCTTGTCTGTCTTGTGGGCGGTCAGGAAGGCCATCCCATGGGTCCTGAAGTGGGTGTTGAGGTCGTTGGCCTTGTCGAATCGCCGGCCGCACACCTTGCAGCTCATGTTCCCGTCGCCGTCCTCCGCCGCCGCCTGGGGGGAGGCGGGGGGGGAGCCGTCGGGGGAGGCGCGGGCCCGCGGGCCGCCGCGCTCACCGTCGGCCGGCGCCTCCCGCACCCGGTGGGTGATGAAGCGGTGGCGGCCCAGCGAGCCGGCCGAGGCGAAGCACACGCCGCACTGCAGGCACTGGAAGGAGGCGGTGTCGCCGCGGTGCTGCGGGATGTGGCGCTGGAACTCCGCCCCGTCCTCCGTGGAGAAGCCGCAGGGGACGCAGCGGAACACGCTGTCCTCCTCCTCCTGCTCGCTGGGGCCCGAGGAGGTGGACGGCGCCGCCGCCCGGGTTCGCTTGGCGGGGGCGGCGCCGCCTCCACCTCCACCGCCGCCGCCCTCCTCCGGGGCGTTCTCCTCCTCCTCGGCTCCGCGGCCCGCTGGAGGACCGGCCTCCCCGTCCTGCTCCGACGAGCTGCCCGCCCCCTCGGCTCCCGTGGCTGCACGCTTCCTGGTGAGGGGGGGGCCCTGAGGGGCCAGGGAGGCACTTTAAATACTAACACAACACAACACAACACAACTAACACTAAACCTGTGGAACGGTCGCATAACTCGTCCAAACAGACTGTTCTAGTGAATCTGACTTTAAATAAAAATTTCACCAGCACGAGCTGCTCAGAGTGATGCAGTATGTGACGGAGACGCAGGAGCAGACTGACCTGTCCATCTGGGGTTCTGTGATGGAGCCGGATGTGTTTGTCCAGCAAGAACCGGCTGCCAAAGGTGCGTTTACCTTCTGTGCAATATCTATGGGGCAAAAAAAACAGCGACACAGGCTTCAATCAATGTCCACATCAATTTGTAGCTAAATTATTTTTAAACCCCATCATTAGAATAAACAACTGACAGAAGTGTAACCGATCATCAGGCTGAACTGGAAATGGACAAACTGAGGAGTTAGTGCTCCCTGGTGGTCAGAACATGTAAAGCAGGACGTCCGATCCAACAACAGACTGAAACAAAAGCTTCTCTCTAGGGAAAACACTTTAAACCCCAGCGGTGGGACACTCACTGGCAATGGAAGACTCTCTTGTTTCCCTCGTGGATGACGCGCTCGTGGCGCCGCAGGCTGGAGGACGTGCTGAAGGTGCCGCCGCAGATCCGACAGGGGAACTTTGGAACACACAGAGGAAAGAAAAAAGGCCGCTTTACTCCTCTGCTTCGCATCCGAGAGCCCTGGACCGGGATGGCGCCCACCTTGCCGTGCTCCATCTTCACGTGGCTCAGGTAGTCGTCGTTGTCGGTGAAGGTGGTCTGACACTGGGGGCAGGTCCACTCCGTCGGGGCGCTCGGATGGCTGCCCCCCCCTCCGGCGCTGGCGGCGGCCCCGGCGGCGGCAGAGTGGGCCCCTGGAGCCTCGTAGTCCTCGTCCCCTTCGTCGTCATCGTCGTCGTCCTCCTCCTCCTCCTCCTGCTCCCGCCCCCAGTCCTCGCCGTCGGAGGTGTCGGGCTTCCCGGAGGGTTTGGACTTTAGGCCGGAGGGGCCGGACGCATTGGCCGGGGCCGAGGCGGGATTAGAGGCGTCGGGCTGCGGCTCCTGCTTGGCTAACGGGCCTCTGTGAGCAGTCTGAGGGGGGGGGGACAGGAACACAGTTTCACAGCACAGAATCCTCCAAACAACAGCCGACACACTGACTACTGAAGCTGATGGCTGGTAACACATCAAAGCAGCTGTGTGACATCTGGGCCGGCACATCTGGAGGAGCAACCCACCTTGATGTGCTCCATCATGGAGCCTTTCTGGGCGTAGAGTTTGGTGCAGTCGGGACACTTGAACACGTGCACTTTTTGCTTGGCTAAATGGGTGTCAAAGTGCATGTAGAGGAGAGGCTTTTGGGTAAAAACCGTGTCACACATCACGCACTTGTAGATCATCCTGCAAAATCGGAGGAGGGGTTTAGAGGTTTAGGAGGTTTGAGAGGACGCGGCGGGTAAAAGCGGAGAGCGGCGCACATACTTGGCCTGCCCCCCAGTGAGGGTGGGGTGCTGGGTGCTGATGTGGCTCTGAGCGCTGGGGGAAGACTTGAACGCCATGGGGCAGCTGGGGCACTTGTGGAAGACCTCGCAGTGAGCGGTCTGGATGTGGGACTTGATGGAGTTCAACCCTCCAAACACGACCTGGCAGCTCGAGCACCTTAAAGCAAAAATGTAGCAAGTTTGAACTCTCTTTTATGGATGTGACCCTCAGACAATTTAAAGGGTGGTGGGGGGGGTATTCTCATTTATAGGCACAAACACTGAAGAACACTGACAGCTGGAGGACGGGATGAATTTTAAACAACTGAAATAGCACAGAAACCACTTCTTTTTTTTTTTTTAACAATATATAGAAACAGGGTTAGGTTAAAATCCTGTGCTTTAACTGGTCACAGATGGGACTGGATCTGTATGAAACTAAACCTTTCCTAAGTGTTTTCAAATCTTTTAGGTGATTTGTTGGCGACAGTCTCCGGACCTGTAGCCGATGCGTCTGGCGAAGTGCAGACAGGCCTCCTCCAGGTGGGTCTGGAAGCTGGCCTGCCGGGCCACCCCGCCGCACTCCGGGCAGACGTGAGGCGCCCTGTGCTTGTGGATCCTTTGGTGGGCGGACACGGCGCAGGAGTTGGGAAGCATCATTGGAGGCGAGCACTGCGTACACGTCTGTTAGACAGAAAGACGATAACAAAAAAAAAGTCTACGTTATCGAGGCCGAACTGCGTCCGGCAGGAGCTCCGCAGTTTCGCCGCCCGTCTCACCGAGTTGGGGGCCCCTCGGATTTGCTGGAAATGAGTGACCAGCTCCGTCTTGCCAGAGAACTGCGTCTGGCACTCCGGACACTTGAAGTTGTTGTACTGCAGCCCCTCGGCCTTCTTGCAGGGCAGAGGCATCAGCGCCTGGGGGCCCTGGGGGGCGCGGCGGACGGGGCGGGGCTGCGGCGCCGCCGGGGACGAGGCGTCCTTCATGGGGCTGGAGGCGGAGGCTGGGCCTCCGGGAGTGGCAGAGGGAGAGGAGACTGGAGGAGAAGAGGACGAAGAGGAAAGCAGGCCTGGTCAGCCGTGGGGTGAAGAACAGAGGAAAACACACGGGTGGAGGTCAGTGAAGATGAGTGAGAGGTGAGGCTTTAAGGCCCACTCAGTCCTGAGCGTCTCCTATGATTTAAAAGGCACAAACCAACTGAGTAAAAGTTGGTCCTTTAAACCCAAGATGGGAGTTCCTGGCCTTTCGTTTACACCAAACAGTAGTTCGGATATTATTTGTCCAAGTGTGATAGATTTAGATCATCTCACTTTTATCTGACAGTTGATGATTTTTTTTTTTGGTCTACTATACAAAGCAAAAAAAGAAGAAGATGAATAGCTTAAATGACCAGAGTGTGAGCGGCGTCCCGACTTACCACCGATTGGCGTTATGTCCTGCTGGCCAATCATCTGCTCCACGGTGACGGGCCTCATGACCAGGTGAGAGCACTGCATGACCAGCCCCCGCTCCTTATGCTCCCTGGCGTGGAGCAGCAGGCTGCACTTGTTGAAGAAGGCCAGCCTCTTGGCGCAGTGGTTGCAGGTCACCTCGATGCGCAGCGACCGCCGGTCGTAGTGGCGCGCCAGGCTGCGCTCCAGCGCGAAGGCGTCCCCGCACTCCAGGCAGCGGTACCCGGCGGCGGGGAGCGGCAGCCCCCACTCGGGCGGCGGGGGCGCCGACAGGTCGGGCTTGTAGCTGGGCAACAGGTTTTTGCTGTTCAGGATCTTGTTGAAGGCCTCCACCAGGCTGGACTGGCTCCGGGAGATGACGGCGCCCGTGCTGTTGACGATGGAGGCGGGTTTGTTGGGCTGCAGGCCGCCGCCGATGCTCCCGCCGTTGGCCGTTTTGTTGGCGGCCGTGCGCACGCTTATCCCGCCGGCGGCCACCGAGAACTTGGGCGACGCCGCGGGGGTGGCGGGTAGGGCGGCGGACTTGGTGATGCTCACCGCGGTGGCAGAGACCTTGGCTTTGTCGGACGAGGCCATTTTGTTCTGGACTTTGGTGGCGGCGGCCAGCATGACGCTGCTGGCCGCCAGGGTGGACGCCGGCAGGGCGTTGAGAGCGCTTACCTTCTGAGAAGTCATGTGACCAGGAGAAGCCTCGGCTTTCTGGCCTTTGTTTCCTGATGCCTTGCGCTCCCCGGTTTGAGCTTTGGGGTCCAGGCCCTTCCCCGCCGCTCCGCCTTTACCGGCCACCCTCGTCACAGTTCTGGTTATCCCCCCTGTGGAGGTTTTAATCGTTTTTATCCTAACTTTGAGGGGTCGGGATGGAGCTCCAGAGGCAGCAGGCGCAGAGATTACCGCTTCCCCTCCGTCGGATGGAAGGGGTTTAGACCTGGTGTCGTCCCCCAACACCATGCTCTCCTCACCCGCTTTGGCAGTTTCTCCCTTCTCGGCCTTGGCATCGACGTCCCTGTCCACCCCGTTCCCCACCTCCATCTCCTCCTCCTCTTCTTTAGGCTCCCGCAGTTCAGAGGGGGGAGGAGTGGAGGCCACGGCAGGGCTGGAGCATCTCTTGGCCGCGACCTGAGCTGTGGACTTTGGTATCTCCGGTTCGGGGCTTTCTGGCGAGTCTCTTTCTTCTATGACGTGTTCTGGGTGTCTGTCCTCCACCTGGGGGCTGGCTGTTGGGCCCGACTGGGGGGTGGACGACGTCAGGGAGGGCGTGTCCCCCGGCGTGGGCTGAGATGAGGCAGAGGGGGTGGGCTGTGGGAAAGAGTCGGCCTTGTAACGGCGGCTCAGCTGAGTGCAGGCTGGGGAGTCCGGGTTCTCCTGGATCACAAGCGGACTCCCCAAATCCGGGTCGGAATCCTCTTCCTCCAGCTGCTGGTGCTGGAATCCGGCGGAGACGCCTTTGGGGGCTCCGTTAAAAGGCTGAGAAGAGTGCAGCGGGTGTGACGAGGGCACCGACGGGGAGGCAGAAAGCAGAGGCTTGGAAGGCGGAAAGAACGGAGAGGCCAGTCCAACGGGCCCTCCAGCGGCCAGAGGGGAGGAGCCGGCCGATAGAGAGGAGGAAGACGGTAAGGAGGCCTTGACCCCGTCTGCTCTCTCTTGACCCGTGTCCTGCTGCTGCTGCTGCTGCTGCAGGAGCTGCATCTTCCTGGCCCGGCCCACCGGATCCCCAGATCCCTGCGCCACCAGCGGTTTGAGTCTGTTGAAAATATTCCCGCCCTGCTTGTGAGATTTGCCCATGCCGGCAGGCTCGGACACCTTGGAGGCGTTCATGGACCATGGCGCGCCGTTGGACTGAGCCTGGCCGAGGGCGAGTGGGGTGGAGACGCCGGACGCTCCGAAGCCGTTGTGGTTGATGGCCTCGGACTCCGCCATGCCGGGCGCGCAGGCCCCCAGTCTGGGACCCACGTCCACCCCCGCCATCACATCGATGGGGTCCTGGTCTGCGTCCCCCTGCCCCCCGTCGGCCGTCTCGTGGCGGACTTTGTTCTTCACAATCACACTAACAATGGAGGTGTCCCCCTGGGGGTCTGGGGGACTCGGTGGTCTCATGGATGACCCGACGCCCACAACGCTGTCCGGTTTCCCGAGGGGTGCACCTGCAGCTCCATGGGGCCCCTCCGCCTCTTCTGGGGCAGACTGGATGGCCTCTTTGGCATCTATGTCAGGAATGTCAAACGCTGCCAACAGGTCATCGAAATCTGGGGTCTTCATGTCCCCCATACCGGGATTGACACCTGCAAAGACAATTTAGATGTAAATCAACACACCAAAGCACTCCGGCATGAGTCCGCGCGCGTGCCGTTACCGTTGACCCAGACTTCCAACGCCTACGTGCCGAACACAGATAACGTCACAGCTAATTGGGAGCATAAAAAGGACGTCGTCTCAACACAAACCGACCAGCTCCGGCAGGTTGGCTCGTCGTCAAGGAAGCTGGCTGACTACAGGGACCCTGGACTAGCTTGTCGTTAGCCCGCTAGTGCGCTAGCTGCTGCATCCAAACCCACATCTCTCCTGACAGGCTCAGCACCCCTTTCACCATGAATGAGAAGCAACGTTTCAATGGGGCTTTTCGTGCGCGCCGAGCCGTGCAGCGGTCCCCGTCCGGGACACGGCTCGGACCGAGAGAGCGTTTTGCAGCGGCGACCTCCGTTATTTGGAGCTAGCGATGTTCTGCTCCGTTCTGGGGCTGCTGGCTAGCTGGCCGCTGCGCTCCAGCCAAGACAGAGAGGGGTCATTTAGCTAACTAGCTAGCGTTCGCCGTTAAAAGGCAACCGGAGCAGCTTGCTGAGGTGTGGGGGGGCAGAAGAGAGAACCCGGTGGTCGTAGGGTCGACGATGTCACAGGAAAGCGTGACGGGGGAGAGGATTTCCCTTTAATATCTCATGTATTTGGGTTGTTTACCTGGATATGCGATTCCCGACTATCCTAGCTCGTTTTCAGCTGAAAATGCGGAGCTTCCCGTCACGTGACCCGGGACATCCTATCAGGCTGTGGTCGCGTTGGAAAAATGCATGGAGGATGCTGCAACCGACACGTATGTTTATTTGATCTGGGAATGCCTAAAACACACCGATTTCACGCGTCCTGCAACGAGAGCTGGTCTGAGTTAAGAAGGCGTCCTCTTCATCCCACTGGTGGCTTGCAATCCCTTTCTGTGTTCTGCCCACTTCCCATCGTTTACAACAATGACTCTCTGGGGGCAGACACACCACAAAAAGGCCACGCATTTAAAGATGGCTTTTATTGCAAAAAAAAAAAAAGAAACACAAAGTCTTGACATGTGTTTAACTATTTAGACTGAAAGCCTGTCACAATTTCCTCTGTTTGGTCAAATATCAAATATAATGACATGTAGGATGTAGGAGGCTATGGGAGAAGTCTATTGGTTTATATTATTGGGCAGTCAAATTGGACACTAAGTTTTTATTGGATGCTTACATTCCCCCCCCCTATATTGGTGTCTTTGTGTGTCTTAAAAAAAGAAAGAAAGAATGGTATTGCCATGCAGGGGGTGCATCAGCAATTTTATATTTAAGAAATCCACAATTGTTCATTTTTCTTTAGTTTTTCTCATTTCTTCTTCTCTTCGTCCTTTTTGCCATCTGGTTTGTTTCCTGTCTGGGAAGCCAGGGAGCCCATGGCGTTGCGGATGGCCTCGTTTGGATCCACACCAGGCAGGTTCTCCAGGACGCTCTGAAGGAACTCTGGGTCTTGCATCACATCATAATCATCTTCTTCCTACATGAAACCAATGTCGGATGCAGTTAGGATGAGAAAACATAAAATCACGAATAGTTTGTGATTACATCAATCTTGTCCTATTGTTTGACAATAAAACCTGAAACGGATATCCGATCAGAATATCTAATCTGGGACTCTCTTTTAAACTGAGAATAAATTATGATAAATGTGATTTTTAAACTAACACAGGTGTTTGTGGTTTCAAATACAAATGACTTTTGCATGTAAACATGCAATTGGACTCCTAGTGGCCTACTTGTTTAGTCAACAGCTCTTATCCTGGGCTTTAACTCCATGGTAACAAGGAAAAACAGGAAGTAAATAAAGGGAGTGAAACATACAGAACTTTAAAGATATCACTGCTTGACAAAGGTAAGAACTGACCCAGTAAATAAGTTTGTCAGTGATGTGCGTTTGAACCAGCTATTTTTAACCTGTAATTTTTCACTGGAAACTGAGTGCGCCAGATAGAAAGTCAGTTCTTGGACAGAAAGCGGCAGCTCACAGTATCATGGTGACTTTAACTGGTCTCATTTACACTGTATGATGACTCACCTTGGCTGATTCTGCAGTGTCCATCGGGGCTCCTGTGTCCATCTCCCCATACTCTGTACAAATAAGAACACAGAAACAGAAGTCTGGCGACGAAAACAAGCAAAACAACATCCATTTCTTTGAAAAACTAAGCTCACCTCCTCCTGCAAGAGACATCTGCATGGCGTAGGCTATCTGCTCCTCCTCCGTCATGCTGCTGAAATCAGGGAGCACCGCGGCGCCGCTCTCCGGCTGAGACACGGACATCTTCAACAAGGCCTCCTCTGACTCTGTGACACCACAGGACGGTTTTAGTCTCTCGTAAACAAACATCCATCCGCGTTGTGAACCGTCTCCCTGCCCTCCCGTTACCGTCTGCGCTGGGAGTGGGCACGCCGGCCTCGGCTGCGGAAGCAGCGGCAGCTCTGCGGGCCTCCTCCTCCTGCCTCTGTCGCTGCTCCTCCATGGAGACACGCAGGGCCTACGGCAGGGCCCAGAGGCCACACAATGAGGGACCAGACAAAAAGACTCTGCTGCCTCTTCTCTAAAAAGTTACTTTGTAGTATTTAGTTAAGTTAATCGTCTGTTTTTCGATCTCAGTTAGTAAAAAGTCATACAGTCATAAAGTAAATACAGTAGAACCTCTACTTACGATTGCCTAAATATACAAATTTTTCAACATCCGAAGTGAAATTCCATGAAATATTCGACTCGACACCCGAAGTAAATTTCAGAGAAAAAAAAATTTAATACAAAAATTTAATAAAAATAAATTAGCTTAGTTAGTTTAAAGTTCACGTAAGTTATGGTACGTCCTGCATCTCAGTCACCACCTCTACCTTCACACTGACTGCCTCCTCCCACTCCTGCATCGCTAAGCCTACACCTTCGTTTGCCAATCTCCAAGGTAAAGTGCCAATAAAAACCCTTTATTATTGACTATTTCTTTATAAGTTATTTCTTTTTACATCTCTCTTATATGCATATTTTTATTGCTATGTGTAATTATCTTGAGTATTTATTAAGGAGTTATCATAGGTTTTTGGACTGTGGAAAAAATTATATCTTTGAATATTTGAACCAACATTAAAATATTTTAACATACGAAGTAGGTCATGGAACGAATTAAATTTGTATCTAGCGGTTCTACTGTATTTTCAATCTTTCTGAAAGTTGGTCAGATCTCAAGCAGAACGCAGATTCATTGCTTACCAGAGCCAGCTCTGGATCAGCACTGGGGTCCACACCAAACTCAAAGTCGCTGGCACCAAGACCCATCATAGATCCTCCCTCACCAGCCAGAATGGGAGAGGACAGCAGTGCATCAGCCAGACTGGGTCCAGGGGGGACAGTGACCAGGTGAGAGCCTGTTCCCTCCTTCCCATTGAGAGTGTTGATAAAAGCAGTCAGCTTTTCTGTGTTCAACTCCTAAATGAACAGTTAAGACACACAGCACTGTAAATAGAGCATCTGATTAATCACATTTATCATCAAATAGATTTTAGAAGTGACTATAAACATGGGATTCCTCACCTCTTCTCCAAAGTTGATAATATCCACATTTACTTTCTCTTTTTTCAAGCGCTTTGCCATTTTGACAAGCTGAGGGATCAGCAAGTAGGAGAGAAACATTAAGAGACGGAGCAAGCACAGTCATGTTGACATCTGACAATCCTAATGGATTTGGGTCAAAGCTGAGGCCAGACTTCAAACTCACATCTTTTTCATTATCCTCCACAGGACTCCCAACAAAAGCAATGATCCTCATCTTGTGATTTTTTCCTTGTCTGTGCTTTAGGGCCAGCTACAGGAAGACGAGACAAGAAGAGATGCCTGCTCAAAAAGCAACAAACCCCAACTAACATATCAGGTTAGCTTTTTAACACGTTTAACACACTACTTCCCAAATATAATTTCCCTAAAAGTTTTTTGAAGCTGACCCATCTCTTAACTGATACACTTTGATAAACTGTTCACTTCGAACTGGTATTATGGGTATTTTATCTACATTTGTTCTGACTTTTTGTTCTACATTTTCTTTGACCTACATATACACATATTTGACCTACATATACACATATTGTTTCTTATGTATATATCTAGTTATATTTATGAGGAATTTTGTATATATATATGTATATATGTATAAACATGTACATATGTATATGCCTTTGTTTTATTTTTCCTTATGGAGCCTGTAACAAAAATAATTTCCCTCTGGGATTATTAAAGTATTTCTGATTCTGATTTAGATAGAGATAAACATACAGCTAAATATCACAATGAAGAGCCACTCAGTTTGAGAGTAGTTTCCCTATTTAACACACATTATAAAGGCAGATGTGGAAGATAGAAGGTATAGAAAGCTACTGGATATTTCTGAAGGATTTATCTTTTGAAGTCTAATTTCATATAGTTATTGATCCTTTAACCAATTCAACTTCAGCTACTTGTATGGATGACACATTTTCTGTGCTGTGACCAAAAATAATTTTAGATTAATTTCAGTTTAATCTGTATAGTGAACCTTTCACAAAAAATAGTAATCTCAAGCAGCAATTTCCACTTTAGTTCTTGCCCAAATCAGGATAGGTTTTCATTAGTTAGTTTCATTAGTTCATGTTTACATCAAAGAATAACTACTAATTACTACATTTGAAGCAGCAGTTTACCCACATGAGCCACCCTGATGCCCGTGCAGAAGCAGATATTTCCTTTGGGCTGTACAGCATGAAGCTTGGACAAGATGCGTCCTGTATCGGGTGTCAGTGTGGTGAGAACCTCACAGTTACTATATCAAAACAAAACAAAAAGAACAAATTGGAATCCATCAACCCTGTGGGACAAAACTGTTTGACTTTATCACAATGACTTTTTAATTGAGATATCATTGGTTACTCTGCCATTGTGATGAGGCCCACGTTGTTCTCTGGGTTGCTGCGTGTTTTCGAATGGCAGACGATGTTGACAGCGTCCTGTTGAGCCTGCAGCCTTGTCGGTAAGAAGTCTCCATTTCTCATGTACTCACTGTTGTCCACGCTAAAGGGGAGATATGTAACGTGAACGTCAGATGCCATTCTGTTAGCTGGCTAGTTAATACTGGGGTTTACTTCAACAAGACAGCTCAGGTCGACAAAATCGGCTCTTTTGGGATATCTTCTCTCTCGATCAGGTAGCCAATAACAAGCGTTTAACCAGTCGAACAGCAAAAACTAACAAGCACGGCTAGCTTCCGTTAGCAATTGGTGACACCAAAACAGTAGCTCGCCTAAACAATGCTAGCGTCTATGTTGTCATTTGATCATTTCGCCAAGCATACGAAAATGTCAGCCGTATTATTTCAGGATGAAAACATAGTTGTTAGATCTAAACCAAAAAATTACACCAAAACTGCAATTAAGGGCTAACTGTCGCTACAATGACTCAGCCGGTCCGACACTACGTTAGCAGGCTAACCGTCAAAGGTGAAAATCAGTCAAGCCTGCCTGCACACTTGCTCATTATTGCGGTCAGTGAACGACCTTATTGAGTATTTAACTACTATATCATGAATTGAACCGATAGAAGTTAAACAACTACTTTAAAAACACATCTATAGAGTTCTTACCAGACCATAGTACTTTCCAGCCCCATTTTGGTAATTTTCTGTAACTCTCTGTGGTAGTGTAACAAGTTGAAATACTATTGGACAGCGCCTGAACAAGGTAAAATGTGATTGGTTACATGTTGTCAGCTTCGATTTGCTGAAAGAATACATAAAGTAATGATTCAAAACCAACAAATATAGCAAAACATAGCTATTAATGACTATATAGATATATATCAATAAAGTGAAGGCCCCTTATCTAGTTCTTTGTTTTTATTTAACTCATTCGAATGTTCCTTGCTTAGTTTCTATTCATTATAATAGGCTATATATAAACATACCCTTTTTCTTGTCTTGCATTCCCTCGACATCCCAACATCTGTATCCAGTTATGATTGCCACATTTTTCACATATATTTATTTTGTAAGGATAAGATGACCGTATGGTTAAAAATAAACACATTTGATATATGTAATTTCCATAAATAAACAACTAATTTGTGCATAAGATATTACAGCATGAGGTCCAGCAACTTAATAAGTGTAATAACTATCTATTTAATCCTAAAATCTGAACTTCAATGGTTGTGTATTGGCTTTCAAGAATTTTTTAGACTCAAATAATGCCTTTTCATTTATAGGAAAGAGTCACTGTAAGACATTAGTTAACTCTTTACACTGTGACAGCACATTTTAATCTGGATGGTTGTGGTCTCTATAAAGATGACAAAAATAACTTGTACAAGGTTTGCTGATCAGTTTCATGAAAAAGTTATGAATGTAAAATGGTAATCACCAGACAGAAGAATTAGGGCTGGGTGTTTTATTGGCATCCTCTGCAATAAAACCAACGGAGGGAATACATTTGAAGGAAATGTGTTACATCTCCCACATTGTGTTTACCCTTCTTGTAAACATGAAAAGCAGCAATGAGAACAATCTTGTGGAACATAATGCCCTGTAGTGGCTTTGGCAACTAGCCAAATCTCTTAATTGTGGCTTCCTTTTTCCCCATAGAGGAGAATTTAACCATATTTTTTAGTTTACGTTGCTTTACATGGATTTGTGAAAAATGTATTTCGGTAGATTGAATGTTTTAATATTCTCTGGAAAGCCATTCTGAATACTTTGTTTAATTACCATATATAAATTAGCTTTGGATTTGAGATTTGAGTTTCTCCTTTAAATATATCACCTGTTGGTATTTCTTCTTACAAAAGTAATTAGATGATAAAAATGAAGCCACACAAAACCAAATGTTTTTTTTTAAATTCTTTTAATGACTTCAGGTACATGTGTACAAAACATGAAAGCCCCAAAAAGAGCAAGATGCAGAAAAATAAACTCATAATCAGTGAAAAGGCATTGCTGTGATGGTTGCATAAAGACATGTGTATCTGTCTAATGTGCACAAGTCAGAAGACCAGGAAAGACAAATACACAATGAAATAAGAGATTTAACAGTTGTTAAAATGATAAAAATAATAGTCACAATAAAACAAAGGTTTTAATCTCACAGGTGAATGCCTAAGATACAAACGTGTTGTGCTGTGTAGAGAACGACCCAATATCAGCCCCATGCCACCAAAAACAGACATTTTTGGAGGGAAAAAAAGAGGAAAAAAAAACCTAAAGCAATAAATATCACAATAAATATCACTTTATTTACAGGTTTGGTTCATAGGCTGCGTGTGCTACTGCTTCCATACCCTTAACAAGTGATGAAGGAGTTGCCAAATAATGCACCTTGGTTGGATGTTTGTTAATAAACCTTTTATATATTGCACAGCTTATTAATTTAGACAAACACGTACGGAGTAAACAAAGATTTTGCTGCATAGATCAGGCAGCTTTTTAAATGGCCTACTTCTTTCTTGTTGTCAGAATGTAAATCCTATCTAAGACATTTCTGTGATTTCAAACAACTGTGACACTTGACGAAGTCAGCGTGGTCCAACCGGTGCGTCTGGTTAAAACACCGAACACCAATTCTGAAACTGGCTTGAATTAACTACCAGTTTGTTTCTTTTATCCCCCCCCCCCCCATTTTGACACAGCAGGCAGCCATCACCGTGTATTCCTGAAGAAAACAAGCTAATGTAAGACAGCTGGGGCCTGTCTCATGACTCTTATTCAAAGTGATCAAGCCTCACTACAACTAACTCTGTAGAAAACTCTCCCACACGATGAAAACCTGTTCAAGTGGCTGTTGTTTATTACAGTTAAGGTACACCTAAGCGAGGTCCACATGTGCAGAATTTTGTAAGGAAAGGAGAGAAAATCCTTCTTCCCACAGGGAATATGACTGACCAGTAGGTGCTGCAGGCAAGCCAACATAAATCAGGCTAAGAAAAAGTCCTACTTTATATGGCTATATCACATAGTGTCAGCAAACCAGGGAAAAATAGTGCTAAGACTGTGACTTGCTGAAAGAAACAGAGCACAGGACTGCTTACTGTGTTGTTCCTGCACCTACAAACCTCAGCTTGTCAGAGCCCAGACAGAAAAGCTCAAGCAAGTCTTCGTATTCGATGCTGCAGCACGTCACTCCTCATCGTGCTCTTTTTGTGCGATTTCATTTAAAATATTGTATGCTTAATACGCATATAAACAAAATGAGGAAATCCAACTTGGGCAGGCTGCCAGAGAGCACTTGTGCTTGCATTCCTGTGACATCAGCCACATATCGAGCTGCTTGGTTTAGGTGTTATGAATCACATGTGCGTGTGATTCCTATGTACACTCTGCTGTTGTTTTCTTATTTAAGCCAGCCTCGCTTATATAAACAGCAGGGACAAAATAATGGAATTATCACTGTTCAAACACTGCTTCCAAAATCATCAAGAAGTTGTATCAAGACGGACATACTTATAAGGTAAAATTGACTCCACAACTTTCATAAGGGCAGTGTTTACCTCAGGACTGCGACAGCCCACTCCACAGAGCTATGGTAATATCTTTTTAGGGCGAAAAGGCACTATACAAGGTCACACAAGATGTGAAAAGTAATCACATCTGAGTAAACTGCTAACATTTGCTACTGTAATGATATTTCCATTAGCATGAAAAAGATAAATCTGCAAATGCATGCCTCTGTTAAGGGTGTAGCTAAAAAAAATCTGCGATCCAGATCAGAATCTACCTCTAAAGCCTCATTTTTCTCAGGGCAAGAAACCTCTGGTAAAACATTGTAAATTCACGAAAATTGGTCAAAAACTTTTGACTAATCCTAGCAACAATGCACAAATAAAGTGTACAAAAAACATTTGATCTACATAAGAGAGAATTATAATGAAAAACAAAATGATTGTTCCAGTTTGCAAAAAGGTCTCTGCATGTTGTTTGGTCCCTGACATTTGGGTGGTGAGAGACCTCTTTCCATGTTTGGTCTGTAGCATGAGTCGCTACAAAAAAATATCAGTTAAAACTCAACCTTGTGAAACAGAAAAGGAAAGATACAGTCCAACATGTGGCCACCAGTCACAGTTTGTCTGGGTCATTAGTCAGCCGCTGTCTGTCACATCTGACCTTATGCATTCGATGTGTTTATATATATATTTTTTTAAAAACTTTCACCTTTTTAAATACTGTTCCAACTTGAAGATTAAAGGTAGTATTTGGGATTCACAGTCTCTGGAGTCGTAAATATCCATAAGAAAACTTAATTTAATTAAACTCCTAGCTCAGGGTTACACCTTTTTCCAGCATCATGGCCAATATTTACAGTAAATGTAGGAATAAGGATATTTCTCACCAAAACAAACAAACAAAAAAAGTTTAATAAAGGCGTGATCCCAAGATTTATATTTTGTGTTAAAGTATCTAAATCAAACACCTACAAGAAACTCAAAAACTCTTGAGTGGTAGTTTCATAGGCTGTATGTAAAAGACAGGCTGGCGAAGCCAACATGGAAATGTCTTGCATTGCAATACCCCTGATGGCCACTAGATGGTACCAACTACAAATTATGTTTTAAAAAAATCAGTTTCTCTCCTGAAATGCAAAAGCAAGAAATCTCCTACGGCATTATTTCCAACAGTCATTCTAATTCAGTGTGGGAGTGGTTGTAACTGAAGACGAGTTAAACAGAGAAGTTACACATTTTTGACAAAATAGGTTGAAGTGAACACTCCCAGAGCCAAAAATGCTTCTGCCGCTTCTGACACACACACAAAAAAAGAGGTTTCTAAGTCTATATCTTTCATATGCAGAGTCTTGGTTGAGAAGAGACTTACAGGGCAAAGTTTTCTTTAACATTTTCCAAAGTAATGTGGTAAACACAAAGAGGAACACATTTAAAAGAAAAAAACAGACAGGGAATCAGACATAACATGGCATGAATTAGGGAAATTTTGTTCACAAACAAAAGACAAATCTTGATGTTACACTATGTTGAAGGCTGGCTTAATCAAGCAAATCAAGGCCAAGAACAATATTTGTTTGTGAATTCAGGCACTCGTACAGATAAATTGATAGTGTTCACGACCCATGTTAACGTACCCACAATTACTAGTGTCAGAGGACAACAATACTTTTACACACTTTGCTGAGATTCCAGGGGCAGAAAACGAGAACTGATGTCATTTAAAATCCCACACTAAGCGGCTTTAGTACGGTACCTTCAATCAAATCAAGGAGGTAACATCATTTGAGCCATTTCCTCGAAGTTAATTTTTTTGGTTTATTGGAGTTCGAGTCTGAAGTTGCCTCTTTACACCTGCGAAGCAAAAGGACCAGGTTATAAAAGTCAACAGACAATAAGAAGTAGGGACAGTAAAAGAATCCACATTCTACTCACCGAGCATTTGCTTGTGTTGAGTATGATGTCACTGAGTGTGGCGGTTTCCTCGGTGCTGATGCTTTCTTCGAGCTGGAACTGAGCTCTGGAAATGAATATAAACAAGTGAGACTGAATCAAAACTCAGATATGTAGCCTCAGGTCTGTTACACGTCTTTCCTGAAAGGAACCTTTCATCGGGTCTGCTGATATTTGCGAGCGTCATGTTTTTTTATTTTTTTTTATGTATTCCCGGGCCTTTTTCTATTTTACCTGAGGGGGGTGCTGTTCTCTTGGTCCTTGCTAGGTGTGGCATTTCCAGCTGCTCCCACTGACAAAGATGTTTCCAAAGTCTCACTTTTGGTAGCGAATCCAGAGCTTCCCAGGGAGGAGGAAATGGAAGCATTTGAAGCATTGCTGGGTGGTAACGTCTGAGGGAGGAGGTCAGGGCGACCTGGATGCGTCACTGGATGGGAGGGGAGGATAAACCATCAGAGCTGCGGTTCAGAGGAAGTGCCTCGCATGCTGGCACATGTTTGACCTCATTAGTAAACATAGCTCCACTTCAGAGGACACGGCTGCATTCTCACCGTTGTCTCCCTCTGTGTCCTCCCTGCTTTGCTGTTGCAGAGAAGGGGGGGGGTTGTTGACACTGCTTTGGGTTGACAACGACGGCCCACTGCCAGCTGTTTTTTTCACGGGTCCATTGATCCGCCGCTTTTTAGACGGGGAGGTCCTCACTACACAGGCAACATGGAAACATGTGTACAAAGATTCAACTCTGAAACCGGCATGAGTTCGTCCTTAGAGTGGCACAAAGTAAACTTACGCAACATCTTCTTAAAGACTGTGTTGCACATGAACTTCTGAAATCGATCTGCGTAGAAACTCGGCCTGTGTACCGATACGGTGTCCTGGGAAAAGAAACGAATAAATCAGTGTTTGTTCACATTCTTGTTTCCCATCAATACACACACACACACAACACCAAATGAAAGGCACCTTACCCCATCATGAACCAGGGCTTTCCAGGAATGTTCAAGCTTCTTTACAAATCTGAAATAAACATCACAGAAACTCTTGATCTGAGAGCCCACGCAATCAGACCTATGTAGATTATGAGCCAACGCAGATGGTTCACTCTGATCCGTTACCTGTAGGACTGCAGAATGTCAATGATCCCCATGTACACCAGCAGCCTGTCGCCTTTGGAGTTTTGTGCAGGGATTCCACCCGTCCTGTAAAAGACATTCAAAGCAACGGCAAATGTCAAGACGTTTCCGGAGTAGCAGTAGGGCAGCGGGATTTCTCTGGAGACAGCAGCACGCCATCACTCACTTGTCCTCTGATTCCGAAGGCCCCACACCTCCTGCCTCTGCCTGGATGGCCTCAATAGCAGTGCTGTAGAGGGACTTCTGACCTTGTGGCTTCCTTTGGTCTGCCGCGCCGGCCACTGCCACTGCCTCTTCGCTGGCCTGCTCTCGACAGGCCTGATCCACATTGTGAATTCCCACGAGAAGGCTGTAGTCCATGATCTTGAAACTCTGCAAAAGCTGAAGAATAATGAAGGAACACAATTAAAGGGCATAGCTTTAATGTGAGCTGTTTCTTGGAACTTGACGCTCTTTTCTTGGCTCTTACCAAACAGTCTCTCTGGATGGTCTTACAAACCGCACTGTACTTGTCCCCCTCCAGTATGAGTCCACCGGACATGTCCTGAATAAAATCCAGGTCCTTGTACGTGGGCACTGCCTTGTCTCGCTCTTTGGCTGATGCTCGCCGCTTGTAAGTCGAGCCCTTCAGATCAAACTTGAGGTGCATTCGCACTGCATTCGGTAGCAAATTGTTCATGACCGCAATTCGAATGTTTTTACCGGCTGCTTGGACGCAGTACAGCCCATAAAACTTTGGTAATAAGGTCCGCTTGTTCTGGTTCAGATTCTGAGGAGGGAAACAGAGGTTGGAAGGAGGCATTTAGGAACCACGTCACAAATAGTGGATAAATAGTGGATAGGTAAAATTATGATAAACCTGTGGTTGAAGAGAAAAAACCTGAAATTTTCTTTCTTGAGGAAAGAATATTCAAGCAGTGACGATCACCATGAGGCAGATGATTGTGAAAGTACAGGCAAATGGATTTAACTGTCCACCGCATTTACAGCGACAATGGTGGACGTTCACTTTTCTGATAACAGCTAAAAGGGAGCTGGAATGTAATACCAGTCCAGCAGCCTGCCAGCGCGCCTCCATTGACACACCCTCTGAGAGGTTTATAATGCTGTGTTTGATTTATGTTGAAGCTTACCATAAAGTATCCAGGCAAAAGTTTCTGTAGAAACTCTGCCTCTTTGTGCTGCACTGTCTTAATGATGAATTCGTCATCACTAGAGACATAGAACAGAGATCCACTGGCCCCCGAGTTCGACAGCTCAATCAGCGCATCGTTGCAAAGAGAATACTGTAGAAAATACAAAACAAAGACAGCGGTTAGACGAGGAATACCAACCAAGCCTCCGCCTCTCCCGTGTCAACACTCCTTGAGTCACATTTCCCCAGTTTCAGTCTTTCTAATTACTCCATTCCTATGACGGCTCGCAGGCTTTCTTAAGAGGCTGGGTTTTCAGCACATTTTTGGAGTGGGAAAGTTTCAGGGCAAATAAAAGTACCATGTAGTCATCGGGCCGGATGCCAAACATTTCTCTGAAGTAGCGAAAGGCGACCGGGGCGTATGTTTTGAATCTGAAGTCTCCATAGTGGTGGGCCGGTGTCAGGTTGCTGCCCTCACTGCCAGAAAAAGAAAACAATGCATTCCAGATAAGCGCGACAAAGCAAAAATAGTGCTGCTGATGCGCTGTCACGAGAAAAACTTTTTTTTTTTCCAACGCATTGTCGCTCACCTGGGAAAGAAGATGCTTTCTACGACCTCAAAGTCCTGAAGCAGCACATCTCGCTCAGCTTTCTGACTCAGGCTGCCCACAGTGTGCGTGATGCCTAACTGGATGGCACCTTTCAGAGCTGACGATGTCGTCTGGAAGATGCAAGTAATGCAAGTGAGAAAAAAAACAACGTAAGAAAAGGCTACAGGTGGTTTGTAGATTTTGATGACTTTGTAATGTCATATCTTTCAGGGTTAAAATTTTGAGTTTTTTTTTTTTTCTTCTTACAGCTTTTTCCCTACAACTGATTATTTTGAGCCGACTCATCTCCTACACACATTACGTGCTGGTTATGTGGGAAGGAGGAGCTATTTGGCTTTACAAAAAGACAATAATTTCTCGCAAATCTTAGACTTTCAATTCACAACTGCAGCCAATCCTTTAAAAGATTACTTAACGACAAACAAATATTTGATTTTCTCTTGAATCTAAAGACTCCCGCTCTTTGTATGGAACAAATGCGACATTCTGAAAGTAGTGGTGTGTAACTGTTGGTGGGGGAAAATGAGCTTCGATCTGTGGCGGCACCTTTTTGTAGGTCGTCTCTCCCGTGGGGTCAATTCCACGATGGCCAATGGTTTTTTTCATGGCCTGCGACAAGCCGATGCTCGGACCCTGTCAGCGCAAACGTAAGACAGAGGAAAGTTACAGAAGGAAAAGAAGTCAGAAGTCTGAGGCAACATGGAACATTCTAAAGCTTCAAACAGGAAGGAGAAGAAGACATGTCAGCAAAATCGTTGTAAACTCCACACCGTACGGGACTATGGCAACCTCTGTTTCCTAACTGACAGAGCAACAGAGCATTACGCATTTCCTCACCAACCAATTTGTAATCCCTCACCTCTGCAGAAACATTTTTTCGGGCTCCAGTTGAATCTGAGAGGAGAGAGGGAAGAAAAGAGACGGGTTACACCTAATTTACACACTCTTGAGAAGTAATGAGTTGGCCAAGCGAATAGTTTGGATGCATTCAGATCAAACAGCACATCTGCAGACGGCCTCCTTCACTCCCCATTACTGAACACAAACAGAGCAGATGAGCTCAAGCATGCAGACACACCTCGTTCTTTACCTCTGAAAGAAGACAGTGCTCTCCGCAACTGACTCTGCAGGTCTTTGTGAGCAGTGGGAGGAATTAGATAAGTATGCTATTAAAGTGAGCTGACACAAGGCTAATGAAGAAACAAGGAGCCACATTGTAGAAAGTTAAAAAAGAACCACAATGGCTGATTCACGTAAATTATTAACCTAAAGATAAGCTGAATGTGACAACACTAAAGGGAATCTGAAGCTGGCATTAATTTGTTTGGAAATCACAATATATTGTTGTTAGCTCTATAACACTTATTCATATGAAAAGATGGTTTATTTTCTTGTTTATGCTCCCAAACAGGTGAATGAGTCTTTTTTTATAATCAACATGTAAACATATGTTTCCACTGCATATAAGAAATAAGCATTTTTTTTATTTATTTCTGTCAAGAGTAAAATATCTCTCACAGTGACTTTTAAAAAAATCTGCAAAATATGATTACTTGGAATGAACAAACCAATCCATCCATCCATTTTTTATGCTGCCTATTCCCAACGGGGTCACAGACTGCTTGAGCCTATCCCAGCTGACAATTGGCAAAAGGCGGGGTACACACTGGAGAGGCCGCCGGTATGAACAAACCTCTGGGCTTATTTGGATATATTATCTTTTATTTCCCCCAAAGACCAACAACCAGAGGGGATCGTGTTTCTGAGAATAGCAACCAATCGATTATCATACCCTCCATACATCAGCAAGACATATCTGCTCCTATTGAACTCCATCTTCCCTCTCCATTTTGACTCCTACCAGATGCGTCAGTTTGAAGTTCAACAAAACGCAAAAGAAAGGTAACAGGAACGCCATCTAAATCAAACTGTGCTGCTGTCCCAGCATGCAGAGGCTGTGCTGAGCATGAGGATTTAGATGTACCGAGTCTGTCCTACTGATTAAACATTTTGAACTAACAGAATATTGAATTTTAAAATGAACGATCAAATGTATTGTTGGGTGGCTTGTAAAGATATAGAGCTCATTTTCTACTGAGTACAAAAAAGTAGATGTCTAGCTTTTACAGTTCGGGGGATTTTGTTCTACAAAGTTGCTGTCCTGGTAGCCCATGTACTTGCTACACCTTATTATGAGTGTGATCACGTATTGGCTTTGTTCCATATCAACATACCCAAAGAAGGTAATCGAGAGCAATATCATGTGTACTAAACAACTTACTGTGATTTGCTGATGTGAAATATTTTCCTCAGGTAAAAATGAAAGGATAAAGGGCACACACAACACTGGGCCTCTCCCTTTGCAGTCGTATTACAGTAACCAGACATGGTTTTAATGCTAATCTAACAGCCAGGGGGTGTACAGGACCAGTACTTACTAGCAGCGTGGCTCTGAAGCCCTGGTGGCTCCTCTGCAGCTGTGGCCATTCAAACACAAACTGAACGAAGCAGAGGAATGAATGTGGCTCCCGATTAATCTTTCACCATCAAACGTATCGATGGAAACAGCTCGAACAGGCGTGGATCTGCGCAGACTAAGAGGGACACGTTAAAACACACATTTCAGGGTAACACCAATCATTCCAAAACGGCCACGTTGACCCGGTCTGATGATGGAGAATCAGAACAATATAAACGACAACCTATTCACAAATAAGTTAGGTCAGGCACGGTAACTTCACTTCTGTGTGTACGTTAGGAAAGCAAGCACTAGATAGCACCCAGTAAGAGCACTAGAACAAGCCGAAACTGGTTAGGAAGACATCTAACGAAATGTCTGTCTTCATATGTTCAATTTAACAGACGCGAAAAGCTAGCTGCTGCCTGCGGTCAAACGTTAAACAAACACTCACACAAAACACCAAAAAAACACACCAACAAACTGTCAACTCACTGTAAAGCTCCTGAGAAGGTCTTTTGAGAGTTTGCCGTCAAAGAAGGACTCCTTCTAAACGAAATGTTTCCCCCAAAACAAGTAAACAAGGAAGCAATGCGGAAGCGGCAGTTTTTTGGTCGGTTGGGCTAACCCAGGAGCAAACCGCACTTCCGGTGACAGCGGCTTTTTCGCAATAAGTCTCCCTTTCGTAAGGCGACCTAAAACGTCAGCGTTAAGAGACGAAAAGCCTTGTGGCGACATTGGGGAACATTTGTAAAAGAATATTGATGAACAATTATCACAAATGTCACAAGAGTGGAAACTTTATTTTGAAAAGAATCCGTCGAAAAAAACAACAAAAAGTCAATAAGTAAGTGCTTAAACAGTATAAACCTGGAGCATCGTTTCATTACATAAAAGGCTGAAAGTCGAACTAATCTATCCATCGTTTCCTATACTGCTTATCCCGTGTAGGTCCCCAAACCGCCCACAGCTGACACCACGCAGAGTACACCCCAGACATGTTCATGTCTGGCCCTGTCTTCCATCAACCCTTGGAAGACCTTGTAAGTATTTGAAAAAAACTGATTAATTAAGGTGAGATATCTGCAAGATGACTGGTTGCATCTATTGGCTGGTGTTTTTGTTTTATTTGTCTCAGTGAGTCAGGGTGAGCCTGATCACGGTCATCAGTCATAAACTCCTTCGGATTGAGCTTGTCGTGTTTCTCTTTACACTTAGTGATCTTCTTTACCTAGATTCCTATGCTATTTGTAGTAATGAACACATGGCACTCTGTGCTGTCTTAAATAAAATAGAGTTATGAGGTTCCTATTCCTGTTGCCTTCCCCACCGTGCTTGGGAAAAAGGAAGGCACCCTGGACTTGTCACCAGTCTGTCACTGGGCAACACTAAGCGAAAGAGGATAAACAACCAGCAAATTCACTGTCAGTTGTATTAACAAGTACGCAGACCAAGCCCATACATACAACCTCCACACAGAATGGACCCCCATCGGGTTTCAATCCTGGAAGCCTCTGGTGGGAGGTGACAAAAGTGTGACACTAAAGAAAATAACCCGTTAACTTATGAAATGTGTTGATTGTAATTTGCCAAAAATTGACAATTAAATCATGCTAACTGAGAAGCTCAGTTGTAATTTGATTTTTTTTAAATATTCAAAGAGAATTCTTCTTTTGTTGTGAAGGCAGAAAAACCTAAAACAGGAAGTGTGGTGGCTTCATTCACACATGAGGCCAGCCTGGTTTCACACTATAGAACAAACACAGAAGATGTCCCTGTCAAGAGTTTGTAAAGTGTTTATTTGTGACTTTTACATCAGACTTGTAGTCAGGCCCGGCAGAACACTCCAACATTGATCACTTACATGATCCCCAAGTAATCCAGCCAATCACAACCCGACTGGGTCTTATGCAGCCCTGTCAAACCACATGTTCAGACCTGCCGGGCTATGACTTCCATGTGTCTTACAGAGTAGAAGTTACAAGTAACATTTTAAACATTAAGTGTGAGTTTTAAGAGTGAGCATTTTGATTCTATCCTAATTTTTCTTTTTTTTTTAAAGCTACTAGTGAAAAGCTCGGTTAACATACAGAGGTGGAAAAATGACTCAGTGGGATTCAGATTGTACTAACAAACATGGACCAAACCAGTATTTCCTGTCTTTAGACAAAGGCGAGACACTCTATTTATTGTTCTCCATTCATTTCACTGAGTATTAATCTGTCACCTCTAGCAAGCATTTGGGTTAAAGGTGAAACCTCGCTCTGGAGGCATTAGAGGAGCGGTGTAGCCTGGTGTTGGACTGTAGTCGGGGTTAGGCAGTTCGCTGTTGAAGCAGGTCCAGCGGGCGTTTTCTTGGTACCCACAGCACTCGTACACCACCGTCATGGTGGAGGATTCTTCCTCACAGAACTGAAACAGGGCTTGTTTCCACTGTGAAGAGAAAATTGACACTCACAGAGCTGAACTTGCACGTCTAAAAGTCAATGCTGGAAACTCTGTGTTGGTTTTTGTCCTCTCAGCTGGTTGCGCATTATTATCTATTGTTGGTTGTAAAATAGATGCAGCTCTCACTGCTGTTTGTTCATTTTAATTGCAAGGACATTTGTGTGTCACTTTTAGTTCAATCAGTATGAGAGTGTAATTGAGTAAAAGTTCAGTTACAGTAGCTCCTTTGTTTTGCAAGAAACTAGAAAGGGAATAGGAGGTCCTGAATATGAATTAAAATCTTATCGCTCACGCATAACAACAGCGATAACCAGTCGTCAGATACTCACAGCCTGCTGGGCGCAGCAGAGTTTTTGGTCGGGTTGCTGTGCCACGACTCCACTGCAGCACAAACTGTACCACGACTCCAAGCGATTGATGGCTTTTCCGCGGCGGCGATAGTGGCTGAAACTGCTGGCTGGGAAGAAGCTGTCCGGGTATCTGGGACGGCCATTTCCCCCGGTGCAAACGGCAGCGACATTCTGAGGTGTGGGATAGGCAGGGGGGAATGGGACGTTTGGCTCCTTCTTGGACTTTCTCCTGCTCTCTGTTGAAAATACACATAAACCAACACATCGACAACATAAAATTGTCGTAACATAACAGCATTGCAGTTGAGCATTAAGTAGAAATTAAAAACAAGTCAAAGACGTTACCTCCCAACTGTGCACCGAGAAGAATCATTAGCGCCATTATCCAAAATACTCTCAGGCATTGAGTTGAAGTCATGGCAGAACGGTGTGAACAGAGCTTGATTCTAGAAAGGCTGGAAAAGTGCGTTTCCCTCCAACTGCTACTGTGAAGGGATCCTTGAACAATTTATACGGGAGAGTGGGGAGGATGATAGTGAGAATGAAGCCTTTGATTTGAGAGCTCAAAGTGGGAGTAAGGAACAGCGTGGTTTGTGTATGCGTGTGGGGGTGTAATGTGGAAAGCTGTTAAGATAAAACCAAATTAGGCTGAAACTTCTTTCTGCTGATGAGACCAAGGTCGATCAGCAAACTCTGTATTTACCACAGATAGCATCACTCTAAGCCCAGAATGTTATGTAAAACTATGCAAACAAACCCTCTACCAGGCAGGATTTGTGTCACGACCTTTTGAGACGGAAGTTGGTTTAGTGTTTGTAGCAGTCATTAAAAAAACAACAACAAGTTCGACCGTATCAAAAGCAAACTCTTTATATTACATTGCAGAGAGAGGTTTTGTAATCATGTCTGCCCAGCACCACACTTGTAATCTCCTTGTTCAAGCTCTTGTTCAAGTTGGGTAAGTAAATAGGGCAGGTGCAGAGGGATAAGTGGCCCATGCATAGGAGGGTTTGAGCCTGCCCAGCCCACATGCTGAATTACCTCCCAAGACACTGAACTCCACATTTCCTATTGGTGAGCTTTACAGGATCCCTGTGAGTTGCTTTGGATGGCAATGGCCGCAAAATATGCATTTGATAAAGTACAGTCAAGACAGTCTAGTTGTTGTCCAAAAAATCTTTGTGACTGACCAAAAGAAGATCTACATGATTAACATAGACCAGGAAAAAAAGTGTACAGCCATAATGAGGATTTCTGTTTGGTTACAAAGGAAAAAAAATACTTTTTAAAAACAAAATAAGGCATTTATTCATCATGTTATTTCCAAAGATATTCATAAAGTATCATATCTTGATCTGACCCTCATTTTATTTATAAATTCAGATTGATATACGGTATTAATCTGAAAAGACACAGGTCAGATCCAAGAAAATTATCAGTTGACAAGAACAATTACCATATCAAATAGCACATTCTGGTGGACTCAAGACTTCAGGTCACGTAAATGTCTATCCATGGTTTAAGGGACATAAATTTAATAGCCACATTATAGGTAAACACATAAAATGAACTTGACAAAAGAACCAGTTCTAAGTCAAACACAATACATCCATTCTTAGATCATTGTATTACTGGTTCCAATACGAGTTTAAGTTGGGTTATATCCTTCAAGTGACTTTAACCCACAAGAGCCCAGACCCATATTTCCCTAAAGAGAAATGATAATATTAATAATAATATAAAATAATAATATAATATATTATAATATGATATATTATTTATCAGTAAAATAAAAATAATTAATTCAGGTATGACCACAAAATCTCAAAGATCAGTGATTTCCAGAAGTTCCATTGGCCATCGTTTAATAAGAAATGTATTTTATTTTAAAAAGGATGTTACACCTGTGTTACCTGTGGCTTTTTATGGGTTAAATGAACACCTGGATCTCATCTATTTTACAATAAGTTTGAACAAGGAAGTTGCATTGAATGAGAAATAAAACACCTTTAAGAACCATTGGGAAACCTCATTTGAATTCTTTTAAATTATTAACATGACCTGAATAACTAAGGGTACAGAGAGGTCCATTCCGCACATTTCATACAAAATGCAATAAGAATGGATATACTCCCATTATCGGTCTCTTTTTAGTTAGCATTTGTGGTAAACATGTAGTTTCTAGCTACTTTTGTATTTGTTGAGCAGGAGGAGTAGGGGTTCCCGTGACATGTTCCTTAACCCTGACCCCGCTGACCTCATAAAAAACAAACAAAAAACAAAGTCCATCTGTTTCACTCTCTGCTGAAACTGGATGATTGTTTTTCTTTTTGTTATCTAAGGATGTTCAACACCAATCATACATATTAAAGCTGTGTGTGTGTGTGTGTGTGTGTGTGTGTGTGTGTGTGCGTGCGTGTGCGTGTGCGTGTGCGTGTGCGTGTGCGTGTGTTATCTACAAAGCACCACCATTTATATTCCAAACTGTTTTTGGTAGAGGAAAAACTACTCCCTTGGAAAATCAGCAAATCACTGACTGAAAAATGTTTCACTCCCTAAAGTTCATGTTCATCTTTTTTTTTGTTTTTGCTGACGACAGTACGCTGAAAAATATTTATAAACCACTTTATTTTTAACAGAAATTGTATGAAACAGAAGACGTCTTTGTCTCGGCAGCTTTACACATCAAGCTGACAGTCAATCATAAGCACATCTGGAGCTTCAATAAACATCTGTCTACTTTTCATTTTTGGGACATGTCTCCTGTCTCCACAGTTTGACTCTTTTTTTACATCTTTCTTGGGCCAAATCAACATGATGAGTCAGCGTTGTGTTAGTGCGAGAGATCACAGATTTGCGGATGAAGTCGGGGAGTGGATGTATGAACACGTCACACACAATCTCTGCTCACTTTGTAACCTTCACTTCTTCAAAACAAGCCACAGTTACACAAAATATGTCCATGTAGAGAGTGAAGACCGTCTTCAAGTTCTTAGTCTGTGTGACATTTGAACAAAGAATGTAAAACAGTGGGTTTCAGGGATTGTGCTTTTTGGGTGGATTCAGTCAATCAGCCTGAACGTGAAAGCCCTGAAGGTTCGTTGTCATTATTCAACACATTTGGAAAGTATGTCCCACTTCGACTTCAGGGCCTTTGACCTATACCAGGATTCCTTCACAATGCTTACATGTTGCATGACGTGCAATGGCTCCTCCTCCTCACCTTTCCTGGGTTTCAGCTGCCCGAGACGTTAGCCTAATATTTCAACACTGGAGGTCATCCTGAGGTAATGCTGGATCTTTGTTTTTATTTATCCTGGATAGTGGCTCTGATACTCCCTCTTTCAACTTACATCCAGTCTTAGGATGCTGGACTCAGGGAAGATCATGAGGAGGGCACAGAACACTGCACAGCTTTATATTTTTTCAAGGAGAAAATTTATGAATTATTTCAAATTGAATTTAATTTCAAATAATACCAACACATTTTATATAAGTCTTCAAGTTAGCTGGAGTATAATAGAAACGTTATTTGAATTACATATATTAATTAGTTTGTAATGTGACACATAAATAGATAAAGAGCACTTAGATTTTCTCCACAGTCTGTCCAGTCCTACCTCACATAACAACCTGTGGAGGCAGATGGCTGGACAGTTGCTGTTCTCTACTGACACCCGCTGGCTTTTGTATGATCAGCACCGAGGACTGGACTGATCTGTGGACTTTAAAATGAAAAAAAAAAAAGTTCTAATGCAATATCATTTTTGTTTAAAATGTAGTTTTCACATGAAGATAAATGTAACGTTGGGTTTAAATGCATTTAACTAGATTGTAAGCAGTGGGCTTGAATTAAAGATCTTTGCTTTCTCTGATTCTCTCATTTCTATTAAGACTACAGGCAATGTCTTGACATTTTAGGAAAAGTAAGAGTAAGTTTCGCCAATTTGTTCATCGTACACACATAAAACTGTTTCATACTATATTCATTTATAGATAATCAGAAGATATGATCCATCCTGTGACACTGCATAAATAATCACCATTCTGGATAATGTCACCATACTGCCAGGGGAGAAAGTGGCAGGTTTAAGGGGGCAGAATGAGTGAAATGCTTCATAGTTTCTTATTGTGAGTATGAGAACATCGAGTAACAACGCTGCAAATTGAGAAACGCTCCTTGTATTATTTCCTATGTCTTTCTGTTCAGATATGCAAAATTTACCTATATTACTTTTTTGTAATGTTTTTTTTTAAGTTCCTCCATGTAAAAAAATATTGGATTGGATTGCCTAGCGACCTGTCCCCCTCCTCTCGCAGCTGTCAGCTGGTACAGAACACGGATGGATAGATGGATGGATGCGCATCAGATTAAATCTTAACGCAGAGGCTGCGCACGGTGGCAACTTCCGCCCGTTCCGGAGGCGCACCCATCTCCACCCTCACCGTCACACCTGTTGTGAAAACCTGCATTTCAGCGGGATCTTTTAGTCTGGCCATCCCGGAGCGCTGCTCGTCGTGGATATCTGGGACAAAAATCGCTTCCTAAACTGCATTTGTGTAAGTTCTACTTTTGATTCACCTGCCTGTCTTCCTCTTGTTTATTTTTTCCCCCATCCGTTTCTATTGGATGAAATCTGAAGGTCAAGTAAATGAGTCTTGCACGAGAAATGAGGGACACAGAACAGTTTATTACACTTGCCTTGCCTAAATATTATTAGGGTTTCGCTCCTGTCTGTGTTTTGCTCCGAGCGTCTTTTTGTTCTGTGAATCACTACTCATTAGCCTACTTGGAAATTAGCCATGAACCGCCACAAATATGAAAACAATGCATTAAGATAAAATGAAAAACAACGTATTGACCTGGGGGTTGTGGCTCGTATTGCCCATGCAGCCATATAATTGTCCTGTCCTTTCCAATGGGGATAACCGGTTACTCCCGGAGGTTAATCTGTCAGAGACCTCAGTGTACCAGCAGGTTTGGAGCCAAAACAAGTAGAAATGTTTACTATACGAATTTGCAAGATTTAAATAAATATGTTTTCCCCTACAATAATTCTATCACTATGAAGCACATTCTCACTCACTCATGACACGTATCTTTTATTTAAATGTTTTTGTGGAAACCCAGTTCTGTAAAAAAGGTGCTTAGCCTACACTGGCAGGAAAAGTTCACATTCAGCTTGTTAGACTTTTGTCATGTGATCTCATCTGATTAGAAATTCAAAGATAGCCGAACAAACTTTATTATCATTAATATTTCATTATCTTCCCAAACGTTTAATCTGACATTTCATTTTGGAAATGTAAACAAGTGAAACGGCATGCATAAAACTGAAAAAACATAAAATGACTCAGCAGGTGATACATTTAACTTGAGCTCAATGATTTACTTTTTCTTGAAACGCCAAAGAAAAGAATGGGTGTGTTTCTTGACCATATCATTGTATCTGCTTTTTTCTGCATTCCAGATGTTTGTTGACTTACTGTGAGCTGATGGTGCTGGCCCCAGTGTTAATATGTTTTTCTCTGTGGGAGCAAAGTGTTTTATGAAAATATTAATTTTCCCCCTATTTAGGCTTTGGTATGGTGTGGTAGACAAATGTGTTTGTTTATATTTATTTCCTACTCCAAAGCAAAGGTATAGGTCAAAGCAAGTCTGTCTCCGGCTACTGCGTTTATCCGTTAAACCTGCATGAAGTGGCTCTGCAGAGTGTCTAAGGTGTCTAAGGTTTTCTCATCCTTTTCCAGTCCAACCAGAAGGACCAGTCAGACCAGAGTTAACAAGGCAGACTGGGGAGTATGGGGTGAGCACCAGATAGAGCCAGTTTGTCAAGTGGACGAGAAGAATCCAAACATACCGGTGGTACCTTGGGGGCCCCTTTTTTTCCTGTGGAAGTAATAATGCTAGCCTTGCTCAGATGAATTCATACAACATGTCTTTTTTGCATTATTGAGGAATTGAATTCCACAAGCCGTTGCTTTGACTGAGACGTGGTGTCTGAGGAGCTGGAATCCCCTTTCTCAAATGACGGATGTTACCAGACAAACATTCTTTAACAGACTGGAGTGAGGAAATATTCGAATAATAAATAAAAACAAAACCAACCAATTAGCTGAACATTTGCCTGCACATGACAGTTTGCCCTAACCGTAAGAGGAAGGGCTTATTTTAATTTCCTCTTATGCAAATAAGCCAGATGGCCCCATCGTTTAAACAAAACTCGATAGTGACTAAAGTGATGTCATCTTTTTACAGTTTCGTATGATCATGCTCGATTGTTTATTGCCCCGCTTTCAGTTACTTAAGAAAGGTTGTATGCTTGAATTTATAATGTTTTGCCTGGAAGATTTCGCCACACCTCATCAGCAGGTGTCATGAGAGAAATGTCAACCCTCTTGAAATAGAATCAGCTTAAATATCACTGCGGTTAAGTTTGTTTTAACCGTCTTTCAACAGTCACCTACCAGCTCAGCAGTCACAGAACAGGTTTGATAAGGAGTTACCTTGTAGGGGAAACTCGAGCAGAGAAAATGTGGGCCTTACCTCAGGGAGGAGGAGGATTTTATTCGTATTTGTATTTTTTTGTCGCTTGTGACAACACTGAAAGGACGAATCAATTCTATTTCTTTTAACGGTTTCATTCTGTTTGTTAATATCTTCACAGAAACCCGGGCAGCATCAATGCGCTCTTGCTGGATCCTGTCCACACTCACCATCCTGGTGACGTTAGGACTGGTCCTTGTTATCCTGGGCCAATATCATGAGATGCTCACGATAGATAGGAAGACTGAAAGCTTAAAAGTGTTCAAAGGCAGATTTGATACCAGACTTCTTTATGAAGACCGCTTTAAAGACTCGATCGAAAAGCTGTTGTCTGAGGGGCAGAGCATGACGAAAACGCTGGAGACTGCGCTGGAGACACTCGGCCAAGAGGTCGAGAAGAAGAAAACTGAACAAGATGCCTGTCAAGCAGAAATGGTAAAGTTTGTGGGTTTATTTATTTATTTATTTTCCATTAGTGTCTGTCTAAGGAAGAGGAGGGAAGTGTTTGTTGTTTTGCATTTATTATCATTTTACAGAAAATACAAAGAATTTGAATAATAGTGAGAGGAAGCTGGAGAGACCATGCAAACTCCACATAGGAATACCCCGAGCCGGGATTTGAACCAGGAAGCTGATATCAAGGAAATCTTTTCACTGGTTTGCCATTACGCTTCAGGCCATTGTATAGGAGCTGTGATCCACAGGAGACGGCTGTGTCTGGATCATGTTCACAGATGGCTTCTTCTTTGCACAACGAAGCTTTTAACCAGCTTTCTGTGGATAGTTATTGCTTCCATGGCCACCCAGTGATTGCACGTGTGTCTGTGATGCAGTGCTGTCTGTATTCTCTGCAGACGTAGACTCCTCCAGATTCTCAGTCTTGCTGAACTTGCCCCAGGTTGATGATTAATATTCAGTCTTCACAGGTTAATTTTGACTAACTCGATGATTTGTAGACACAGCTTACTACATGTGGTTGAACCTCAGCTTTTTTTTTTTTTTACTTCAAATTAGAATTGTTTTGTTTTTATTTATTTTAATTTTTAACAAAGTCATTCCTGTGCTATTTGGTGGTATTGACTTTTTTTTTAAAAACAAATACTGTTTCAGAAAGGATTATTCTATAGTAATTTTTGGGGGGGGAAATCTTGTGTCAAATGTAGCTCTCATAGGTATGCTTTTACTGTCTGGTAAATGTATATGGAATAACTTTTTCTTGGGCAAGTAGAAAAAGTATATTTTCTCCCATCTGGTTGTAGAAAACAAAAAAAGAAGAGGTGGAATCCAGTGAGGCATCAAACAAACAGACGACAGGTAAAACACCTATCCTGCAAAACTAATCACATTTCTGGTCAAATATCACCATGAGAAAACAAAGGTTCATGTCTGAAATGCTCCCTCTGTCATTAAGATGCCCTAAAAGCCGAGTCTGATGCCTGGCAGCAGGAGACAAACACTTTGAAAGCCCAACTGACGCAGGTCTCACCGATTTGTGAATATGTGAAGAAAAAAGATGAAGCGACGTGAGTCCCAATAACAAACCAAACTCAATTCGGACGTGAGGCACAGCAGGACGATAATCATATGATTGTATTTTTCAGGAAATTATGTGCCACCAATGCCACCTCAACCTGAAAAGAAGGCCATCGAATGGGAAGTGCCAGAACAGTTTTCATATTTATAACTTTATTTCTGTCAAAGACCAATAAATGTTTGTCAAGTGTATTTAGCTTCTCAAGGCTGAGTAGCTTTTGGTGTGTGTAATTTTTAAGCTTTTACACCGCTTTTGTAGTTGTCTCATCTTGCTTATTCTACACCAGATTAAAATGCTGAAACCAGTTTAAAGTCCTTTTCTTTGTGATAGGGCAAAAATTCAACCAAATTATTACAAATTATTCAACAGCTTTAAAGAGATGCAAAATGTCAAAGAAACATGAGCTGAGCTGAGAAATTGCTGAGATGCTTTGCTTCCCTCAGGTTTGTGTATCATGGCGTTCTCATGACAAGCAGGGAGGATAAACTCACTTGAACTGAATACATTTTTTATAAATCCTCAAAGTTGCTTTGAAGCTTGTTATGCTTGAACGAATTATAGGTGGTGTAAAATTTTTTATTTAAAGTCTTCATCTGGCTGCATGACACTCGTGACCTACACAACTATAGTAAAATAACGAATTTTAAGTGCTACTTTATAACAGTGATGCCTTCAGTTTACCCAACTTTTTAATATTTCATAATGCCAGAGAGGTCAAACTAAAGTTTGTTCATGTGTTTGTTTATATGTTAATTTCATTGGGCATAAGTACATTTTTGCGCGACTTCAGAATTTCAAAGTGAAGGTTAACAGGGAAATGGTTTGGTCAGTGGCCCAGTGGTCATGACAGGCGCTTTTCAATAGTGCCCGTTTGAGTCAGACTAAAGGACACTTGCAGAGTATATGGCCTACAGAGGTGAAATGTGATCCGGTGCAGTAGAATATATAAATAATGTGACCTGGAAAGTACAGACCAGTTAGACTTCCATCTCTGTTGCATCATGTTTTAAAAAGTAGTGCTTGATTTTGAAGTGCATTGTATCTTTGCAGCCATTCTTTCCATGGAACTCTAGCGGAATTGTCTTTTGTGTGAAGATAAGATAATTCATTCTTCATATTTGCATGCATGAAAGCTACTAAACAAAGCAAGAAATAGTCTTTGTATGGAAATGCCAGCAATGACCCTACCTTCCAAAAAAGGTGGCCAGACAAGTTCTCCCGTTTTAAGGCAGTCTGACCTGCCATTGGCCTTTCTGCAAGTCTTCAGATCCATATAAACCTGGGAGTGGAAATGACAAACTCATGGCCTTCCCATTATGATGCTTTCATAGAGAGGGTTTGAATGGTAATTTGCTGAATATTTAAAGTGAGGTCATTTACAGAGTAAATGAAAGATATTCCAACCGTTTTTAAGCTTTCTACATCTTTTACATGTTTGATTTCAGGGGTCATATTATAATAGATTGAATGTTTTTTCCCCACCAGTATTAAATGCCATAATCAAGACTTTCACAAGCCATTAAGGGAATGATCGTCCAAGTTTTCAGCTCGTTCGGATGTTTTTGCCGATGTTTGTGGGCGTCTAATCACGTCCAGTTTACTGAAATACACTCACATGCGCGCTGTAAACTGTAAACTATAAACATCGTAACATCTGTGATGAAAAAAAAGGGGATGCACGATATCACTTGTCTAATCAGTAAACGATGAAATCCTCGTTTCTGGTTAGATACACAATGAAATAACCAAAGCTCGTTATTTCATTATGTGTTTTTCAAATAAACAATAAAAAGCAACACTGTAAAAAAAAAAAATCTGTTGTACCTAATGTGACAGTTTCTTCCTATATAACAACCTTGCAGACGTGTTCCGGTTTAATGTTCTTGTTCTAGTTTAATGCACAAAAAAGGGTTTCATGCGTACTGGCCTTGAAAAACCGTAAGCCTAAAAGCAGGTTGTTTGCGTAAGTTATAGAGAAAGTATTCCCATCCCTTGCAGACAGACTTTTCCTGCTGACCTGGACACTTTGCGGCGCTTGACTGTGCGGCACAACCTGCGCCAAAGCTGTTCCACCCTTGTGTCCCGCCTATGGAGGGGCAGGCACTCCCACCACAGGGCAGGAGGAGGCGGAGGAGGTGGTGAACAGACACGGCTATGGCGAAAAGCCGATTATTGAAGGCGACTGAGCCCTCTGTCCATTTGCGTCCGTCCTCTGCGGGTCAGACAGGAGGCTGACGCCGCTGCGCCTAAACTTTGCGCTTTTCCTCCCAGCAGAGTTCATTCATCACAACACGTTTAGAATGGAGCTGGCAACTTTTTTTGGACTGTGAGAAGTCTTGTGGGAGTTTTTTCCTTTAAAAAAAAATCATATTTCAACACATCAGTACCTGGAATGTGACGAAGGCAGAGGAGCTAATTGACACAATTGATTGCTATTATTCGTTTTTAGATTTTTTTAATGGCTGACCTTTTTTAAATGAGATTTTTGTTGGAACTCTGATGAAAAATGGCACGTGCAGTCAGCTTTATCCAAATGTGAGCTATTCCAGCCACCATAATTGAAGGTCAAATCCAGCCTGTTCTGCTTAAATTGTGGAAGTCGTTGAAATGACCAGCCCACCGGGGACTATAGACAATCAGAAGGGCATCGAAGAAAGCCCAGCTCACAAACCAGAGGCTGCCAGGTACAGCAGCTGGAGCAGCCGCTTCTCCAGGTGGAGAAGTAATTCCCAGAGGACAACCCCCCCAGGAACTCCCTCACCGAAGACAGACAAGAGAAGCGACGTGACCAGGACCCTTCTCTCCTTGGTCAAGACCCACAACGATGACTACACGGCAGACCCTGACGGTCAGCTGGAAAACGAAGGGGAGGAGGAAGGAGGCATCGACGAGCTCTTTCAGGACCAGTCCACCCTCTTCCAGAAGCAGTTTGGCTCTCTGCTCCAGCCGGGGGTCAACAAGTTCTCCCTGCGCATGTTTGGCAGCCAGAAGGGGGTTGCTGCTGAGCAGGAGAGGGTGAGGAGCTTTGGAGTGTGGATTATTCATCCCTACAGTGACTTCAGGTAACCAAGAGTTTGGGTGCTTGTCCAACTTGATTCTGCCCTAAGGGTCAGTCTAGTGTCTGCGTCCCCGTTCACAGTCTATTTTGACTCATCCGGTTTTTCCAAGGACAGCAGCTGATGTCACGGTTGCCAGCACATGATAAGGCGATGAAGAGATTTGATTACTGATACAATATATAGGACAAGATCATCTGGATTAATCATACCACTCCCCCCTGCTCTCCGTGTTCCTGGAAAACAGGAAAATCCTTAACGATTAGATAGCTATTCAAACAACAAAATACCTGATCATTGCTCAGGTTTGCCAGGCCCCCCTTTTCAGAGAAGCTTTTAGTGCGAGGCCACATCTGAACAGTGAGGGTCAAGCGATCTGCGCCACGAGGTGTGCTACCAATAGCTGGCATCAAATTGAAACAATTCTTAACCATGAGGCCTATTCCCGAGAGGGAGGATAAACCCGTGCATGCGGATTATTACCCGTAAGAATCCCTATAATTCCCATCTTGCTCTATTATGCAATAACGCACAGACAGCTGATGGGCAGATTACAGAGATCCCGGTCTCCTGAAACCTTATGGTTCAACTTCTTCTTTAAAATGGACAGATTGGATTAGTGCATTCATTCTCAGCCTTATTTGTTTAAGATTTAAATCTCTCTTTGGACTCAATATAATGCTAATTAATTTGATCGTCATAATAACGACGATGCACGTGAAGATTGACAGAGTGGCAAAGTCTGATGGAAACATGCACCTGTGGTGTTTATCATGAGAAAGATTTTTGTGAGCGATCCAGCAGTTGGTGAAATGGTCCCTATAATGCCGTGTACGTTATTAAAAAAAAAAGGCAGAAATGTTGCTTCTAACACAGACACTAGTTGGCAAGTTAGCAAATATATTTATCTGCCCAAAAAACTATCTGTAGTGTACTCCTATGAGTTTTTTGAGTAATTTTAAGGAGCAGGAAGTACCTGCTAAGCCGTTGTAACATGAGAGGTGAAGATAAGTAGACATGTAAACCCGTGTGTTGACATATAGGACAGATGAGAAAGATTGATGGATAGATAAACATGAATGACACTGAAAAGACTAATCAACCGCTTCTGTATCGTGACTCAGACTTGTTTAGGACCCACTTTTCTGACTGGGTTCACATTGCAATCACTGGAAGGTGTCAGTAATCAAAAATAGTTCAGATGATATTCTGTTACTGTGCCAGAACGACAAAGGAGTGACTGAGAGACAGAGCGGCCTGAGTGATTGACACCTCATGTAAACAATCTGTAAGGAAATCCTAACTGTGCACCCCTGGTGGATAAGAGATACTTGAGACAAATAGGGTAAGAGGATGTGTATGAGATGTCAAAGACAATAACCAGCGAAGCCATAAGACGCACAAAGTTCAGCACTCTAACACATGACAGGGCAGTCGTTTCCCCATGTAGAGAAACTTTCTGTTGTTCATTGGCTTTATAATAGTACACCAATCTAAAAGGGGCAAACTGCATTCATTAGCGGCAGGGGTTTCTCTTGTGACAGAAACCAGCACAAGAATAAGGGTCAGTCCATAAACCGCAATGCGTCCCCGTAGTGGGATGACTTCACCTGAGCTAACTCGCTGTTTCAAACCCTCAAGTTTTAACTTCCCTTCTGTATCTTTTAAAGACAATTTAAACTTGATGAAACAGGCATTAATAGCATTCAGAATAGGAGAGTATTCTATTAATATTTCAGTTCACTGGTAACTTGGGGGCGTGTACCGGTGGTTTTCCAGAGTTATGCTTGTTGTCAGACATGGTTAAAAAAACGACTTTATATTTCATAAGTGAACCTGCATTCACTTTCTTAAAGTTTTCTACAAATTATTTGTTTTCTGATGAAATGCTTCATGTTTGTGGGAAAATTAAGAAAATTATCCCATATTCGCTCCATAAGATCAGGCACAAGTGCATTTTGCTGAATGAATAGTTGCCTTTGGGTGTTAAATTACTTTCTTTTGGACACTTTGTAATATCAGCCTGATAGATTGAGAGTTCTCTTAAAATATGGTTCTCCTATCTACGAAGAGGAACTCTGGATCTCATTATTAATAACTGATTGATGCATAATCTAGTTCACTAAATTTGGGATGCTAGATCTGGGAATTCTGTTTAGGGATTTACACATATTTCTTCTGCAGCGGTGGACAATGCAGCATTTCTTTCTACATTTTAAGTACATCTCTGTTGTCCTTCACAAAAAATACTCTTACCATTATCAACATGTGCAGATTGACAAACACCCTTTAATTTTTTTCAGTTGAATAATATGCAAACAAATAGAAAGTGCAAGTGTCACATAGATGTCAGCAACACCTTCTTCTGTTGTGTTCAGGTTTTACTGGGACATTGTGATGCTCCTGTTAATGATGAGCAATCTGGTCATTTTGCCCTGGGGAATCACCTTCTTTGAAGACCAAAACACCACGCCCTGGATCACCTTCAACGTCCTGTCTGATACCCTCTTCCTCATGGACCTGATTTTCAACTTCCGAACCGGAATCTTGGGAGAGGACAGTCACATCATCCTGGACCCTAAAGAAATCCGCACGCAGTACCTCCATACGTGGTTCCTGGTGGACTTTATCTCCTCCATACCTGTCGACTATATCTTTTTAATTGTTGACCTGGAGTCTCTGCTTGAGTCTACAGACGTGTACCGTACCGCCCGCGCCCTTCGTATTGTGCGTTTCACCAAAATTCTCAGCCTACTTCGTCTTCTCCGGCTTTCCCGCCTCATCCGATATATTCACCAGTGGGAAGAGGTAAAGGGGGCAAGCGAAAAGAAACAAAGTGTTGATCGTTGTCAGAGCATTTTTTTCTGAATCTACATTATCTTCCGACAGATTTGCCACATGACTTATGATCTTGCCAGTGCTGTGGTTCGCATAGTCAACCTGATAGGCATGATGCTGCTGTTGTGCCACTGGGATGGCTGCATGACTTTCATGGTACCAATGCTGCAGGACTTTCCTCCAGAATGTTGGGTATCTAAAAACAACATGGTGGTGAGTACCGCTAATCAAAATACAGGCAAATGCCGATACGATTCTTCTATTTAAAATAGTAGTTCAATATTCTGAAAGTAACATGGAAATAATAGAATCAGTAGCATTAATGTGGGACAGGCCGCAGTCCTCTGCTGACCGTACTAGGATAAGCAGCTAGTGATAATGAATAGATTGGTGGATGATATTACCCTACAAAATTGAATTAAAACAATCTGTTACAAATCCTAGAGAAAGACACAATGTCGTCCGGTCTCTTTCGTCTTAAAATCCCTATTGGTGGGTAGTTGTAGGTCTAATCGTCCTTCTGTTTAATTAATATTTACCTCAAGAACAGTGTGTTGTTATTGGAACTGTAAGTAATGATGCTGAGGATATATTTTTTCCAGGGGTTCTGATCAATGTGTGCTTAAACTTCCTACTGCAACCACTTAATGACTCCCATCAGCCATGTTAAATTAAGTAAAGAATAGGGTGGACAACATGCTTTTACTTCTATTTGTGTACTTTAAAATGTAAAATATTACATCTTCGGGAAAACCACAAGGTCAAATTCTACACTTTTGCTTGAATCAAGGGAAGGCGTTTCCGGGCAACTATGCTAAAGGTTTAGAGAGTAATAAAATACAAAAATCAAAGCAAAGCCCCACTTTGCCTTCTGAGGGACTGTTGCTATGCCACCTTAATCAGGGCTTACAGAAACTGCTCCTGCATATGTCTCATAATGGAAGATTATCTGCTTGTCTCACAATGTTAGAAATAGAGGAGGGGGCGTTGAGGGTCGTCTTAGGTTTGATGACACAGGATATGATGTAGAAAATGATGCAGAAACGTCTTTAGTTTCTGGAGAAAGTTGGAATGATGAAATTCATTATTTGATTACTTGGTGGAAAAACTCTTACAGAAGCGTGGTGCATGTGCTACGGACATTTGTGCTCTCTGATGCCACTCCTCCTGAAACACTCATTATTCTCCTTATCCTCATTATTTTAGCACTGCAGTGCATTTGTAAAAACAACATTTCACAGCTTGGTTGTGGTTGCATCTCTTTATTGCTTGGCCACAAGTTGCAAGCCAGGATCATACGTCAAAATTTCAGGTTCTGTGGTTTTCTGGTTTCCATAAGCAACCCTATTACGTTTCCGTTATTTAAGATTAAACTGTGCTAAAGTACATCACATATTGAGAAATCATCAAAAGCCTTATGTTAAAATAAGTTCAACTTAATTCATCCATGATGAAATGCTCAAACAGTCCCATAGTGCACAGTGCATCCAGTTTTGTGAGCTTAACAAATATTATAATATTATTATGTCTTGTGGTTTCACGTCGCTGTGACAGGAATGTGAGTTTAGTTATCGTGTTCCCATGCATTTTTAATTTAAGGCCTCTCACTAATATTTTTTTCCACGGCTGTCAGTGTTGTAACTCTGTACTCCCAAACAATCAGAAAGAAAAAACACCAAAAATACTCTTGTAGACTTGAACACTTGCTTAAGTCCTAGTAACATGGTTGAGGATGAAGATGACATAGGACGTCCAATGCTTTTAGATTCACATTTTTCATCCTAGGATTATTATTTTAAAGGTTTCTTATTTTCACAAAGAAAAAATAGCATAATATTGCTTCACCCCAGAAAATAAGTATGACCAAAGTCCTCTGTTATACTGCGTTCACTTCTATTTCTTAGCGTTGCTAATTTGATTTACATCTATGTACATTTTATAGGAAACCTATTCAATCATGGTCTCATTTCTATACTTTTATTTTGACTGATTTCTTCTCAGAACGCTACCTGGCACATACAGTACTCCTACGCGCTGTTTATGGCCATGAGCCACATGTTGTGTATCGGGTACGGTGCTCACCCTCCAGAGGGCCTCAGTGACGTTTGGCTCACCATGATCAGCATGGTAGTCGGAGCCACCTGCTACGCCATGTTCCTGGGTCACGCGGCTAATCTGGTCCAGTCCCTGGACGCATCACATCGACAGTATCAGGAGAAGGTACTCACCTCTGCTCTGACGCGACCTTTTTAATGAATGAAAACAGTTTGGCCTGTAACGTCTTCATTTAAGGTGAATTATAAGCCTCACATGGATGCTAATGCGATCCCAGCTTTAAGTTTTAATATCACAGCCATGTTTCATCACATAAACAATTTAGTCCAGGAGACCATGCCGAATTGAATATATCTATTATCTAATGGATTTTGTGGCCTTACTGCCATTGTGTCCAGGGGATTTTCATAAGATAAAGCTTAACAGATTATGACAAATGGCACCTTTTTTGGATCACTTTCTGGTTTTAATCCACTTAAAATTTTGATGAAGTGCCTTTAAAACAAATGGAATAAATAAGTAATTACTGCCCAATGATAATTAAGCAAGCACGTGGTAGAAAATGTGACATTGCTACATCTGACATCAGAGTTTTGATTGTATCCTCATCAGGTTCAAATCACATTGTGTTTTGTACTAATGCTTTCAGTACAAACAAGTGGAGCAGTATATGTCGTTTCACAAACTGCCAGCGGACGTAAGGCAGAGGATTCACGACTATTACGAGCAGAGATTTCAAGGCAAGATGTTTGATGAAGACAGCATCCTGGGAGAGCTCAGTGATCCGCTGAGGGAGGTGAGACATTTACCAAACTTTGGATTGGACCTCAGTCCGCTCAAATGATATACGATTAATGAAGTATTTGAGTTTAAAATAATTTTCACAAACCCCTGCCTATTTATGAGTATACGACTTATCATTAGGGTTTTGAACATTTTCTGATTTCTGATTGTGTTACTTTCATTTTCTCAACATCCTGCAGGAGATTGTCAGCTACAACTGCCGTGGGCTGGTAGCCAACATGCCACTCTTTGCCAACACTGACCCCCATTTTGTGACAGTGATCCTCACCAAGCTGCGCTTTGAAGTTTTCCAACCAGGAGATTTCATTATTCGAGAAGGAACGCTGGGTCGGAAGATGTACTTCATCCAGCATGGCACTGTCATCATTATCCCCCGTGGCAGTAAGGAGATTCAGCTCAGCGATGGAGCTTATTTTGGGGGTAAAAGCTTCCTATGAAATCTATAAGAGGTTCTGTGATTCAACTTTTTGCTTGTTGTTGCTCTCCTGCTATCTACTATCAATCCTATTCATCCTCACTGCATCTGTCCCGGCTCCTCCTTTTTACATTTCATCTCCACTGCTCTGTAGTAGTTACACCAACAATCCTGGATTGTACAGATGCTGAGGCTTTCCATTATTTCCATCACCAGTCCGCGTGACATTCATTATCTCATTTGATCATTTCCTTAGAAATGATCATAAACCAGTTAATATATTCAAATATCTCCTTATTTGGTAAACATTTGTATAAAATGCAAATGGGCTCAGTGTATCTCACAGGAAAGAGTTTTTGTAACTTGCATAAAATACCATCTGAATCCGGCCATACATGTTCTTTTTTTCAAGAGCTATTAAGGCTGTAAAGCATTACTGTTGCTACAAATGTATCTCCAGATTGTTTTGAATGTTAACTTTGTGATGATTAAATTCAGATCAGAAACTTTACTTTAAAAGGCAAAGACAGCTTTGTACATATCACAGCCATTCATTATTTGCATGCTCACCACAAATTGCACTTTAGTTTGCTCTGTTCTCCAGAATAGCAGCAGGCTGTTTTTGTGTTTTTACTTTCACATTCTAATGTGATAATAGGACTGATTTAAAATTTGATTATCAATTAATTTATTCTTATAATACTTGTCCCTGGTTTGCCTGTTTATCTCTTGATAACATCACCAATAAACAACTCCAGCAACTGAATTGTGAAGATTATTAGAGGATAGCTAAAACTAGTTTAATTAAACTGCCCCATGCCAAGGGACTCAGGACACATGGGAAACATGAGGCAGACTTTATGATATAAGCTTGGAGAAGGATGAACACACCAGTAAACTGCAGGTTTACTTGGAGAGGGATGCCAGTCTGATGTTATTTAATGGCTTCTGTCTGGACTAAGACCAACTAATTTACAGAGGGAAGACAGAAATAAATGTTTGGACAGACACTTCTGACTTGAATTTGATTTAGCTGCTGAAGTTCAGTGAGTAATGGAAAGGTATTGCACTATCCGGGTCACGCATTAATAGGATAAACTTTATCCCTCACAGTCAATGAGCTTTTCCCTATTTAGTGGTGATGGTGCATGCTGGTCTGTGTATTGTATTCAAACAAAGCCAGGAAACTATATGATAGTGCGCAGGGCTGATTGGATTCATTTTCCTCCATGCTGACCTAAGAACAATAACAAAATGATGTAAAGCCTACAGATAGAGAAATACAGTGAGGTGCAACAAATAAAATACATGCACCGTAAAACAAATGTAAAAATGCTTGTGTCTCTGCTACCAGCAATATTGTTTCTGATATTTATGCTTTGCTCAGCCCATGGCTAAAGTAACTCCTTTTCTTGGCCCAGAGATCTGCCTGTTGACTCAGGGACGACGCACAGCCAGCGTGACAGCCGAAACGTACTGTCGTCTTTACTCTCTGAGTGTGGATGATTTCAACGAGGTCCTGGAGGAGCATCCTCTGATGAGGAGGGCGTTTGAGAGTGTGGCTGTGGACCGATTGCACCGGGTTTCACGCAGATCCAGTTATCAGCCTCCAACAGCCGAGCCAGAGACACTTCTTGAAGACTCGTGAGGAAGCTCCCACTACAAATCTAGAGAAAATGTTCTTTTTTTTTAACTCAACTAACAAAGATTCTTCTATTCAAACTACAGTGATTGTTGTTAACTATAGTGCACTGACATGAACGACCAAATGGAGACTGTATGTTTTATTCATAACCATAAACATATTCTTGCTGCCCTTAGTTAAGTATATGCATCTTCTGTTAACTTCATTTCTTGCTTGAATCTCATGAAGCTATTTGCTTTTTTTTTCTGTTGGAGCTTTAAAAATGAGTTAAATTTTGAGTTATGAACTGGACTGACTTCTGATGGGGTTTTCCTTCTCCTCAATGCACCAATTACTGTTTGGGTTACTTAATCCTTGTAACAAGTGCTGTATTTTTCATTTGTAAATACTGCTTTAAATGTAATTCAAGCCTGCATACTGTCTTGAGCTGCAATGCCCACGTAGTTATCCATCACAGCAATCATACAGGATATTAAAGCAAACAATATAGGATCGCCAGCTGGCGTTGTATCGTACAGCTTTCTGTTGATTGTTTCATGTTAGGGTTAATACTTATGTGCCGGGTGATAAGCTGCCATGATGCAATGGCTCTAAACTGTACAGACACGTGGGATTGCTGCTGCATGCGAATATTTGAATTTTCACTTTTTTCTGTCTTTATATCAATAGTTTAAACTTACACTGACTCATTCTATTCTTGTAGAAAAAATTTAAAAAACGTTCCACTCTTTTGCTGCACGTTTAGGATGGAGGATTTTATATTTATTAGCAATACCATTCAGTCAAACTGATTACTGGAAAACTATTAAGATCTTTAGATAATTTATTATAACTTATTATAATAATATAGTTACAATCAAATATACACATGAGGTTTTCTTTTTTTCTCTGTAGCCAAGGCTAAACTGTTCACTTACATGGAATATTGTCAACATGCTGGACTGTCCATTAATATTATTATTATTATACTTCCACCAATTCTTTATACCCACTAAATCCACTTCAGGGCTTTGGGGGAACCTTGCATTATTGTCATGATGTTATTTTTGTTTTATAAAGGTATTTAGCATAAAGTTCACTGTGATGACCTCAGTTTGGAAAAATAATGCAAACTTTTTAGCTTAATTTGTATATTTACACGTTATTATATGTTTGAATTTAAATTTTAATTCATTTGAAGAGAAAATTATTCTTGTATATGTGTTCATGTACATAATTCTGCCCTTGAAGTATAAATACATGTTTTCCCCCATCCAGGAGCTTCCAGTATATCATTGATGTATTTTAAATATTTTCAGCAATTATTTTTAGCCAGGTGAAACCTCCATCAAAAACAATCCTTCTTATTTAGCAAGATGTGTTTTAATCCTGAAAAGTCATCAGCTTAATCAAACTTCTCTGGCCTTCACCTGTTTTCAAAGATGGTGGCAATGTGCTTACTTCTGGTATCAAATTCGAGTTCAGTGAGACTTTTAGTGTCTTTAGCTGTGTGTTCCTTGATTGAGCTACATGGATTTTGCTTATCATAAAGTAGTTCCATTATGAATTTCCTCAAACTAAATGAAACAAAGGAAAGAAAAAAAACGGTTGAAACATCTGGAGCCGAAACAGTGCACGTGACCTGTTCTAATTGAGGTCATTTGGAAAAATTGAAGGACGCCCACAGAAATAGCAGTTAATAAATTCATCAACTGTTGCAACAAAAAAAGAAGCATATTTTAGTTTAGTACTCAGGTGAAATACATCTCACGCTGACCTTCTGTAAGGACAGACGTACGTTATGAAATGCTCAGTGTATATAAACCCGCTCCGCTGAGCCAGTTGCTCACAACTGTATCCGGTCGGAGCGCTCCGCTTCCTGTGAAGCTGTGTTTCATAAACCCGAAACGTTGAGAAAAGGTAAGCAGGAACTACTGTTTGCCGACTCGCGTCATCTCATTTTGCTTCTCATATGCCGCTAATTACACGCGTGTTATAAGCCACCCACTTCACCAGCACCGAAGTTGGGACGTGTTTGTCACCCTGTGAATATGCAGTTTTTATTCCAACTACAAGGTTAACCGCTGAGCTAGTTGTCTTAGCCACATAGGCTAACGGATCCTAGCACGGAGGTCAAAGTGTGTACACATTCGAGCACAGTTAGCGAGGTGTAACAACGCCGATCTATTCCTTCGCTTTTAAATCTTTCTCCTGTAACGTGTTCGCTTCGATTTTTTGAAGAGTGAGGGGTTGGTAGCCCTGCTAAAGCTAGTCCTCACCTTCGTTAGCTAACTGGTCGTTACGTGTGACATAACATCACATAAGAAGAAGAAGAGGAGGCACACAACCTCCAAGTGTCCGAGCTCAGCCAGACATAAGTCCATTTAAAAAGTAGTTATGGAGATGCTTTTCATTCACAAAACGTACCGTCTTTCATTTTTGGTGAATGTTAAATATAGACGGTTGTATTGTACCAGACTCTGGCAGAGCTCTGGTCTTGTTTTGATGCTGTAAGACGTTTGAACTGTGTTGCGTAAATCACCCCCTGGCTTGTTTTTAAACCTGTGATTTATCATAATAACATCATATCACATAATTATCGATACATTTAACCCTTAAAAACAGTTGTTTAGACATATTTTATATTTTATCATTTCTGTGCTACTATAACAAAGTTATATAGAAGTGTCATCTGTCAATACTAAATGTTTATATTATAATTGTTACTGATTACTTGTCAAGTCCTATTTGATACTCAAGAAAAAAGGCTTGAAGGTTGGACTTTGAAAAATAATAAGCAGCCTTATAAATTAGTTTAGAATAATGAATGCATGTCAAAACAATACAACTTTTAACTAAATTATATCTCCATCTTATCCAAAAATGATGAACTAGGAAAATGAGGATAAAGACTGTTGTTTAAAATCAACAGTTGGAACAAAAACAAGATTTTAGCAGTTATAATTGAGCTAGAGTATTTTTATTAAAAATGTAAAATAACTGCATTGAATATATTATGTTCTTCTTAACTACTTTTTCCCCCCATACCTGACAGAAGAAAGTCTCCAAAGTCACTAACGCAGCAACCGCTGAACATTTCTCTTCCATTCCCTGTGTTGTAGGAAAGATGCTCTCCTTGTCTCGATCAGTGGTGTGTGGGGTCGTACGTGCCCCTGCCGCTGCCAGCCAAGGCTGCGTGACAGCAATCACTAGATTCAACAGCACAGCACAGGTACATTCACTGCATTCCTTGAAACCAAAGAACATTTTAAATGACCATTATCGCATTAAGCCTTTTTCCCTATTTATTCTAGGCTGCACCTAAGAAGACAAAATTTGGACCACTGGCAGATGAGGACAGAATATTTACAAACCTTTATGGCCGTCATGACTGGAGGTAGTATGAGTTAGATTATCTGTGAAATAAAGTGATATTACCTGTGAAACACAGTTTCAGTTCTGATGCTGGAAAAAAAAAAAGATTAAAAAGAAAACATTCCTCAGCTGACCTTTTTTTTTGTTTTGTGCTCCAGGTTGAAGGGAGCCCAGAAGCGTGGCGACTGGTACAAAACCAAGGAGATTCTTTTGAAGGGAGTTGACTGGATTCTCAATGAGATCAAAGTTTCTGGGCTGCGTGGGAGAGGTGGAGCCGGTTTCCCTACTGGCATGAAGTGGAGCTTCATGAACAAGCCCAGTGATGGCAGGTCAGTGAGGAAGAGGACAGACTTACCTGCCAGCTTGATGTTTGCATCACTCTTTGCAAGATTTAAGCCATAAATTCTTCATCACCTCATCCCAATCAACCAAACGATGTCTTTTTTTATTGCATGCCGCTGTTGGTTCTAAAATTGACTAAACCAGAAAGTGACCACTTTTTCACCCAGATGGCTGCATTTTTACCCAAGTCCTAAATTTCTTCTTTTAGGCCTAAGTATCTGGTTGTGAATGCTGATGAGGGAGAACCAGGCACCTGCAAGGACAGGGAGATCATGAGGAATGATCCCCACAAGCTGGTAGAGGGCTGCCTGGTTGCTGGGAGGGCCATGGGAGCACGTGCTGCTTATATTTACATTAGAGGAGAGTTCTACAACGAGTCATCCAATCTACAGGTGAATGTTGGGGAGGGGGATTTAAGGTTTAGTAATCTGTTTTCCTATTTATAGGTAAAAAATGTTTTTGAAAATGTAATTTAGTTGTGAAAATGCAATTTATTATAGGAAGGGTGATGAAAAGATGTGTTTTAGAACCACAACACTCGTGTGAAATGTAGTTTAGAGGATTTGTTTTGATTTTAGAGCACTTCCACTTCTGCAGATACGGCAAAATAATGATCCAATTAGGAACTAAGGATTGCATGATATTTTCTCTTTTGGGTACTAGGTGGCCATCAATGAGGCTTACGCTGCTGGGCTAATTGGAAAGAATGCCTGTGGCACCGACTATGACTTTGATGTGTTTGTGATGCGCGGTGCGGGAGCTTACATCTGTGGAGAGGAGACTGCTCTCATAGAGTCTCTGGAGGGCAAGCAAGGGAAGCCCCGCCTGAAGCCCCCCTTCCCTGCTGATGTGGGTAAGATCAGTTTGCCAAGAGTGGTGAATAGATTAAGAAGAGATGCAGACACATTTCCCTTCTGGATGTCAGCACACGTGCTGCCAAGGGTTTTGAATTGTGATTTCTCCTCTGCGTCAAAGGTGTGTTCGGTTGCCCAACAACTGTTGCCAACGTGGAGACCGTCGCTGTGGCACCCACCATCTGCCGTCGTGGCGGCTCGTGGTTTTTGGGCTTCGGAAGGGAGAGGAACTCGGGAACAAAGCTCTTCAACATCTCTGGCCATGTCAACCACCCGTGCACCATAGAGGAGGAGATGTCGATCCCTTTGAAGGAACTCATCGAGAGACATGCAGGTGCATCAATTTTTAAATGTTGATTGTTTCAACAACATGATTGCAAATAATCTATTGTAAGAGCCAATTACTTTTTATTTTAGGATTTGTATGGTCAGTATATCGGAAACATTGTAGTTAAGAGAAAAGGGGATGACATCATTCTCTCTGTGTTCTCCTCGACTCAAAGATTTAGACAGCTCAATGTACACACAAGTCCAGCTTCCTTTTATTCGTGTTTTAAATGAGGCCACCAACTATCTGGCAGGTGGCGTGCGTGGAGGTTGGGATAACCTGCTGGCTATCATCCCCGGTGGATCCTCAACTCCTCTCATTCCCAAGAACGTTTGTGAAGAAGTGCTGATGGACTTTGATGGCCTCATTCAGGCGCAGACTGGACTGGGCACCGCTGCTATAATCGTCATGGACAAATCTGTAAGGCTGCCATCTTTGCAGTGTGCCAAAGGTCATTGGAATGTTTCTGATACATTGACAAATGGGTCACTTTTTGCAGACCGACATCATCAGAGCCATCGCCCGCCTGATTGAGTTCTACAAGCATGAGAGTTGTGGCCAGTGCACCCCATGCAGGGAGGGTCAGTCTGCCTCAGTGTCTTTTTCTGCCATTTTGTGTCCGTCTTATTGTTCAGTATTATTACAATACTAAATTAAATTATTCTACATGTTTAACCATATTAACTGTATGAATGTACTCCATCTGCTTCTGCAGGAGTGGACTGGATGAATAACATGATGTGGCGTTTTGTCCGCGGTGATGCGCGCCCATCAGAGATCGACATGATTTGGGAGCTCAGTAAGCAGATTGAGGGACACACGATCTGTGCCCTGGGTGATGGTGCAGCATGGCCTGTGCAGGTAAAGACCTGTTCTCTCACCATGCCTTTGCACAGTGATGATATTACTGGAGAGTCAATGTCAAACCAGTTTATCTGGGACATAAACACCAGTAGTGATGTTTTAGATCGGTACTGATGTAATGTATTGCATTACATATCTAATCTTGTGATGTCCTTATTTTCCCACGATAAGTATACATTCCAATTAAAAACGTGTGACTCAGTTTTTAATACGTTGTCACATTGAAAACAGAGGATACACTGAAATAGCTCCATTTTCCAGTAGTTTTAGCTGTCAAACACTAAGATCAAAACGCATACCAACCTGCTGGGTTGTCAGGATTGTTTTTTCTGGCCAGTAGTATTCAGATGGTTGCAATGTGTATTTTGGACCACTAGGTGCTACTAAAGCCCCCATACTGGACCTTTTAAGATTTAATGTATGTATAAATTGTAGGTATTTTCTGAATAACATTAGTGTGAATTATTTCTTGTATCTGTGCTCACAGGGGTTGATCCGGCACTTCAGGCCTGTGATGGAAAGCCGAATTGCTGATTACCAGCAGCAGCAGCAGGCCAGAGCTTAGATGGCCACTTTTACCTTCTTGAACTATACTTTCTGCCTCATATGCCCTTAACCCGGTGCTCCTTTCATTCACAACTTATTTAAATGATCAAATAATGTGCCGTGTTGTCACCTCATCATCAAGCTTTGCATTGATGTCTGCCTTGTTGGGTAAAAATACAAATAAAGTTCTATTACCTGAAAATGATGTTTGAGTTGAAGGCTGGACTTGTTCAAGTTGGTACTGCTGCTGGAATGTTACTGTTCTTTGTGTATTTTACAGATTGTTCTCAACATAAGTGTGAAGGCTTCACACATTCAAAATAAACATAAGCATGTGCTTTACAAGTACTTAACAACAAAGTGTTAACATAATTTGGTTTCCTTGAAAGAATTAATATAAAAGTACTGAACTGAGTCAAATTCAAATCACCTATTTATTATGAGTGTCAACAAGTATAACTTCATATATGAGAAATGATTTTGTGGAAAAATAGCCTTTGTTCAGCGTCAAGCCTTAAGAAAAATGTACATATTCATATTTATGTTGCATTGTACCATTTTGTCTGATATGGTCCAGTTTCAGAAATTGATATTTGTTTTATTCTTCCTGGTTTAAGGAAGAATTAAACCTGAAACAGACATTTTTAACATAAGCCAAAAACGACTACCTTTCTTCTGTCCTTCCAGGTGCAATCAGCAAGAACATTGTTCTTATTAATATAAGTAATGTATAATTTCCTTTCAAAAGTACAATTTCTTAGGAATAGTTTGTGAAAAACAAGTCGATTTTATGTTCTCGCGATAACATATTTCCCTCATCACGTGAGGATGACAAATTATACTTCGCGGCTTCATTTCGTTGGAAGCTGTGAATGGTAGGAGATTATTTATTGATAATTGTATACAAAGGCTCTGAATTAGCACAATTACGCACGGATCTTTTTTAAAAGTATGCCGATATAACTTGAAAATTTGCCGAAGAGTGGCTAATTTGATTACCCTTGTAGAATATATGAACACAATCGATTCGCTTTGGTTTGCTGTCTATAGTCGGTCAGTTTGCGTCGCCTCCATCCTTCTATTTTCAAGTTGTGTCAGGCCTTAATTTTGCAGGTTTTCGTAATATTTATCAAAGCAACATTCCCATTAGGTCTCCTAAGTGAATCACTTCTATTTGTACTGAAGGGAAAGCGCACTGCTTAGTTGAAGCCAGCCCTGTGTTTGTCATCACAGCGTTGACCTGCTGCAGGATTAGCTTTGACGGCTAACATTGGGATTTCTCATTCATGTTTGATGTTTTTCACCAACACAGTGCTAATGTGACAGCGTCATGTTGCTTGGTGTTTTTCTTTTTTAAAACATCAGCATGGAGTTGCTTAAGATAGAGCAAGTCATTGTTGGAAGTGAGATGAAATCCTCAACTGAGATCAAGCCCGAGTCTGCGGTCACCCCCCTGCAGTCCTGTAAGCTGACTGCCTTCACACTGCTCCATTCCTATATGCCACAATGATACTAGTTTCCCCACTATAACACAGGCTTTCACACTGCACTTACACCAGTCTGTGGATACAAACCTAATTGTCAGACATCATTCTGATGCAGATCAGCATGAAAGTCTGCAGTGTTTTCAGTGCTTCATCACCTTCAGTGACCCCAAAGCCAAGGAGAGACACATGAGGAAGAGTCATCGGGACCAGTACAAGCAGCACCTGCAGCAGGTGTGGAGTGTTCCATTTCATTCTAACATTGTTAATCTTAAGGTGAACATTTAAGAGCGCTGTTATTGTATTGATAGTGAGCCAACAACAAAACCAAACCTTGAAAGATTTGCTTATATTTTCTTTACAATTATTTTGAGTTTTTTAGTCTAGTTTGTTGTCTTGTTTTTGCAAAGATTAGGTTTTTCTTCAGCTAAATACCTGTCTCTGCGGACCTGTCTCAATAACTGAAATGTCTTTATAGCACCTGTTGCACCTAAAGGGGGTGTGGCATGTTCAAGTTGATAGAATTCCTTTATTTTTGTACAGATCAATACACTGTTCACTTGCTACAAGTGCGACAAGTGCTTTTCCTCCTCTGAAGAGCTCACCAAACACCAAAACACACACAGCACAGAAGAAAAGCCCTTCCTTTGTGCCTATTGCCAGAATAATTTCTGTACATTTACTGAGGTGAGAACACAGAGGCCTTTTTTTGTCTATTGCAATTTTACAATTTTGTTTCTTGACTATTGTTTGCATTTGATATCTTGAAGCTGACCAAACACAGACGATATGAATGCATGGAACGGCGGTGCCCCTGCAGGGACTGCGGAGCTTCGTTTCCCAGTCCCTCGCGATTACGCTACCACCGCATCGCAGTGCACCCTCACAGCGCCACGGTGGCTGACGACAACACCTTCCAGTGCGGCAAATGTGGCCGTGGTTTCCCAATAGAAGAGGAGCTCATGCAACACCAGGAGAAATTTGCAAACAATCTAAACTGTGATGGTAAGCCGCGAGGCAAAAAACGTGGCCGTAAACCCAAATATGTAACTCAAGAGGAAGTGGTAGGTTGGAAGAAGACCAAACAAGATGAACAACCAGAGGGGAGAAAGGAATCCAGTGACTCACACATAGAAGAATCTTCTTCAATAGAGCTGAAAATTCCCTGTCCTGAAGCAGATTGTGATTGTACATTTCCCTCTGTTGCTGCTCTCCGAGCCCATAAGAAAGACAAACATGGGCCATCTACTCATAAAACCCCAAGCTTTGAATACTCCTGTGTCACCTGTGTCAAGAGTTTTGAAAGAGAAAGTGATTTAAAGTCTCATCAGTGCTGCCACGCTGAGGGTGAAACGATGGCTGAGAAGAGATAATAAACGTGGGAAAAGACCTGCGTTACCATTTAAATGCTTATCAGAAATCATTCATGTAAGAGGACAGTTTCATTGTCAATGAAAACTGCTGGTGAAAACAGGTTATGCAACACAACTGTAGGTGTTTCTTGGTTATTTTTATGTATATTTCTTTGATTTGGACAAGACAGGATCAGGTGTACATAGTCATGTTTTATGTTCATATTGAAATTATGACATAAGGACTTTGTGTGTTCTCCCCTTTGCATCTGTTACCTGACATGTTTTGTATAATTTATTGATAGATACTTTAGTGTAGTGCATTTTTCCTCACAATAATGGAAATATATTTAACTGGAGTGTTTTATTTTTAAGATAAAAACAAAGAAATGTGGTGCTTGCACAAAGATGATCAGTACTTAAAATAAAGTTCAACATTTGTAAAACTAAGACCTTTTAAAAACGTTTGTCTTGATATATTACGTTTCTCTTTCCAGAAGTATTCGGTAAATAAATGAAAGCTTAAAGTGAAGCTGTAAATATAGTTGTTCACGTTGAATAATCTGAACCTGAAAAGTGTTAAAGTCTCTAGGATGTTGCACATATCTTGGGTAATTTGTGATTGGGGGAGTTGAATGACAATCATGATCAATAATGTATTTATTTATTTAGGGCATAAAGAGACATAATAGTTGTCATTTACACAGCTGCATCTCTTGTATTCTTTGGTCAAAATCTTGGTCTGTGAGACTATGAGTCATAAGTATAAATGTTATGTCTTCATTAACATTTGCTACCAATGTATTATGTTTGTCTATATACAATTTAAGTTAAACTATTAATGTGAAACTACTCTGCAAATACTTCAGCAGACTTTGTAACTATGACAGTAAATGTAATTCACATATTGAGGTATTTTTTACTAAATTGGCATATGATGGGTATCCTAAATCTATTTACCAATTTATTTTGATTGACGAATGGAACCGTTGGTTTGTCATATGTTGCTATTGTGGAGCCTCAGAAAACCAATTGATAAGAGCATTAAAAGACAGACGGGGTTTAAATTTTGTGGACAATGGTTAACTGGAGGGATTATGGATAAAGGAATGTAAGTTTAATTCAGCAAATACCACAAATTCGGGATGAGCTCTTTAATTTGATATGAGCAAAAATTAAGTAAATTCCGGGCAAACATTAAGAAATTAAAGCTCGATATCTGCGAAGTCGCTCCCCGTGTTGGAGAGCGGAGAAGTTCGTTTTCCCATGATGCACCTGTCGTTCTTCCTATCTCGCGCCTTTGCCTCGGATCAGTCCATCTTGCCTTTCGCATCGCTGCAGTCACCCTCTCCCTCTGCCAGCGCGCCGTCCCTGTTGTTGTAGTAAATAATGGCGGCCTCGGGAGGCGGATTATCCTCTTCCTCCACGGTGGCGGGCTTGAGCAGTGGAGCACCGCCAGCCAGGGCTCGTTTTCCGGGCCGGCCGTCCGCGGTTCGCAGCAGGCTGCGGTCCGAGAAACGAAGCAGACGCGGAAGATGGGGCTCGGACGTCGGTGAGCTGGCTGTCGGAGGGCCGAGGCCCGTAAACATCGGACTTGCTTTAAGCGAGGATCCGTCCCTGCTGCGCCTTCTCGGGGTAACGGAGAAGTACAGCCGGCAGAGAGATGTGGGGTTTGACTCCAGCAGCAGTGAGGAGGTAAGCTAGCCATAGCATTGTAACGACATTGGAAACGATACACGTATTGTGACAAATCAACACAGCTTGTTTAAAGGAAATATTTTATTGTATCCGGTTGTTAGTTACGAACAACAGTGGGCATACAGCTAGTTAGCGGCAAGTTAGCTTACAAGCTTAAAATCTAACGCTGGGATAGAAGCTAGCCGTTCATCTGCAGTGGAAAGCTCTGGTAGGTTTAGAGCTGGGTATCTGTAGGCTGATTGTTACTGCTCATATTAAATCATGAGCACTTTCACGGACGTGAAATGGGCGGAATCAAAGCTCTAAGTTGCAGCTGAAAGAGCGATGTCCGCTCAGCTGAGTCTGCGTGCACGAAAAGCAAATAAAGCGGAAACTTTGGCGGCAGCGTCGCACTTTGTTGTGGAAACCATTAGATGTCTTTCTTTGTTCATCCCCTGATATGGTTTGGTGTGTTGAAGTTCCCACCCAGTTCTGACAACCTCTGACCGCTAATCTTAAAAGAAAAACGTCGCTGCAGCGAAGTAGAGGAACCCACTCCTCCACGTTGGAGCTGCTGTCAGCTGACTGCTCGCTGTTTTTTAACGCAGGAAGCAACAGGATGGGGAGCAGAGCTTTCTTAAGATCCTTAGAGCCTGTAATACAACTGTCTAATCGTCATCCACTTAATTACAAAGCTAAATAAATAAATATAAGCGTGGCTTTCGGGTTATTGCATCAAATGTTTGTTTGGGTAAAACAAACTGATGCTATATTAGCTGTAGGTCTTTTTAATTAATTCAATTGTATGCCAGTGTAGTTCTTGATATACCACGTTGGCTTGTATTATTTAATGTGCGATTATCATCTCTAAGCTTTCTGTTGAAATTTAAAAAGTTCCTGTGTAGTTAGCGTATACACCAATGTGTAATAAATAACACATTGGTTCCTTTTTAGCTCTAGCAAGGTGCATTGATGAGGATTCACTGCCATGCTAGATCTAATCATTTAGCTTCCCAAGAAAGAGCTTTAATATCTGACATCAGTCGGACTCCACTGATGCAATCCCTCAAGAGTGGACTGTAACAATCACATGGGTCATGCTAAAGCTTTCAGAAGCTGCCACACTGGAGCACTGCGAAGCGTTTCCGCACTACTGTGGAATAGATATTAATCAATGGGTTTCACTTTTAACCAAACTGTTGAAAGTTCTTGAAATTTGAGGATGGGACTGAGTGAAACTCAGACACCCTTTTGAGATAAATGGGTTCCTGGATTGGTGTGTGGTTTGTGTTATTTGTTGTGCGCTTTTATTAAATAGATTTATTGTAATATAGCTCGTTAGAAGAGGAATTAAGTTGGGTCTGTGTCCCCTTTTTTGCTTGTCCGTCGCTGAGAAAATGTGTGTAATTGAAAAATAATCTTGTAAATAGAAAGTAGGTGCAAGCTCATTAGTTCCTGTCTAACTTTGATAAAGGAAATGTTTTATTTTCTGCTTCAAAACTTCCTATACAACACTGGAATGAGAGCAGAGAGCAGCAGGGCTGATGCTGACACATAGTTTCTGGTGGGCAAATCACTGATAGTCAAATGAGGAACACCATAATGACTCAAACTAAGATTAGCCTCAACTGTGGAGGCATAAGTTGCATTTAAACACACTCTAACGCACATCCAGTTACACTCAGTAGAAACCTGAAGAGAGTATCCTGAAACACCCAGCTAGCAGTTGTGTTTATTTTTCTTCTTTTTTTGTGAAAAAGTTTAATTTTTTTTCGAAGGTATTAAAAGTCGGGACACAACAAATTAAATAATAACACAACAATGTAATAAATTAATAGAAAAAAACAAAGATGAATCTCCTGATACTGGCAGATGTAGACAACCATTTTTTTTACTTAATCAAGTGTTTTTGATTCACAGAATGTGGCTTCAATTTATTCTTGTTGCTTTGGATAAAAGTGTAAATGTAATTGCGTTTAAGTCGGGATTTATAACGTTTTTCATACTGCTACTGTATCTTAGCTTTTTTTTTTTAAATGGTTACAAAGTGTAATACATTTGTATTTGATCTGAGGTTTATTGAACTGAGTTTGTAAGTCCTGATAATGAGATGATATTATGATAAACAAATCATTAGAAAAAGTACATCATAATGTGCAGTGGACACGGTGTGGGCCATTATATTAGAGAGCCACCACCTATCTTGATAAGCTGGCCCTTCAATAGGAATAGATTTAAATGTAAAATGCAAATGTATATTTTATTGTGCCTTTAAGGGCATTTTGTCCACTGATATTGTTGTTGAAATTGTTTGGAAGATGTATTTTTGATTGTTGTTGAACGACTTTCCCCATTCATACACATCCAATTATGTTGTACGGCTGACATAAGGATTGCTCTTTGTTTTTCCTTTAGGAGGAAGATTTCACTGGATTTGGGACCACCAGAGTTCATCCTCAGAAAACTGTCCCTGATTCCACCATCAGCCAAGCCACTTCCCCTCAGGCTTCTAATCCCCTGGCAATAGCAAAGCCTCTTGTTGGGAAAATTATTCCCAAGACACCAAAACCAGCTGTCGTGGGGAAAATCGTACCACGGGTTTCTAAAGAAGAACAGGATGTTGAAGAGAACCCAGAAAAAGACAAAGAGTTGCCAAAGGCAGCAAATAAAATGCTTGAAAAGCAGGTGGCGCTCTCTGCAAAAGCCAAACACTCAGACCCTCAGCCCTCAGGTACACGCAGCAGTACAGCGTCAGCTGACGTCCTCAGCCCAGCGGGAGCAACGTCCTGCCCCCAAAGCACGAAGAACCAGGCAGCCGCCTCATCAACCGGCTGCACCAAGCACCAGGAAAAGGCACACGGTTATCCTACCGCAGGGAGAGGGAGGGGAAGAGCTCCGAAAAGAGTCAAAGAGGAAGGTGAGGCGTCAGAGGACTCGGACACGGGCACAGGTCAGAGACAGCGACCCGTAAAGACCGCCTTCCGGTTGGGCCACTCCAGACGCACGGCCCGAGCCGTCGCCCTGTCCTTTACGTCCTTCCACAAACGGCAGAGGAGGAGAACTGCCAAAGGCATGGGCGCCTCCCCTGAGGCCGGAGCCGAGGCCGGCCCCCACAGCGGGGAGGAGGCTGCCATGCCCCTCGAGTGTAAAGCTGCACAGTCCTCCCAAAGACGAGTGTACAAGAGACATCACCGCAAGTCTTTGTTTGGGTACAAGCGGAAGCCGTCATCGGGCGATCCAGCTATGAAATTCCCCAAAATCAGAAGAGTTCGCACCAAGCATGTTTTTTATACCTACGAACCGAAGGCCCCACCCCCCACAGCAGGGCAGGATGGGAATGGACCTCCGATCCCTGGGCAGAATATCCCCCCATCGGAGGAAGAGCCAGGCTCAGTTTCTGAGCTGGAACGTCAAAGCTCCAAAAATTCCTCCTCCATTGTTACGAGTGGGCGGTCGTCGCGAGTTATCAAAACTCCAAAGAGGTTCCTGGATGAGGAAATGATCCCCTTTCCAAAGGGCTCCCTGTCAACATGGCTGAAAACGCAGCAGAGGGATGAGGGGAAAGCGGCCCCATCGCAGACTGAGTCGAGTTACAGCGGCCACTCCCAGTCCGGGGACTGCAACGCCGCGTCTGTGTTCCACAGCCCGGCCGCAGTGAAAATCTCATCAGCACCAAGTCCAGGCGCGAGCCACAAAGAGATCTACAAAAACCTGAAGAAGCTGACCTTAAAACTGGCAGAGAAAAAGAGAGGCCAGTCTAACTCTCAGGAGGACGGCGCTCAGCATGGCGACACTCTGACCTCGCACGTCAGGAAGAGACGGAGGCCCAAGCTCATGATGGAGGAACTGGACTCCCCCGGAGTTGTCAGGAAACTCGCTGTAGTGGTGAACGCGGATGTGGAATCATCCTCTCAGATCCTGCCGGAAAATACAGGCATTAAAAGTAAGAATTTGTTTTACTTTGTTGCGCCTTTTCTGAGTCTCCCAGATCAATTTTTTTTTTCCAAAAGTGATTTGTGTGCTTGCTGTCTGTAGCTGACGAAACAAAAAGAACCTTTTATACAGTTGGAAATGTTTAATCGGAAACATTCAGGCAGAAACAGACATGCTTTGAAAATGGTGACAAGGATTTAGTTTATAGAAGTCATTTCCATTGATGTTCCATCTGCTCTGTTTGATATAGATAAAGCAGCAGGTTTAACTGATGCAAGCGAGACACTGGAAGTCAGTGGGCCAAGCCATCGGATTGGTCTCAGTGGAGCCAATAAGAGGATGCTTCACCTGCTTAAGAAAGCCAAAGTTCAGCTCATCAAAATCGATCAGCAGAAGCAGCTCAAATTGTCGCAGGTAAGCAATAAAAATATGAGATTACCGGATGAAGCTTCATAGACTTATTATATACACACATGTTACAGAAAACACTAGATATATCTGTTATTGCTTTAAGTTTTTTTGTAAAATTTGTATTTCATCCATTTGTGTCCACTTGGCTCAGTTATTTAGTGATTCACAAATGCTATAACGTAATGATTTCATTGTATCGCATACATTCAGGCTTCATGTTTATTTCTTGTTTGGATTACTAGTTGGGCTCTAGCGAGTCACAAGTACCATTGAGTGGGAGGAGGAGGAGGAGGAGGAGGAGAGTCGGTCTGCCTCATAAAGAGTTGGGGCCACAGGTAATACAGGAATTTTCTTTCTCTTCGACGATACACTTTTGACAGCTTAATATCAACATATAAATATCTGAAATCACCATGATACTAGCTCACAGTAGGATTGCTGTTACGTATCCTCGGTTTTTAAAATGTGCCTCCGTGTGCAGGAGCAGCCGCTGGGCGGCCCGAGGATCAAACACGTGTGCCGGGCAGCAGCGGTGGCTCTGGGGCAGCCCCGCGCCATGGTGCCAGACGACATCCCCAGACTCAGCGCCCTGCCGCTGCACGAGAGGGAGGGCATCACCTTCTCCTCCGCAGCCGAAGGTACAGTCCAGCTCCCCGGGCCTCGTCCTTCCAATCACATGCACTCCGTATGGACGTTTTTAAGGGTGATTAGAACAGGGACTTTAACGAGCAGGAGCGTGACAGTATACAGTGTTTACACATTCGAAATTTTACATGGTGAGTACAAGACACTGGTTCTGAGTTTTCAGGTGCCCTCTTTTATTCCGTAATTATTCCACGATTTAGATAAGGCAGCAGCAGCTGGAGCTAATGTTGCCTGTTCAGCGTTTACCCACTCCTCCCACACTTTGTATGGGGTTAAAATGCCCCAAAAGCCCAAAAAACGACATAAAAAAGACATCAGAGACAAGTGGACACATTTTATTCACAATTATGTGATACCTGAGTTTCTTTTTACTTTAGTGAGGACATGTCTTCAAATTTACCTGAAATGTGCATAAATATTCATTTTTTAACCTAATGGTTGGTGGTATGGTTACATTTCTGTAGTTTAAACGGGACTTCTGCAGCAGTAGTGTTCAGTGTGCAGCTTCAGCCAAGCCTACAGATCTCCAGTCTCACTTCAGCTGGTTACAGAATTTCATAATGTTTGAGTTTCATCTGTCTGGCCATTTTCTCATGATTATCCAGGTCAAGTAAAAACTGTACACAAATGCTTAAACACAGACGTGTTGTTTTTTTACAAGTGAGTAAAACCAGTTTTACAATTGAACAATTTACAGCACACAATTTATTTTCATTGTATAAAAAAGCAGAAGTTAAAGATGATTGTGTTATCACTCATGCACAAAATCTTACTTCTCGTTAACTACACCAGTGGTTGTGCTCTGGAGAATCACAAAGAAATACTAAATGTTTTTTTTCTTTTTTCTTTGACTGAATCTGATCCGTTTTTACAGTTTAAATATGGTTTTCTTTTGAAATATGACTTGAAAGTGTCACAAAGTCTCTCATGATTTGAACTGTAAGATCGATGTGTTTTCAGAACATCCAAAGTGAGCCTTAAAGTCACTGAGGAAAAAGTTACATCTTAGGTTGTGACTTTAAAAAGGCTTTACGCTGTCTCTAAAGTGCAGCTGATGTGATTTAGATGTAACATTCAGTTAAAAAAAGCTCAGAAGAAAGTGATTGTATGTGTTGTAATGGAGTTCTTTCCAGTGAAGCTGGGAAAATGATGTTAGAAAGTAGGAATACCTACTTTCTAGTGTCAAGGTAATTTACTCAGTGCAAAACTGGATTTTCAGTTTTCCTCAATGCAGTCACCAGCACCTGTTGAATATTTGTAACGCTTTAGGTATAGCTTTAAGTCCCTCAGCTCCAATGTTTAGTCCAGTTTGAGGTCTTATGTAATGACTTGGAAAAAGAATCGGCGGGGAGCAACAGTGCCTGGTCCAATTGTACACTTAATTGTATGAGTGGACCAAACACTACCTTCAGTGGACTCAGATAACAATTATAATTTATTTCTACATTCATTTAAGGGAAATATTCATGTTGAAAGAATAAAAAAGGAAAAAGCTTAATACTTCAAATTCACTGTAGTTTTATTTAGATTGAAGTTTACCCCTGTTATTTCCTTGTGAGGCCAAAACAAAAACACTGGTAATCATCTAGCGTTATGAACACATATTTTTAAATAAAAGAAGAGCATCATTTTTGTAGCTTTTGGCTACATGCTGAGCAAAGACAAACTGTTTGTTTTTTTTTTAAACAAAAAAACTTAATTATTTGCCAGCAAAAATATCTTTTGTCACACACAGATTAGCCACCGCTGTTGGAAAGATATACCCAACACTGGTCAAGTGAGCGTCACTCAGTATGAGGTGAGGAAGTGCTGTTTGACAAATAGACTCACAACACATCTAGTTCCAAAAGCAAAACGTGACCCTGGCTCAGGATTATTCCAGATACTTGACTGATTAAAAAAGATAATATCTGAGTCACATTTACTGGGCAGCAGTTTTGCCCGTTTAGTCTGAACACGACCATTAGGAGGGGGGTGGGGGGGGGATTCAGCAAGGAGCCACCAAGACTGGAAAATGTTCATTCGTAGTTTCCCCCAGTAATGGGTTTTGTGGAGACTCTGGTTTTTTATCAGCCACCTAACTTCATCATAAGCTCATTTCTTCAGGCAGTCAGTAGTAACATAGCAACAGGCCCCCAGCTTACACACTGGACAAAGTCCAGGAAACGCATCTATAAGAAACTGATGCTGAACCGTGTGTTCCGGCTCTCCCACCCATCCTCTCTGTGTCTCACCCGCAGATGTGGCAGATGATGATGATGATGATGATGACGATGATGATGATCCCGTCTCTGATCAGGGGAGAGCCCAGTGGGCTGTCTCGCAGGAAAGCATTCAGCGCCGGAGGCGGGGGAGGGGGAAGGGCCATAAGTTCAGGAAGAGGAGAGTACTGAGTCAGTACATACCCGGGGGGGTCCGGTCCCGGCGCTGCGGGAGCTGCAAGGGCTGCTCGGTGGAGGAGGACTGTGCAAAGTGCATCAACTGTTTGGACAAGCCCAAGTTTGGGGGGCCCAACACCAAGAGGCAGTGCTGCATGTAAGTGAGCGTGGGCGTTTTTCTGATGAGTTTTAAACAATGTTTTAGTAAACTAAAGTAAACCGTTACGCTAACAAGCTCTCACAAAGGATGAGTCGGCAGTATCCTCAAATTGACCTTTGATCTTTTTCTGCTAATACAACGAAAATATATTTTGGGTAAGCAGATGGGTGGCAAGTAGAGGAAGTCCTAACCCGTGAAGCGTGTATTAGATGGTCAGTGGTGATGTCTGTGATCCTCTGTGTGCCGTCAGTAAGTAGAGGGATGTACTACAAAGCAAGTTCAACCCTGCTAAGTTCACTTTGGGTCAGCTGCATCCACAAAGCCTAAAGCTTGAATCGGACGGAGCAGGCACAGCGGCTCTGGTCTTTGTCAGCACAGACGTTCCTCAGGCTCCATGCACGCTCACATAAATTGGGCTGACTGGGCTTTATTTGACACTTCTGTTGTCTGACCGTTTATGAAACGGGTTGAACAAACTGGGAGGTGTTGATAGATAACTCAAATAAAGCTTAAAATTAGTTCTTGTCAGACAAAGTGTTTTTTTTATTGAAGTTACCTACTGTTTTAGAATTAAATGCTTCATATTATATGAAGTTGGAAAAACTGTTGTGGGGTTAGATAGCCAGTATTTCATCATTCTTCACATACATTGAAGATCGTTAAATTATTACCTTGTTCTAACGTCAGGCTTGAGGGGAAATTTAAAAGTTTTCTGTTATGAAGTATGATTTGGCTAAATATACAATTTAGGCTCACTTTAAAAAAAAAGACAAACCTTTGTGACATGCCTTTTTTGGGCATTAAATCTGCTTTGTAGTGCATGCCTAGGAATTGGAGCTAGTGTCTCTAATTGGTTTAATGGTTCAGTTTGGCTTTGTGCTGGTTGATTACGTTTTGTCTGGAGACGACCCGTGTTTACCTGAGCATAAAGCCACCAGAAAGGGAGACACCTACAGCTTGACTTTGTCCAAAGGCAACAAACCCACCTCCCTGGATCTCTGTTTCGTAAGGGGCAGGATGGGCACGTTTCAGCCAAATGCTTGGACACATTGGGGTCTATGGACAGAGTTTGGCCTGCAGTTTGCTCCTCTTTCTCAGTTTTTACACCAACATCTGCCAAAAGTTTTAACCCTTTGATTTGTGAACAGGCCATTTATTTAATCCGGCCATCATGTTTACAAAAGATAAATAAATTTAGACAAAAAAACGAATTCTCTACTGCTAAAATAAAGCAATTTAATGGTTAATTTGTACCTAAAAATCTGTTTAGAAGTGTTGTACCTGAAACATGAAAATACTTCTTATTTCTTTCCAGTAACACATTTTAAACAATCCTGTTTATGAAGGCAAGTTGACTCTTATAGTTCAACACATTTGTAGATGGCTACACAGACGTTTTACCGCAGACATATAATTACATTTTGCTATTTCTTCTGCCCCCAGATACAGGAAGTGTGATCGGATTGAGAAAGCAAAGATGAGTCGCGCTTTAAAACCGGTGAAAGGTATGTATGTCGTTACATGGTGGTCCTGCTTTCTTTTTCACCGGATAAAAAGTTCTAGTTTAGTTAGACCAGTTGGGATGAACCGTCCTCTAGATTATAAGCAATCAGTACCTGTTCAGATACAGATTGTAGTTAATCACGAGGCTTGTGCTTTCCAGTCCAGGAGAGGCGGTTCTCAGGCTCCATGCCGAGCTCTGATGCAAAGTGCCGCTTCGGAGACGCAGGAGAAGCTCCATCCTCCACGGCGCGTGGAATCAGGAAGCAGTCCCTGCGTAACATCAAGCCACGCTCCTACAGCAGCCTGCTCAAATCTGAATCTGAGGAAGAGGAGGAGGAGATGGAAGAGGACAAGTCGGACAAGTCGACTGTCAAGCTAAGTGCTGCTCCTCTCTCCAACCAAGGTAACAGACCACTTTATGTGTCTCTACTTATTATTAGGGTCTCTTATGTGCGCTGCTGAAAGTTTTAAAGCTGTAGAAAAAACACAGTTATAGTTATGTCAAATGATTTCAAAGTTTGATTTAAGCCTCATGACCATGTATAAGCTTGAACAATTAGGTCCTCTGACAGTTTGTGTAGCTGCATATTTTTTACCTATTAAAGAAGATGTTGAGATAATATTTTCTTGATTAAAAGTGTTATGGAACAGCTCCAAACCTCTAAGAGCTGAGTTTAATGTAATTAATTATTTTAATGTATATTTAGGATTCCGCAAGGCAATAATACGTTCACCTAGCAAAGATTTTTCTGTTTAAATTGCGCCCCAAAGAGGATGGGTTTCTTAGGCTTTTGTATTTTGTTCAGGGGATCTTCCCCCTCAAGATGGCGTTTTGCTGCCAGACGACCCCCCGACTGAGGCGGTCAGGCATCGCCGGCTGTTCCCCAAAGGCTCTGGCAGACCAAGAGCTTACAAGGTAAAAAGACTGAGAAAGGTTCTCCTTTTTTATTTATTTATGTTTTTATTTTTTTTTATTTTTACGTACCGCCTACTGAAGTCTGGGTCAAATGGTATTTTTGGAAACGGTATCTTGATTATTTTGGTCAGTGAAATTCCCACACATTTATTGGTCAGTTGTTTTATTTTATTTTATTTTTTACAAATTCGCGATGAAGCAACGACAAACCCCGTTTGCCATTATTTCCTTGAAAAAATTAACCCTAAAAAGTAGATAATTGCATTTGGACCAACAAAGTTATTTCCAAATAATACATTACCCCGGACTCCATCTCGCTCAGGTTTGACTATTTCCTGTAAACAGACCTCTTTGTACGAGTAACGACAATTACTAATAGTATCTTTCAAATTCAGCCTTGCTTGTCCTTTTTTCCTGACTTCAAGCTTCATCTTAAGCACTTTGCATGCCTCCAGTCTACTCAATGAAAGATGAGCTGTGTAGATCATGTTTTTTTTTTTTTGTTGCAGCATGGCTTTTCTGCAAGGCAATATGGAATCATGCAATTACTGTATTTGTGTCCACAAAACTCCTGGCTCTGTGTTTGAGATTGAAACAAAGTCATGTCTTCTCATCTGAATTATTTTGCAGTCTGGAGGCTCCTCATGTTGCATTTGCAAATTCATTGATATCATGTGATCAGGAACGAAAAAGTATGATGAGCAGGTCTTTTCTAGCCTGCGAAATGAAAAGTTATGCTGCATTAAACTAATTAGGAGCAACATAAAAACAAAAATGTAGCTATTTATAATGGTTAATGTCTTTTTTTTCTAGACAATAAGATTAGGCTCTCTGAAGTAATCAGACCTTTTCTTTTTGAAAGAAAAGGTCAAACCTTGTTGCTGTGACTTGAAATGATTGTCAGACTTTAGTTTTTTTCGTGCCTTTGTTTTCATGTAACAATTTAGGATTCCTTTTAAATTTGGAAAAGCAACAAAGTTCTCTTGGCCTCATGAATTGCTTTGCACAGAGGCGTGTCTGGTTTAGTGAGGTTAGTGTCCAGATCGAGGCACAAAGCAGTATGTTAACTGGCAGCAGCTGTGTGGGTTACAGTTAACCCACACTTATGTAAGTAGTTATTTTAATGTCCTCTCTGAATGTTTTCTGGATATAAATCGGCATCTGAGGCATATTTTGAATTCTTCAGTGTAAAGAGAGATCATTTTGAAATGTAGTTTGTTTTCAGGGATGTATTCTTATATTTTATGTACATTTCATTTAATCTTTTTATCCTTCTTAAGTTATCAATCTTTTTTAAGTTGGATGAGCTGCTGATACAACAGATATGTTAAGAGTTTTGCTAAATGAGACAAAATGCTGCTGATTGCGTCTTCCTCTTCCTTTTTAATCCTTATTCTTTGCTAACACTTTGTGCTAATCGTTGTAGTTCTCGTCTCCTTTTCTCCCCCTTTGGCTGCCGCCAGTCATCGCCTCTGCATGTCAGTAGTACTAGTTTAACTTTGGAACCCGTCTTGCTGGTTGGCTTAGGCAGTGCGCTCCTCCACAGGCTCAGAGGAACACGGAGGAGATGGAGCCCAGAGAAACTTTCCCTGAATCTGGACCATCCAGGAGCCCGAAGCTGCAGAGGCAGCTACAAATACATTTACGCCGTCTGCCTGATTATATCCTGCAGTCTGCCACTTTGTCTTTGGCGCCTAAGTCGCCTCCGTGTGTGGATCAGTGTACTGCACAGGCCAATCCTCCATGTTTCCAGCCTTTAACGCAGCCTGCTATCTCACAATCTTCCTGCCCAATAGCAAATTCTACTCCAAAGCCTGAAAGGCACGCTGTTTCTCCACCTTCCTCCCAGCACAGTACAGACTCTCCTCAGAAAACTCTGGTGTTGCGTTTGCACCGTTTGCACCACTCTCTGGTGCAGTCGCTGTTTCACCCGCACAAACCTGTCCCATCACCATCACCCGCTCAGCATCTGCGGTCCACACTGCAGCCGGCTGCGGTGGAGGGTTCGCCACACATTTGTTCTCAGGGATGTCCAGAGTCTGAGGCGAAGCCCTCAGACGCTCAGACGGAGACGGGCCGAGCTCACGCAGATAAGACTGCGTGCAGGCTCTTTCCAGGGCGGCCACAGACTGTCAGTCCACCGGCAGAATTACAGGAAGGCAAGCAAAAGGAGCAGGAGGATGCTCACGGAGAGCTGCCAGAAGAGGACCAGGAGGACTCTTCTGTAGCAGAGACGGAGCTACAAAGCTGTCCAGCAACTGACCCACACTATCTCCTTCATTCTCAGAATGCTGCAGAGTGTGCATCAGTGAACAGCCTGGCGGGGTTAACTAACGGATTTCCCCAAAAGGGCCTGTTGCAGTACAAGCACAAGATCCGTGTAGACTTTAAGGTGAGTTTCTGAGGCCGTTTTACTGGCCCATCTCACTCAACCATGCTTCAGTGCACCAGGGTGAACGCGTATAGAGCGTTCCTCTAATGAAAGGTTTAAACAGAAAATTGAACTGAGCTGCAAATAAACATAAGCATTTGTCTGTAAACTCCCTGTACTGTAGGGAAATCTATTTGAACTTGGCTTTGCTCTTTGAATGCTGCTGTTCCACACTAGGAAACATGTTCGGTATCATAATCTGGCAAAGAGGAACAACACGGTTATGAAACTGCATATTTTGCATTTGATTTATGGCAATGAACCCAGTTAGCCGTCTCACACTAACAGAGGAAACCCTTCTGGCTTTGTTTGGCATGTGTCTTTTAGGAGGACTGTGCTGTTCAAAATGTGTGGCTGATGGGCGGCCTCAGCGTCCTCACCTCAGTGGCCAGCACTCCACAGCCGGTCTGCCTGCTCTGTGCCAGCAAAGGAAGACACGAGGTACCTCAGCTCTCAAACAGAGCTTCATTAGGGAGCTGCTCTCTTTTTGTTTCTTTCCAATGCTGACGTTAGATTTTTTTTGACCGTCTCCTTTTTCCAGATGATCTTCTGCCAGATCTGCTGTGAGCCTTTCCACCGTTTCTGTCTCGCACCTGAAGAGTGTCCCCAGGAGGAGGCCAAGGAGAACTGGTGCTGCAGGCGCTGCAAATTCTGTAACGTCTGCGGCCGTAGAAGCAAAAGCACAAAGGTATGCAGCGCGTTGTTGTAAAATGTTGTTTGCAATCTTGAATTTTGTAGCTTTTTTGATTGTGTTTTCATAATAATCATGTTCAGAATTGTGATAAAGCTCTCTGGTTTATATAACAAGGTGTAGATGTATCTATATATTTATATGGATATTAATTCATGTAATTAATAGACATTAACCTCACTGATAAATCAATTTGTGTGTGTGTTTTGTTCCACTGTAGCCTGTGTTGCAGTGCAGGAGATGCCAAACCTGCTACCACCCTTCTTGCTTGGGGCCAACATACCCAAAGCCTATAAATTGCAGCATGCCCTGGGTAATTGCCTCCTTAGTCTTTAAAGTATACAAATGCCTTGTGAAAGTTATCACCTCCTCTTGAGATTTCCCATAGTTTGTTGCCTAATAGTCTTCATTTTTTTGGGAGGGGGCTCTATCATTAATCAACACATCACACCCACCTCACTGCATTTTTATAGTGGTGCAGCAATTACGGCATTAATATCTGGGATTAGTCAAATCCACTTTAACAAATCCAGCTACTGTGAATTTTACCGCAGACCAATTCACAATTACACGTTTCCCTTTAGAAAATGAGCGCGTTCCCAGCCTCAATTCTCTGGAAGTGTACCTCAGGATATGCCAGAATTTAGCTGTGGTCCTTTAGTTTTGACCAATTTAGCTGGATAGAAAAATATCTACCAGCATCCTGCTGCCACCACTTCTCACTGTGGGGATGATGTTCACAAGATGAAAAGTTGGTATTTGAAACATTTTGTATTTGAAGGCTCAGGCTAAGATTACTTTCATGAACAGTTTGCCAAAGAGGGAAACATTTTATTAATATTCATTCGACACTTTAAGATCCCAAAGAGAGAAACAAACATTCACAAGGCACTTTATGTTTGTTTTTTTGGTTTGTTTCTGTGATATTGAGAGGATTTTTTTTACAATTGCATCACTGCTGTACTTGTGTAGGTTTGCATGACTTGCATTCGCTGTAAAAGCTGCGGAGTGACTCCTGGTAAGACATGGGACTTGGCCTGGAACCACGAGCAGGACCTCTGTCCGGACTGCAGTACTCTCCACAAGAAAGGTTCGAACTCTATGACGCACCGGCAGTCTTTGCAGACTTTGTTGTCTGAGGAAGCGCTTGTTTTTTCACAAGACTGATTGATTGATAGATGAATACTTTATTGATCTCACAATGGAGAAATGAACTTCCCGTACAGCCCGCCCAAGATCATACAAACACAACATATGGACACACCGCTCCTGCAGCTTGTGTTTGGGTAGAAAATATGCTGTTGATTGCGTTGCCTACCAAATCCATGGTTGATGTTGATGTTGGAGCTTTAGGAAGTGAAAATGCAGAAAGAAGCTCTGAGATATGACAGGACAAAGATAGCAAGCAGCCAAAAAAAAACGGCAGGGGAGGGAGCAGAGGGAAACACGTCTGCACTCGCCGAGAGCCGGAAGAAGAGGACACAGAAAATTCAACTGGTTTCTCTCTGCCTTCCATCAGGGCATTTCTGCTCCATCTGCTCCAAGTGCTATGAGGACAGCAGCCAACCCTCACGGATGATTCAGTGTTCAAACTGCAGCCGGTGGGTTCATTACAGATGTGAAGGACTTTCAGGTGAGAATCGCTCATTCGTTTCTGCCCCTCTTCTTATAACGAATGACATTTTACAATTTAAAAAATAGAATGAAAAATTATCTTTAGTACTAATACTTCAAAAGTAGCATGTTGTGAAACTGGATGTATTCATTATTTGAATTACAGGCTTACTTATTAGTAACACCTATGTCAGCTCTGAGGGAAAGAAGGAAATCTCACACTGGTCATGTTTTGTGTTTGCAGAGGAGCTTTTCGAGCTGTTATCCAGTCAGCCAGCAAAGTCGGATTTCAGCTGTTCACCCTGCAGGCAGCACCAGAGTCACCTCAGCAGTTTGAAGGAGGGGCTGCAGAGCAGCCTGACGGGCGGGCTGGAGGAAGTGCTCACTGACCTCCTCTCCTCCAGCAACACTCAGCATCTCCGCGTCTGTAAAACGGTAGGCTGTACAGGACAATGGACCAAAATTAGACAAAGCTAGGAATCTATTGTTGGTGATGTTTTTTATCGGATTTCAGTGTCAGGAAACAAACATGACTCCATCTGTCCGGGAGCAACAGCCCATCTGTGACCTACAAGCTGTGGAGAGGAAGCTCAAAGGGGGCGGCTACCCCTCCATAGTGAGCTCGTTTTCTTTATTTACCTGTGAAAGTTCAGAACCTGGTAACATAAATCCAAATTAAAATGTTAATTTGGAGAAGCTGAAGAAAATTCTCATCACTTGAAACCTGAGCTGATCCCGACTTTTTTTTTTTGTGTGTTAAATTTTTTTTTTTTAAATCAAACAGAAAGCTTTTCATATGGATGTCGCAGCTGTGATGAAGAAATGGTTGAAACAAGAGGAACTTCTCCCTGAGGATCAAAGACCGACCATTCACTCTAGAGTGCACTATGTCCAGGTGAGCCTCCCCCTCCTGCTGATGATTGAGTGTAGTTTTTTTTTTTTTAAACGCAGTTTTGATTTCCATTTTCTCTCAACCGTTTCCATGACACCACTTCTGGTTTTACAATATTTAACGTGGTGCTTCGAATCAGATTGATTTTCTGTCGATCTGACCCGAGTTTTGCATCTCAAACAGGTGATGAAGCGAGTCTTCAGTTGGTATCCTGCATGCCTTCTTAAAAAGTGGAACTCATTCTCTGAAGAATTCCCAAGGTTAATATCTGGATACAAATATTCTCTCAACACTTTACCCACTGCTCAGTCCTGGAGTTTCAAATCTCTCCTACTCTGTATACTACCCTTAGTGGCATGCTTCCTGAAGCGGTCCTTCCACCTTCAAGGGAGCACAGTTATGCTCAGTGGCTGGAGAGGACATTCCAGCCCAAGGGGTCCCGAGGCCCACAGATTCAGTGCGACTACACGCCGTCCTCATTCTCTGCACATCAGTTTGGTGCATCTCAAGCTCCCCGTCTGTACTCGCAAGGTGTGGAAACTGTTGCAGCTTGTGTGATGTCGACAAAGTCGCATTGCTTCTCTTCAGCTTTCATGTTTTCTTCTGCAAACATAAGCTGTTTTATCATTTTTTAATTCTTAAATGTCCCTTTGCTCCTCCAGATTCCACCAAGGTTGAAGATATGAGACAGTGTGCGCTTTGCCAACAATATGGAGATGCTGTTCCTAGGGTGAGTTTCAACAGAACCTCCTTGGATAGCTAGTAATTAAAAGGCTTCCTTCTACAGCTGGCTAAAGACTGTTTTTTGCCCGTAGGAGGCAGGACGGCTGTTGTACTTGGGGCAGAACGAGTGGGCACATGTGAACTGCTGCCTGTGGTCTGCTGAAGTCTATGAGCAGGACAGTGCTCTGCTACAAGTGCACAGTGCTGTCTCAAGGGGGCGCCATTTGGTGAGTCATTCAAAGCCCAAACAAATGTAAACTGAATACTTGCCATAGTTAGTTGAAATTAATCAACTACTTGGTGCTTTGTCTTCTATCTCTCCAGCGGTGTGATCGTTGCGGGCAGTCTGGAGCCACGGTGGGCTGCTGTCTCGCCACCTGCCAGAGCAATTTTCACTTCATGTGTGCCCGGGCGGATAACTGTGTGTTCCAGCAGGACAGGAAGGTTTACTGTGACGAGCACAGAGATCTCGTCAGTGCTAAGGTGTGCAGACAAGCCCCTCACATTTCAACAGTTTTTAGGTTGATAAAAAGTGCTCTTTCATTATTTTATCGTTACTTTTTCGTGCACACTCGTACTCCTTTACTGTCCATCTCACTGAGTTTGTTTACAACGCCTTCCAGATTGTGTCAGGGAAAGGGTTTGAGGTGCCTCGGCGAGTGTATGTGGACTTTGAGGGGATCAATTTGAGAAGAAAGTTTCTCACAGGTCTTGAGCCAGAATCCATTAACATGACGATAGGTAAGGATATTTGTTTTGTTGTCTGCTTAAGTATCCGTTCTGCTAAAAGAAAGCAAAATTTAAATCTGGACTTTTAAAAAATGTTCCCAGGCTCTCTCCAGATCCAAAAACTTGGTGTATTATCAGAGCTGTCATCAAACGGGAGGATGCTGTATCCTGTTGGTTATCAGTAAGTGCTTTTTGTCTCTGGGCTGTTTTTAATATGTATATTTATCTTAAATATTTTTTAAGATGAATATTTTGTTGGAATTTTAGATCATAAATGGCTAAATAGATTAAAATATCCCCAAATCTTTCTCTGGAAAACCTAAACCAGTAGTAGTAACTCTGAACGGTCTCTTCAGGTGCTCTCGGTTGTACTGGAGCACCGTAGACCCCCGGAGACGCTGCAAGTACACCTGTAAGGTGACAGAAGTGAGCACACCTCTCCCGGGTGAGGAGCAAGATCCAAGATGGGACAAAGAAGAGAACCACACCATTGTCCACAGTCCAAACCGTCAAAGAGGTGAGCACATTGTAAAAACTGCTCCTATGTGGGGAAAAGAAAAAATCCACAATAAAGTTGAAATCTGCTGAAGTACAAAACACTTTAAAAAACACCAACTTATTACACTATCTGTTCTGCAGTATTAGAAATTGAGATATATGCATATTATTTATTTTGGCTAGATGTGGAGTCCCCAGATCGTTTAAACTCCTCGTCCAGCCCCATAAAGTCCACGAACCCATCACCCAACTCTACAACACTCAACACACCTGGACCTAAAAGTCCTGGTCACACACAGACCAGGAGACCAGCGGGCGGGTCATCCCGTCCTCTGCCATCTCCAGGTAAGAAGATTTAGGAGTATTTAGACAGCTAGGTTTAGATTTGGGTATTGTGTATTGTTTTCTTTAGGTGGGAGAACAATACTGTCCATTGAATTTAAATCCATCATTGGGATCTGAAGAAAAAGGGAATGAATAATTACACAAATACATAAATTCCACAAACTTCACGAGAAAATCAAAACAGATCATTTAAACATACATTTCCACATGCATGTGCCAGCCTTCTCATGTATAAGCAGATTTATGCATGCATTAAATTAAACCTCCTAGTATCAGTAAAACTGATTATTTCAGCATTTCCCTGTTCAAAATGACGACGCAGCAGATTCACTTTCTTGCTTGTGTCGCCGTCAGGGTCAGCTCCTCACAAATCTCATCACATCCTGACGCTGAGAGACCTGGACGACACACGTCGGCCACGCAGGCTCTCATCTCGAAGCCGCCGCAGCTCCTCGCCGACAGAAATCAGCCCGTCCGCACCCGTGAACCTCCGCTCGGGTGCCACCAGCCTCTCCAGATGCGCCCTGTTTGGCTCCCCTCTGCGATCATCAAACATCGGAACCATTTCCCCTCCCCTCTCGGGACAAAACCCCACGTCCCCGGTCTGGAGCTCCCCTCCCAGATCCAACTCCAGCATGTGCGCGGGGCTGTCACCCCGACAAGGAGCCGTTACTCACTCCCCCAGAGGGCGGCAAAACTTCAAAATCACAACCCCAGTGTCTGCTGAGGTTCCCCAAGATTTCCTGGCATCCTCCGAGGCAGAAGATGCCGCAGTGGCTACAACAAATGGGATCTCGCTCGCCCCCGGTAACCTGGAGGATGAAGTGTCCCACCTGATGTCCCAGGAGCTGCCTTACACGGTGTTCGACACGGACGCCGTGGATTCCATGCTGAACACCAAGCTGGAGTTCGATGACGCTCTGCTCTCTGAGAGCGTCCCGCTGCACGGAGGTAGAGGGGAGGCGGAAGTAGCTGTGCAGGGTGTGCAAATGCAAGCAGGCGACGAGGAGAATAGCTCCGATGACGAGAGCTCCAGCCACTACTTGAGGTTTTCGCGGACGGTGGTGTGTGATGCGGCGGGCAGCGCCGAGGCGGCAGGCCAGCTGCCCTCTGCACAGTCCATCTCACAGTTGGACGGCGCAGACGGAGGGTCAGAGAGCGACGAGAACGAGGGGGTCGACGACGAATCAAAAGGCGATCCCAACACACCAACAAAACAGCTAACAGTCACACTCAAGAGGCTGGAGTCTATCTACACGGCGCCAAAGTCTAATGCAGAGAGAGAAGCCAACGAACCAGAAGTAGAGGAAAGTTTCTCACCCCCTGCTATTTTGGATTCGTCTTACAGCAACAGTGAGCTGTCGTTACAGGAAGAGGTCGTTATGGCCCCAGAAACACCAGAACCTGAACACAAAATATTTTTGGATTCAGATACAGGGAATTTTGTTTCAGTTGAAGAGGCTCCAGCAGTGTCTGTGACACAGAGAGCGGATGAGGACAGAGACGAGGGCAGCTCATCGGCAGACTCGGTTGAGGGATTCCAAGATGATTTGAAAGATCCCGACTACTCTCCAGAGTCCGAAACCAAGAAGTCTCCCATCATGCAGATGAAAACAATCATAATGAAGACAAAGCTGCCTGCACCAAACCCGCCCAAGCCGCTGTTACCAAAAGTTCAATACCAGCCCAAAATTCCCCTCCCCCTGACCCCCCGGCCTGTACAGGTTGGAGACAACAGGCTGGTGTCCGCTCCAGCAGCCGTCTGTGCGGTCCCGCGCCCCGTCACCTCCCCGATCATAATCAACGGCCTGAACGCGTTCCCCCTTCAGCCCAGCACCGCGCGGGGCCGAACCATCGCCATCCGCCTGGACACCTCCAAGCAGGACGGCCAGCAACCGCAGGAAGCGGCCAGCCAGAGCTCCGGGGCCGCCGGGCCGCCCGCGCCCCAGCCGCCCGCGCGCCAGGTCCTGCTGGTCAACCGGCAGGGGCAGATCCTCATCAAGGACCCCAGATCCAACACCTTCCAGACCCTCGCGGCGAACTCGCCAGCTTATAACAAGATCAGCCACATCGCCAAGATTTTGCACAGCGGGAACACGCTGCATCAGCCCGTCCCCCGCGTCATCATAAAGCCCCGCGCCGGAGCGCCCACCCCCAACCCGCCCCCCGCCGGCAACCACGCCCCGCCCGAGAGGAAGCTCGTCTTCAGGGTGCTCCCCGTGAGGAGCGGCGCTGCTCCGAACCCCGCCGCGCCCATCGGCGTGCAAACCATTCCTCTGGTTGGCTTCTCCAGCACCAACAAATGCACGGCCCAGGCCATCCTGGAAAAGGCAATGGCCAGTCACCGCGACGCACAGAGGCCCAAGCCCATCATTCTCAGCAACACTCTGCCGCCAAACAGCAGACCGCAGAGACCGGCCCAGGTGTCCGAGGCCGGAGACCCCAGCCCCTCACCGGCTGGACAGCCGGAGCCCCCCGGCGGGCTCTCCAACGAACCAACACTGGCTTCATCACGCCACCAAGTGAGAGTCAAAAGAGTGTCGTCAGTGTCTGAAAAACCCTCCAGGAAGAAATCCAAGTTGGACTTTTTAAAAGATCCATCGAGTGAGCCAGAAGACGTTCAGGAAGCCAGGTAATACGTAGTGGTACACACACATTCTCCCACACAGCAGGCCGGAACACATTCAGACTGAAATGTTTAACAAGAAAAACCTGGAAATGCAAATTTTGTCCTTTGAGTTGAGAACTCACACCTTGGTGTCTGTTAGCAGGGCGAGTGGTGTTAGAATGAAAGCTCCAACCACCAAAGACGTCCTCGATCTGAACCAGGAGAACGTGCCTGAGCCCAAGCCGTTGAGAATAACCGCTCCACCTCCTCCTACACCCAGCAGGTCAGCTATTTTAATGAGAATTTCCAGGCTCGTTTGCAGAGCTGATAACTGACAAAGAAGAAAATAATGACTTTCATGGTTGGACTGATTCATAACGCCATGTTTCACTGACATCCAAGCTTACAAAGTTTTATTTAAAAATAAGAAGAAGATGTGTCTGTTTTTATTGATTAATCAGTTTTCCTTTTCTCTTCAAAGTTTACATGTTAGTTCATTGTGTGACTTGTATATATATTGTTCTCTGCACAGGCGCCCCCGGGTTGATACTCCTCTTACGTCCTCACAAACCAACACTTACCCTCATGGTGGCACACACACGTGGGTCAGCTCTCGCCACGGGGACCTCTCTGAGTGGGGCCCGTATACAGGTGTGAAGCTCTGGGTCTTATCTCTCCGTGTTTTGAGCCTCTCTGATTGGAACATCCTTTATTTTTCTTAGTCTAGTCTTTGCTCTTAAGTATCCTTCCAGCTTTGGATGACGAGGGATTTGGCCCTCTAACATGTGACTTGTGTGTAGGTTTTAGCTCAGAAGAAGACGCCCCTGCACTCAAGCACAGGAAGACCTACATGAACCAGCCCCACCTTCGCTTCGAAATCACCAGCGATGACGGCTTCAGCGTGAAGGCGAACAGCATAGAGGGTACGGGCTGTTCTCCCCCTCATTAGTTCTTTCATTTGCTCTGAACACACTGATGAAAAGTAGTCTGAGTTGTCCACCTCCACCCCCCCCCCCCTCTCCAGTCGCCTGGCGTGCTGTGATTGACGGCGTCCTTGAAGCCCGAGCAGGCTTCCACCTGAAGCAGCTTCCTCTGGGCGTGATGAGCGGCCCGCGGGTGCTGGGCGTCATCCACGATGCTGTCATCTTCCTGCTGGAGCAGCTGCAGGGCGCCGGCAACTGCAAGCGCCACCGCTTCCGATTCCACCGCTGCGATGACATTGAGGAAGAGCTTCCGCTGAACCCGAGCGGCTGCGCGCGCGCTGAAGTCTACACACGGTGCCGACGCCTTACTTTTCCAACACGGTTTGTCCTGCGTGCATCTAGTTAATTTTTTTTAAATATCCTTTTTTTTTTTTCTATCAAACAGGAAAGCGACTTTTGATATGTTCAACTTCCTGGCGTCTCAGCACAGAGCCCTGCCCGACATAGTCGGCCCCTTTGATGAAGATGACGATGAATTCCCACTCAAGTCCTCCAGGTAAATCGGTTTTACTGACTCGGCATGTGAATATGCCAGCGGGGGGCAAAAAATAAATAAAAAATGCTGTGCTTGAAAACAAATGTGCTGTGCTGCACCTTACCAGGCGAGCCACCAGCAGCGAGCTGCCCATGGCAATGAGGTTCAGACACCTGGAGAAAACCTCCAAAGAAGCCGTAGGAGTGTACAGGTAACGGCAGCACCGATCGCATGAATCAGAAATGTTGTTTAGGTTAATTTAAAGAGGTTCAAGCAAATTTCTCCATTTTTGTTTACCCCCCCCCCCCCACCAGATCTTCCATTCACGGCCGTGGACTGTTCTGCAAGCGGAACATCGAGGCTGGGGAGATGGTGATAGAGTATGCCGGCACAGTCATTCGCTCCGTCCTGACCGATAAGCGGGAGAAGTACTACGACAGCAAGGTGGGTGCGAGATTTGACTGGCTGCTTTTCTGGAAGTGGGTCTTCTTCTACGATTTGATGAAATGATAAGGCCAGTCGTATAAGAGAGGAAACGGCCCTGTGGAAAGAGATGACTAACTGTTTAGCCATTTCCTCTATTTCTCCTCAAAATATGACTGTCGTAACAAAAAAATAAACATTCTACTCTGCAGTGCATTGTTGCCCTGCATCATTAAGCTGATGTTTGCGAGACATTCTCACTCTGGTCTGGTCTCAGTTTAGATCTGGTCTGCCAGTCAGTGTTTTTACCTCCAAATAAGGGAGAAAATGGGGCCCTAGTTTAGAACATCATGGAAATCACTTTGATGTGAGGTGGCTGCTGTAAACGCTTTATTTTGAATTGTTTGTATATATAATGTGAATGCAGTCCTGTGAATTGCACCATTTACCCAAAGGTAACACAGAACGTCGCAACGCCTGTTAAGAAAATGAGTTTTCCGTCGTTTCAATCGCTCCCCGTTCGCTTGTAGTTCCGTCCTTGTGCGCAGAGCCGTGCAGAGAAAGCAGCGTGCTCACCTCTCAAACTGAGCTGCCTCTCAGAATGACTTTACTGCATGCTGGGATGAAAACAGTGTGAGGTAATGGACACTTGGCTCCATGTGGAAGGCAGCTAATCTCCCCCTGCAGCAGAAGCTGATGCAACCTTCTGTTACGCTGTTGGTGTGAGTGACAACACCCATCAGCAGTCCTTGGAGAAACGGTCGTTATGAAGCAGCAGGACGCGCGTTGCTGGGCTATAAGAAGGAGGCACGCTTCTAACCCGGCTTGGTGGAGCTTTGATATTTTTACAAACCAGAAACGGAACAAATTAAGCAGGAAAAAGATGAGCCTGAGATGCCCCCACCCCATTTCGTACTGTTAAACGGGAGCTAAATGTCATGGTTTGCTGCTTAAATCTGCTCCATGCCTCTACAAATGGTGTGTATGTTCCAGGGCATCGGCTGCTACATGTTCCGCATCGACGACTTTGACGTGGTGGACGCCACGATGCAGGGCAACGCCGCCCGGTTCATCAACCACTCGTGCGAGCCCAACTGCTACTCGCGCGTCATCAACGTGGACGGCCGCAAGCACATCGTCATCTTTGCCCTGAGGAAGATCTACCGGGGCGAGGAGCTCACCTACGACTACAAGTTCCCCATCGAGGACGCCGACAGCAAGCTGCACTGCAACTGCGGGACCAGGCGGTGCCGCCGCTTCCTCAACTAGAGCCTCACACACACACACACACACACACACACACACACACACACACACACACACACACACACACCAGTGTTCCAAAGCAAAAAGTTATCTCTGAAGGATGAAACGCAGAGGACAGATGTACTGACGAAGCCATAAGACGGAGGCCACTCTGTTAACCGAGTCTTTCCGTTAGGAGTCCAGGGCAGCGTATTTATTCACGTCAGACCTCCAAGCTTCAGTTTGCAGTCACACAAATCAGATTAAACTCACCAGCCCGGGGCTGGGGAGCCACCACTGATAGTTGTGATTGGGTCGGATTTGCCTGCTGGTTGCCATGGCAATAGGATCTGGACAGGCTGTCACCACCCGCCTGCGAATGGTGCAGTACAGTGTGACCTGATTGCTGCCATTTCTGTGGGAAAAGGGACCCATTCCTCTGCTGGTGTGAGTGCAAATGCAAAGAGGAGGAGCATTAACTCAGCACCTTACTTTGACACAACCTTCTGGCAGGACACATTTTCACACAAAGTAAACATTAGATTCTAAGCACCTTGTGTACATTGTAGAGCAGCTACATTTTAACTTCACTCTGGTGAGCAGGGACTTTTAGGTGCTGGTGACATTTATCCCAAAAGATAGTTTTACGTCACCCAACGCGTTTTCTTCCTTCGGTATGTTGTAACTTTGTTTTTATTTGTAATTGCAGAGATGCAGTGATCTGAATGCTTTTATCCCACTATTACCGTCTGTACTATATCTGTTCTTTTGTGTTTTAAGACTCAAGGGGAGCGTTCATGTTGAGGAGTTCAACATGAGTGCAGTGGTCTTTCCCTGCATAACTCCTTTTGATTCTTTTTGTATATTTGAACAATAAATGTATATTCAACAAGCTGATGGAAATAAATGTGTTTGAGCTTTTAAATTACAATTTGTAACTGAAGTCTAACAAGAGTGAAGCTACTGCCGAGTGAGGAAAGTTTAGTTTTTTCCTCTTTTTTTCTCTATTTGTACCTTCTTCTTCCTCCTGTTCATGACTGTCACAGGTGTACTACCTCAAGGGCGTTGTGAAGTTATTATTTAATTAACGTACAAAGAAGGTTTCATGAACAACTTATTTCCCATGTTTCAATCTTCTTAATCATTACATCCTCAGAAATGAAAAGGAATCAATACTCTTAACCGCTGTCAATTATTATGAATGAAGCATTAGCAACACATTTGTTCCCATTTAGTCTTGATGGGCATCCACAAAGCTACTGGTTGTAAATGGACGTTACTTTTTTTCCCCTCTTCTTATTAACTGAATTTGACATGGCACTCTGTTACTATGGATCTTTGCGTGTAAATAGTTGTATAAAAAATTTCTAAACTTGTTAAATATTTTTTTACCTTCACCTTTTTTATTTATGTTCAATAAAAATTTGCTAAAAGTTAATATTTTCCTGTGTTTTCAATGTTTAGAATTGAATAAATGAAACTAAAATTAAATTGTTTTTTTCCTGTTCATTTGCAAACATCTGTTGTATTTTACATCAAGGGAAAGGTTTAAATAGGTTCAGATCAACGTGTGCTATTTTACACCAAAGTAAATCATCAATCTAATATAAAAATCATTTTAGGTTTGTTTTCAGAAATGATCACAGAGTTTGCTATGAAAGAAGCACATCCTTTGTCGAGAAATAGGATATCCTGTGTAAAATCCACCAAAGCAAAGATTTATAAATGACAGTGGATAAGGTGTGCTTTATATTAGTGCAAATGTTTTTAGGTGGGAGCCCAAAAAGGTCTTTGTGGGTGAGAGGGTGGGGATTTGGACAATCTGAGAATAACAAAAGATTACATGAAATTAGGAATTTAATCTGAAATTACAAAAAAACAAAAAACATTCAGATATTGTTTATGTAACAACGGACTGAAATTGAGGGATTGTATTAAAAAAATATCTGCATGTGTTCATATGTAGGTGGACGCAGTCCAACTCTACTTTGGCATGTTGTGCCTTGTGTATGACATTCAGAAGAATCTATGTTTATTTTCCTAAACCTAACGTTTCTACATTAAATCAATTAGAATTAACATATGTATAATAATAATAAATTAATAATGTATATTAAGGTGAATATGCTGCATTAAACACCCTCTATGTAATATAGTATCAAACAATATTATCTTAGTATTCTTTGTGGCCTGAAAAAAAAAGATTTCAGTAAATTGACTTGTAAAAAAAATGCTTTATTATCATGTCATTTATCTAGTGTCCTTTGAGGAGTGTGTGGCCCAATGTTTGAGGTATTCCTATCAGGTTTCTGATGGTTCCCTGATAAACATGTTAAATGTTCCTGCTCAGGTGAGACTGGTGACATCTGCAGAGTGTGAACTGTTGTCAGACAAATCTATAGCTAAAGGAAATGCTATTTCTGAGCAGAACTTCAGGGTCCCTTACTATGTCTTTTATCCCACGAATGTAATTTTCTCCAGTTTGTGGAAAATTTCCAATTACATAACTGAAATCTCGAGCTCTATTAATCCACAACAGCCTGCGTTTTGCAGTGTGCTTCAGTTTCAATATCAGTCAAGGTCCTTCACACATATGGCTCATTCCCAGGGTAGAGTTTTACCCTCCTAGATCTTGATAAGTTGTAAATGTACAGTCAGGGCAGCAGTTTTAAAAGAGCTCCCATGTGGCTGCCTGAACAGTTGGGCACGCATCACCATGAAGGCCTTGGTATTTCTAGTTTTAATCGGAGCAGCATGTAAGAGCGAATCTTCCTTTCTATGGCACGATTGTAAATATACAAATTTGAGTATTTCCTTAATCCTTTGTTCCTTTTTATGCCCTGTCAGTTGCTGCTGCTGAGGATGAGAAAGTGGTTGGGGGATATGAGTGTTCTAGGCACTCTGCTCCCTACCAGGTGTCTCTGAACGCGGGATACCATTTCTGTGGCGGATCCCTCATCTCGAGCCAATGGGTGCTTTCTGCTGCTCACTGCTACAAGTCGTAAGTACAGAAAGCCAACTTTAGCTCCAACTGGCAGTATTCAACAACACCTTGTCAGGGTGTTCATACTGAATGAGCAGAACAAGTTAATTTAAAATGAATGCAGTCAGCATTTTCCGCCTATGGAAGTACTGGCAGATAATCCACCAACGTAAGGCTTCCCAAACATGGTAAATGTTATTACACTACTCATGGCTGTATTTGAGAGCTTTTTTTCTGAAAATCCTGGAGAGCACTCCACTAAAGGCAAGATAAACATACTACTACTACTCCTTTTATTAAAAAATAAACAAAAAAGCAGCAAAACACTAAGACAGGTAGTAGTTAACAATTAACCACTTGTTTGCTAAAACTCAAATGGGAAATTTTACAAAAGCATTCCCTTTGAAAATGACATTGTGGTTCATGGGAACTATTCTGCCATTCTCTGTTGCTATAGTGACAGAATGTTCATCTGTAGCAGACAGAGTGCTGATTGGTCGCCTCTGTGTTCCAGGAACCTGAGCAGATATTCATGGTTCGCTGTGGCCACAAAGGCCACCGTTTAGAGACGCTGTGTCCCGACGGGAATATTATGGGTTTGAATGGGAGAATCGTTTGTAACTGTGCCTCACCCCGCAAACAGTCGTATCCAGGTACGCCTGGGCGAGCACAACATTGCTGTGAACGAGGGCACCGAGCAGTGGATTGATGCAGTCAAGATGATCAGGCACCCACACTACAACAGCCAGAACCTGGATAATGACATCATGCTGATCAAGCTGAGCCGCCCCGCCGCCCTCAACAGCTACGTCCAGACGGTGGCCCTGCCCTCTCGCTGCCCCGTGGCAGATGAGAACTGCATGGTGTCCGGCTGGGGCAACACTTCGTCTAACGGCAGTAAGTGACAGCTGAAAGGAGAGGTTGAAGGTGATAAAGAGCAACTGCCCTGCAGAGTCCCCAGCTTGTCATGCAGATGACTGGAACAAGTCTTGATCTCATAAGACAGGCCTTCATACCCGGAGACACGGACGGCAACAATGAACCAGCGTTTGCTGCAGTGGTGTGTGTCCAATGGCTAAAAGCTCATGTAGCAACATTGCAGCTGCAGAGCATTACAGCATCAGACACAAGCCGCCTCCAGGTGCAGGACAAATAATGTCATTTTTTCTCATAAATTTGAGAAATACATTTATTTTGTCCACACAGTACAACACTCAGTTAATCTTTATACAACTAAATAGAAAGAAACAACATTTCTTTGCACTATGATCAGCTATCTACCAGATAAATATTGTAAATGTATTTTTGGGATTATTAAGCATACAAAGTGTCACTTAGCATCGCATCAAAAGTACTTTTATACGGTATTAATGTAATGCAGACGAATCTGTTTTCATGGATCCCTATGGGAATATTTTTTTCTCAAATGTTAGCTGTTGGCAATCAGATAAGTCGAATAATTAAACTGAGACTTGCCGTCTTGCTCTCGAGGTAACTTCCCTAACAACCTTCAGTGCCTGAAGCAGCCCATCATCGATGACAGAATCTGCAGAAACGCCTACCCCCACCTCTTCACCGAGAACATGGTGTGCTCTGGATTCATGCACGGAGGTGCCAGCAGCTGCCAGGTAAGCTGCAGCACACAAAGGGACTCTATACAGTGTGAAAGAGCTCAGATGTCCTCCACACCCCTGCTCGCAATCTGTTGTTGACTTCAGCAAGAAAAAAGATGCAGCTGGTCAGTCACAGAAAACTACAGTAATATGGTTTAAAATTGGTGGAGTGGGTGACAAAGTCCAACACAGGGGGAAGGACAGATGTGAAGTTATGTCTTTGTAACAAACAGAGGTATAAGTACAGTACTCTATTCCATTCAATTCAAGTACAGTACTTAATTCACGTGTTACCAAAGCCATATTCCACTCAAATGATCAATAATTCAGTGGCAACTATCTGGGAGTTTAATTACTTTATCATTAAAAAAACATGTTCTCTGTGATATATATATATATATATCAATGTATCAATTGATATATTTGATATAGATCATATTAGATTTGAAATTTTCATGTTACAAATGTAATCATGAAACACATTTCACTGATGGTGACAACTCCACTGACAATGATAAAAAAAAGCAAACGTCAGCTGAGCACTCACATCTTTTCACTAATAATCTCAGATCTTGACTTTTTCTGAAATTAAACAGACCAAAAATTGAGCCACATGCTCTTTGCTTATAGTAGTAATAAGTTGTTATGAAATGGGGGGACTGTGACATTTACACATGCCATCCCCCTCTGCTCGTGTCTGCAGGGTGACTCCGGTGGTCCTCTGGTGTGTAGCGGTCAGCTACAGGGAGTCGTGTCCTGGGGTTATGACTGTGCCATGGTGGGACACCCCAGTGTCTACGCCCGCGTGTGCCGCTACACCAGCTGGATCAGCTCCACCATGAGCAACAATTAAACCCTTCCAGTTACTTATGGAAACATGCATGAGCTGCCGTTCTGTCAGTGTGAGTCAGTGTGTATACATAGTTTGGATGGTTTGATCCATAAACACCATATTAATAAAATTCTTTGACATAATATTCTGTATTGGATGTTTTATTTTATCAGCAGGCTGTCACAGTTTCACATTGATTGGAAGCATTATTAACACACTCTTGCTTTATAGTACTCTGTTTTCAGAGTTATTGTCTCATGGAAAACCTGCTGTGAACCCTCACATGTGTTTTGTCATTTACCGTGTATTGCATTATAGTCTCATGCAACTCTATATAATGCCTTTTGTCCCTGGTTACTGTGGGACTCATACAACCTCGAGTCAACAAAGCATGCAGGATAACGGCATTTCACTCATCTGCTTTCCCCAGACAATTCCTTTAAATGGCGCCTTGCAAACTTCGCTGCTTCTTGTTTGCTGAAGCAACCTGAATGTAAAAGAGAAGAGAAGAGTTTTGTTATATCTAAAAGCTCTCTTAGATGCTCCCTCTCATTAGAAGTGTCTACAAATCTAATGTAATGCAATAAGCTGTAAAGTATGCTTCATGCTTCTTTGAATTAAGTGTAGGACTTACAATTCAAGAGTTGTGATGAAGACTATTAACATTTATAAATAAAAAAATATACATTTATATGTCTATATGTTAAAAACCTACCTGACCAGCAATCCTATCCAGGTCTCTCTGACCCTGAGGGGTAAGTCTCCGACCACTGTGAACATTAAAAGACGTAATCAATTATTTAAACTGGCACTTAAGTGTAACTTAATCAGTGTCTGCATCTGCATTACCCATTGGGGTCCTTCTCCACCATCTTGAGACCTTCTAGAGCTTGGAGGACCTTTCTTGCCACATTTCTGGAGCCCACGCTGAAGTGGGCAGGACATACACCATTCCGCTGACGTCCGCCGTAGATCTTGATCATGGAGCCCACACCCACACCCCCCCGCAGGTACAGGTGGCGGGCGGTGGATGCTAGTGGCATACACAAACAGTGTGGCTCTATATGTTGCAATATGTGCTCGTCTGAAAGACAACTGAGTTATTCACCCAAAAGACATGACTGCAAACATTCCAAGTTATCACATGTCTGGCGCTTTTCGTGCTCCTGCTTAAGTCGAGTTGATAAACCTTGATAGATAAAAACCTTATCGGCAAAGGCTTCTGTGTGACTGAGGTTTTACTAAAGATGTTGTGTAAGTTTGGGGAAATCGAGGTCCGAGAAGTCTGATTAATGGTAAAGATTGTGTAGGATTGTAAATCACATGGGTATCTGAAACCACTAGAGGAAATTCCAAGAATATCTACCAGGCTGAGATATATACGAGATGGTAAATATAATTTCAAACGCCATATAGCTTAATATGGGATAGGGTAAAAAAAAAAAGCGTATCAAAGTTTTTCATAACATCATTTATTGTGTACTTCTGCAGCAATTATTAAGACAAAGAAGATCGGTGCTAGTGCATACTTCAGATAACGGAGTAAAAAATGCAGGTCTATGTTACTATGATTGATTAAACAGTTCATAAAATTAATAAGGCATACGGCACTTTTACTATCTCAGTTTTGAGTGGATGAGTCAGCGTATTATGGGAAACACAAACCTGCTCTGGTGTAAAACCAGTTGTCATCACAGGGAGCCAGCTCCTTGTGCCTGGCCAGCTTCACAGTGTCAACCCACTCTGGGACCTTCAGTTTGCCAGACCTGTAAAACCCATCATCAGATAGTTTTATTTATTTAGTTATCTATTTATTTAGTGACAAAATCCTTACAGCACAACATGATAGTTTTCTCGTTGATTATTATTTCAGAATATAAGAAAAACTAATTGGGACAGACATAGCTGTGGAACCGATTTAATTTTACAGACACATTTTCTTTTCAACTCTTGTTTAGACTGAGTTACGGTAAATTGTAATTTCTAGCAAAATAATGACATAGTTTCATTATCGAAATAATAAAACTACTGGAATCTCGTATTTATCGTTAAAATAAAGATGTTGTAATTCAAATTTTAATCCACGGTGACTTAATTAAATACTGTTTAAGACTTTATTAAATAAATGTCATGAAACTGACACTTGGCTCATAGAGAAATAAAAATGTATAGTTAGTTAGAGTGAAGTCTGCTGGTGTTTGAGCTGCTGTCCATCATCCGGTGTGACTGACAGGTGGACACTTGTCATCATGCTCTAAGTGGCTGGTTTCGTGTTTTACTCACTTCTTGAGAAACGCTGACAGAGCCTTGACAAACTCCTGCTGGTTGACATCTTTCACTGTCACGCTTGGCATCTACAATGCAAAATGGAGACAGGGGGGGAAATGCCGTAGAAAAGCTGGCAGCGCGTGCTTCAGCAGCTGTAATGCGGCTCGCGCCGCGGCCGTTGGAAATGGAGCAGAGTGCTAACTGTTGCGGTAACATTAGCTAGCTTAGCTTAGGTAACAGACACCAGACAAGCATGGCGCCTCGGACAGTTGCCTTTTCTTTTGTTATTTTCCGCCCCTGACGTGTCTCTTACTTTTCAGGTGTCTTCGAAAGCCGCCAGTCCAGCTCCCGAGTGTGGAGGTGTCCTTCCAGTTTAGGCGAAGCAACTGCGGAGGTTCATCTAAAGGAAGGATGCTGATGAGGGAAGGAGGCAGTCTGTCCTCATTTTAAAAGGATGGCATCACAGTCCTAATTAACATCCCCTGCAGCCCTCAAATTTCAGCTTTAATCATCTGTTTGAGCACTTATAGGATAAAGGTATTGTTTTTAATTTATGACACAGTTTTCTTTTTTAAATGTATGGTTAAGTTATGTATTATTGGAAAGTGAGGATGTATGTGTGGGTAATTCCGGCTGTATTCCAGCAGAGGGTAGTGTTATGGTGCCTTTTTCATAACTTGGCCCATTTCTGTTCCTTTAAACAGACCCAAATGCCTTTCAGAGGAGTGCGGCGCAGTCAGCAACAGCAGAGAGGCCGACTGAGTGAGGGAGACCATCTGAGGGTTAGTAGCTCTTTTAAATATTCTCCAATGTCTGGTAATGCACTTATTACTATTTGTCACCTTTTCGATAGATAAATTGTGTAATGTGTCATTTTGATTTAGCCTGAATAAATGACCAGGTGCAGTAAATTATTTGGTGTTTCAAAGAATGAGGGTGACATAACACTTTATGAAATGTTTTCTGGCAGCATCGCTTAATGCTTTGCTTGATCAATTGTTATCTTTTAGACAGAGACTGATGCACAGGCCTCTGTTTGCCGCGATGCAATCCACTTTCTGATAACAAAGAATGGACAGGCTTCCATCAGTATTGTCCTCATTACACTTTCATGTCTAATTGTCATGTGGACAGTCAAAAAACTATTGGGATGACCATATTCTCAGCTCAATCACAAAACCCGCCTTTGTTACTTTTTGTCTCTCTTCTTTTAGCCCCCTTCCTGGCAACATTAGTTCACCCTTTAAATTGTCACCTTTTTAGAAACCATCATTGAGTTGTTTGTTGTCTGTCACTATCCGCAAGGAGGCAATGAATTTAAATCAAATTTAGCAACACTATAAGATGTGAGTTTAGCAGTATTTAGTTGTGTTAGCAAAGGCATCAAAACACCCATTTTACATGCAGTGAAATTAAGCAACAGCTGGAATTAATTGTTTGCCAATTAAAAGTTACCAGAAGCTAAATGTTTTCAATTATTTACATGGATCATTTCATAGCGATGAAAAACACAGGGGGAAAAAAGAAGTAGAGAACATAGAATTCTCTTTTATTAGAAATTTAATACATGCTCTAATCAGTTATAGATTTTTTTTTTGCTCTGATGTAGCAAACATAAAAATTGTAATCATAATCTGGGACGAATCTGATGTTTGCAATCTAATGCACCAAATTTGAAAATGATTATGAAGTACGTAAAAAATAGAAGTGTTTGGCTCAGACAGGCGACCTGCAGATCAGCATCAGGCATCAGACTGAGCCCATTCTGTGCTGTTGGAATGGCACTGCAGACAGTATTTTTCACGGCCAAACTCTTACACTAATGTGCCCTCTGAAAGGAACTTCATCACCATGAGGCTGGATCACAAAAAAATCGTTTGCTCTAAGAATTTGGTAAATTCCAGAGTCCCTCTGCATAGATTGCACCTAATTTCACAATATATACAATTTTCTGGAGCAGTAATTCATCAGCAAAATGTCCTTCAAACATAAACGGCTTTCTCGCCGTAGCTCGATTGTCTAAATGAATCCTCATCAAAGCTGTGAGCATTGGAGGCCTGATCAAATTTAGAGTTGTATCACTGCAGTTAATTTTGTGTTGGACTTGGGTATTTCTACATAAATCTCCCCAGTAAGCGGCACACCTTAATTTCTTTTATTTATTTACCTCAGCGAAGATACTTGAACCTGCAATGGTTTCGTGAAATTATCTGATATTGTTAATTTTTTAAGCACATGGTAGAATTTTCCATCAAATACATACTTAGTAATACTTTTCACAATAATAGAAGCTCATCATCATATCAGTTATTATGGCTGGGTTGATCACAGCTACCAGGATTATTTTTAGCTGTGGAAAATAGACAAATCTGCCATGGTTGGCATTGTTTTTTATGAGCACATGCTTGGAAGATTAAAAGGCAGCACAGATGACGGCACTGTCCCCCCTGGTATCTTTTTTGGACATGTTCAGTACAAAGACTGACTTGTGTCTTCAAGAGAGGTCAAAAGTTCAGCTTTGCTGCAGTGCTCTTACCTTTTTGAAGCTCGGGGGTTTTCTACATCTGAATCATTTTTGATAACTTATTGAAGGAAATGTAACATAACAAAATTACACATTAATCCAAAAAAACCCAGAGACAATTATAATCAGTGTATCTTTGGAGTTACAAGTGAATTTGTTTGTCTTTCATTTTTTCATAATTGGACAATATGATAGCCCTCGTTTTCACGTCAACACACCTTTCTTTCAGCATTAAATGTCATGAGTTTAGTTTCTAAAGTTTAGTTTGAAATAATTGTTTGAATGCAGTTTAACGGTATTAACTTCTTAAAATACGTAAGGTGATGCTTTATTTCTGCTTTTGTTGCTCTTGTAAGATCGAGCATTTTTTTTCTGCTGTGTAACGCAGTTTGTAAATCCCTGCATCTAAATCCAAGGTAGATGAATGTGTGTTTACAAATGTGCAGACATGTTCGGAGGCACCGCACTCACACACACACACACACACACACACACACACACACACACACACTCACACACTCACAGCGGCTGTGTGCTCTCTGTGTCCGCCCGTCTAAGCTTCTTCCCCTCCCCCCCTCTCAACATCTCTCTCCCCTTTTTGTCCCCCTCGCCCTCTCCTTTTCCCTCCCCTCCCGCTCTCCTGCCTGCTAGCACTATTTCAAGCCTCTGTCGAGCCGAGAGGGAGGGAAAGCGAGGCAGAGACACACAGATGCGCAGTTTGAGAGAGAGGGAGAGAGTGGCGAGGGGAGGGGAAAGCAGACAGGATTTAGAGTTCAAGTGCACGTGCAGAAAATAGGCTGAATAGAGGAGAGCTGGAGTAGAAAGGAAACCAGGAAAAGGAACGGCAGGGGCCAGAGACAAAGCACACAGTAGCTCTTTCTCCTCCTCTTTCTTCATCTCTATTTTCTCCTCATAGAAAGAGACAGTATTATCTGTGAAACAGACGGATAAAAATGAAAAGAAAAAAATTTGAATACCTCAAGTGTAAAAGAAAAGATTTTATCCCTACTCCTGCCCCCCTACTCTCTCTTTCCTCTCTCCACTGACACACTCCTCCTCTATCCCTCCCTCTTGGATTTCTCCATTAACCTCCAGTCTCTCTCTTTCTCTCTGGCTCTCCTTTTTCTCCCCTCCCACCTCTCCACACACACATGCACACGCCCCGGACTCCTTCCCACTCATTTCCCTCACGCGCCCTTACTATCTACTTTCACTGGAGACCAACTGCAGTGGGCTTAGTTTTTTCCTTTTATTTTTCTTTTACTTACCATTGTTTGCTTTCGGTTATGCCCTCACATGCGGAGGCACCGCCACTCACCCTTTCCATGTGTGGTGCCCCTGAAAAACGTAGGCCGAGGATTGTCCAAGCATTAGACTGCTTGCCACAAACCGCTTGTCCTTTCCTGTCAACATTTTTTTCTCTCCTCTGCAGTCCTTTTTTTTTTTCAATGTGGAAGTCGACTACTGTTCAGAAAGCTTTGAAAAAAATCTTATCTGTGTTCAGAAGCGGAGGCTGAGTGTTGAAGAAGCGAAAATCGTGTCCGATGAATGGACAGATGAAGACAGGCAAAGAATGAGGGGGAAATGGAGAGCGTGGTCTGCAGGAGAGAGCGTGAAAGACAGGGAAAGAGAAGGATCTTTAGGTGAAAGAGTACCGGCACTCGCAAGAAAAAACAGGAGGGGAAAGAGAGAAGGAGGACCAGTGGGGGACAGACTCAGGAAGGAGAGACGACTGTATAGGAATTGGCTAGATCACAGGAAAGGGGAGAAAAGCAAAACTCCAGAATTAGAAGAAAAACTGGACTTCTCTTCAAACTCAGACTTGCACTCTCTGGTCGCCCTTGATTTTTGTTTTCTGACATGATTTTTTCATCACTTCTGCGGTCACCCTTTCATTCATTTGTGAGTATACAGCATGTACTGGTCCTTTTCGTTTCTCATATGTTTATCCTCCTTGACTTTCTTATACCCCTGAATGATCCTCCTCTCCCTCACCCGTGCTTATTTTTTTCAGCTCTCCTGTAATTTTTTTTTTTTCTATTTTCAAATTTGTGCTGCTAATCCCCCCATCCTGTTCATCTCTCCCAGCTCGCGCTCCACCTCACACCCTCTTTCACGTCTCGCTCGTTCTTCCTTCGACCACTCTTTATCTTGGGTATCGCTCTTCTCTTTGCCTCTCCTTTAAAGATTACCTCTGCTCACAGATGAGGGCTGTGGAAAGAGATCACTGAATGCACCCATTTTTAGAGGGGCCCATGAATGGGAGGCTAGCACACAGAGGAGGCAGGGTATGTGCATTTGTATCAATCATGTGTATCCGTGTGTCTGTGCATGTGTGTGTTAATATATGCTGGGGTGTGATTTAGAGTTAAGGGAACCGGCAGTGGCGGATGGTCACTCCCTCTTACGCATGCGTGGTCGTCTTCAATCACGACACAGAGTTTTGGAGTGATTGTGCAAAGTTGTTCATTATGAAATACACAGAAATTAAAGATAAGGTGAAGAATTGAGGCATAGTAAAGAGGTGAGAAAACTTGAAGTATTTCTACAGGGCTTCTTCATAT